GTTTTCTAATTAAACGTTAATTTAATTTAATTGTTGTTATTGTTTTTTTTTGTGTTTCTCATTCTGATGATTATGTTTTTTGATTGTTATCATTTCGATTGTGATTAACCCTTATCTCTCAATCATTTCCTGGTGGTAAATAATAATTATCATTATCATCATAACAATTAACATGAAATCAGAATCTGAACAATGGTGGATTAGTTTATTAATAAACTTTTGATTCTTAAATTGTTAGACAACAATTATCACACTGATACTAATTAAATATATGCTTTATAACTAAATTAACTTTTACCAATCAAAGATTAGTTAATTTTTATCAAATGTTAAGGTAATATTGTTAATCCAAGTTCATCAACTCTAATGATCACCAAGGTGAATGGTAATTTATTTTAATTGTGACGCAGTAATTTATGCACATAGTCACAATCAAAATAATTAACAATCCATCTTAAAGATCAATGATCGTTAGTAATTTATAGTAAATTACCGTTAATAGTTAATTAACTAATCCAACTATTGACTAGACAATCAAATTTCTTTGCTTCGTTTCAATTCAATTAACTTCTGGTCTTTTTTCATGGTCCAAAGGAGATTAACTTGATTAGTTACTCTCTTTCTTTAACAATCAGACAGGAATCACCATTAGCTGACAATTAGTTGATTGTAAACAACAATCAAAGGTCAACAGTAACAATTAACCAAGCAAAGAGAGAGAGAGAGATAATCACAATCTAATCATATCTCTACAATGAGAGGGATAAAATTAAATCAACAATATCTACTAACCACTAATCACTAATCATATTTTAATAAAATCCCTCTAATCCTTAAATCACAATTAATAAACCCTAAGTTATAATCATCAAACAATCACAACAATTAAACAATAAAAATTGAACTGAATTGACAAAATTGAAACAAGGAAACAATTACGATATTATAAACCCTTAACTAGTAAATTAATTAAATGAATCTTTATTTGTTTCACCAATTGGATAATAGACAAAATCTTAATTAATTGTGTCTGGTAATCATGATTGTATCAGTAAATTGTTGATGATTAAGTTAAATTGTTGAAACTGGGAAAACAGGGAAGTTGAAAACAAAAAGATTGAGTTGCAAAAGTGATATTATTTTTAAACTGTTGTGATTTAAAACAACAACAACAACTGAATCAACTGATTGTGAACATCAAGATTAACAATCTGATTAAGATGTTGATAATAATTAACTAAATTGCAGAGGTGTTTAAGGTTTGGCAATGATTAAAAAGGGAAGTAAAAAGTTAACAAGATCAAGTAACTTACGATCTGATTCTTGGGGTTTTTAATTCATTATAATTGAGTTACAAAAAGGTGTGGTTATTGTAATTGTAAGGATTACACCAGAATCATGATTAACATGATTGTTACTATTATCATGATGATTATTATTATCAGAGGCTAAGAACCCTTAACTGAAAAAGTTCATTGCGATAAAAATGATAATAATAATATCCTGAAAGTAAAGTATGAATACCAACAAGAAATGATGATGATAACAAAAGGGTAACTCAGGAACAGAAAAGGATAAAAACAGTTACCATGATGGTGGAAAAGGGGAAGAGAGAAAAGTTCTGTTGAAATCTCTCTCAACGAACAATGACCTTTCATCTAATTCATGATGATGATAAGGATGATGATCATCATTCGGTTTTTTTTTTCTGTCTAATTCTCTTTCTTTTCTTGTCTGATACTCGATTTTTCAATGAACTTTATCGCTTCTGTTTTCATTCCAATCAGTTTACATGGAGAGATTTCCTAACTTTCTCTTTCACCTTGAAGATATTATCTTCATCTCTCTCTCTCTCTCTCTTTCTCTCATGAATTATTATCATCTTCATGATGATGAACTTATAACTTGAACTTTTCATCGGCAACCAAATGGGAAAAAAGGATTGATTAGAAAAAAGGAATAAAATTCTGATTCAACTCAGTTTTCTATTCTCATTTTTTTTCTCATCTTCTTTCTGTCTTTTTCTCTTTCTTTTGTCGTTTTTATCATCATTCTCATCTTCTTCTTGTCTCTATAATCATTAACCTTATATATGGTTTGATCGATTCTCTTCCGTTTTCATTTCTTTTCCTTATTCAGGTTCTGACCTGATTTTCCTCTGGATTCTCATGATGATATATAATATTTACCATGATTATGAAATTGTGATGAGATGATGATATCTAGTGAAGATTAAACTTTTATCATCTTGATTCTCATCATCTACTCATTAATATCATCATCAATAATCATGACAATCAGTTATTCATGTTTCAATTATCTTGGTCCATGGTAAAATTCATGTTGATTGGAAATTCATTTTATCAAATTTATCTGATTTTTTCCTCATTCTTTCAAGTCTAGTCTCTTTTTAATTGTTAATTTTTGATTTCTCATTAATCACAATCAATCGGTTGTTGTAACTTTTAATTGTGCAATTGTTTTAGACACTGATGATTTATACACAATATGATTTAATCTGATTGTTGATAATCATTTACCACTTATGAAGATGATAAAGATTACCTTTAATTGTTTACCTTCAATGGTTCATGTTGTTAGCTGGTTAGTTAAATTGTTGTTGTTTAACTAATTGTTATCATGTTTTGTTTTTCTGTTGTATTCACATTTCAACCATTTCTTTGTTGTTCAACTGATTGTTGGTTCATTGTTTAATTCATTGGTTGATTAATTAATAAGGTCACAATTTAAGTTCAACAATAAGAAGTTTAAAAAAAAGTTTTTACTCTCAGTCATTGAAATGATTAAGTTAAACAATCAACAGTGATTAGCTTTTCAATGTTCATTGATTAATGTTGGTTACTAATTGTTGGTTAATCGTTGTCATCAGAAAGCAAATCAAATCAAATGAAATGAAAATTGTAATAATTTGAGTTAATCAAACTGATTTAAAGATCAGCTTTTGTCCAACAATCAAGTTCAGAGTGAAAGACAGGCCGGTTAATTGTTTGAATTGAGTAAATTTAATTGTTTCAGGAAGAATGAGCTTGCAACAATTAACAATGGTAATCATATTTGTAAGTGAATCAATCAAGTTAATCAAATGATTGCATTTTAATTGTGACTTTGAGACACAATGATCATCATAATTTAACTTTAATCACCATCATCATGAATCTTGATTTTATCTGATTAACAATTTCCGCTGGTGATTACAATCAGTAAATTATCATGACCATTTTATTGTCTAGTTATTAGGATTAAATTAAATCATAAATCATTAACAATCAAATTTACCGTAATCAAAGTAACCATTAATAGAGGCATTAATAACTTTAATTAATTACCTTTCCATCAAATAAAAGTGTCAATTAGATCCAAATGATTTTAAACAATTAACTTGTATTGATTACGAATTACAATCAAGAACAATTAACCTTTACAATTAGATTTAATCATCTTAACTGATGTTGGTTGTACACTCACACACACACACACACAATTTAATTTCATTTGGTCAACAATCAAAAATAAAGTCGTTAGTTTGTTGATCATGATTAAGTTGATGATGTTAAATTGTTATTAATACAACTCATTGTGTTAGTTGTATCATTACAATTGTTATCGTTGATTGTGATGACTAAATTGTTGTGCGAATCAGTTTAAAAATAAGTTGTGATGAATATTTGACAATCATCATCATGATTATCCTAATGATTGTAATAACAATTTGTTAATTTGATTAAGGTCATCGGGTTAACGTTTGTAACAATTAAGAAAACAACAATCCAACAATAATCTAACTAATTATCATAAATCAAAATCTCCAATGATTTAATTCATTTACCAAAATATTGAACAATCTAATTACCATTACAATTGATTCAGTGGTGAAATTAATTGTTGAAGGTTGCATTTAATTTCCTACTAATTGTATCAGTTTGGATATAATTTAATTTGAATCAATCTAAATCATTTCCAACAACGTTAACTAATTGTAATTTTAACCAATAAATCAAATCAATGTTTCTATTATTATTGTTACGATAATTTGATTTGAAATTTAACAACAATCAAAATCAGATGAATCAAAATATTAATAATAACAATCAATTGGTATTAAGTTAATTTGCTTTTCACTTGTTAATCATTTCAATGTCTCTAAACCATTTAAACAATATTGAAACTATTTTTAATCTACTATAACAATTTAATTTAATTTTCCCAATAATCTATTTTTAAGTTGTAATCAAATTGACAGTCAAAATTACCAATCATAATCAACAATTTAATTTGATTCAAATCTAAGTTTTCCCCGTTGATTAAAGGTTCAAAAATTAAAGGTAAACCAAACAATTAAATAATTGTCAATGTTGAAAATTAACTTGTGATTGATTGATTGATTTTGATAATTAAATAGTAACAACAAGTAAATAGAAATAATCAATTTAATTGATTAAATTGTTGGTCTTTTTCCTGGTTTCATTTGGTTCTAATCAAGATTATTGGTTTTAATTGTTTATCATATCAAGAGATCGAGTAATTGATTAACTATCATTGTTTTAATTGTGATAAGAACTAATTTCATTGGATTAAAGTGGGTTAATTAATTAACGAAAAACTCCTTTAATCACCTTGAAATTAACTTGAAATATTTGGTTAAAATCGTTCTTGATTTGGTTGTTAATTGCTCTCAATGTTAAATCTGATTATTATTGATGGTCAACAATTAAAACAATTATACCTAATCAGGAAGTTCACTTTAACTATTATTCAGAAAAATTAAGCCTCCAAACTAATCTAATTAAACTCATGACAATTAAAAACAATTTATACTTAGTCTCAACTTAAACAATTAACTTTGATTCACTTATTGAACAATTAAAATTAAGTTAATTAACTACTAAGCCGCCATCTCTTGATGAGATTATCGTTCAACTATTAAAAATAATTAACAAGATAATTAGATTGGCTAATTAACAAGTGGTTGGGTTGACTATTTAATTAATAGATTTTTTTCTGTTCAAATGATTAATAAATTGTCGAAATGATGATGGCTCATCAATGGCTTGATCAAGATTATCGTTAAGAGCTGGAACTGGAGTATTCGAGAAATACTTTTTACTTGTGTAGATACTTTTACCAATCTCACGAAGTGTCAAGTCCAAGGGATCGTTTCTCATACACGGATCATCATCATCTTCCTCTTTCTCTTCCAGGTCACCAAGACTTCGCGATTTCAATGAGAAATCATCTGTTGGTAAAGAATAACTGTCCAGAGAACTTGCATTTCGTCGATAGCAAGATAAAATTGGACAACAGTCCCAAGTGAACTTTCCAATTACGTCTCGAACAATTATTCTAATGTAAGGATCGTTTTTGATTAAATTAGCAGAAGCATTTCTCAGAGCGTTTTCATTGGAAGCACCACAACTAAGGTCAACAAAAGAGACGATCGATGAATTATTGACCATACAAACAAGTACATTAGGAGCATTGAAAAGATCCGATGTTAGTTCTTGCTGTTCGTGATCGGGTTGATCTGCTTTCGTCGGAATGAAACAGTTGTCATCTGCTTCATTAATACAAGATGAAAGTCGAGGAGCTCCAATGGTTGGAAGTGGAAAATGATCAAGAAAATATAAAATGTGGCCAAGAATCATTTTCGCTGCCAATTGAATAACTAATCCATCGTTTTTAGATTTATCTGAAAATGGATCAACAGAGTTTGATCTGAATGATGGTGGTTGATGGAAGCCAAAATCACCATCCAAACCATTACCTGCGGCATTTAAACCACTGTTACCAATATTATCTGATTCCATGCGTCTGGGATTGTTAATTGTTGTCTTTGTTGATGAATTATCACAGTTTAATTCTGATATGACATGATTTAATACTTGGATTATAAGAAATAAAGTTAAAGGACTTTGATCCGATTTAATTGGGCTGAATAATATTTTCCGCGGTAAACAAAGGCACCACTGTCCAAGGCACATAAGTAAGCTAAGGAGTAACTGTTGATTATCAAAAGAAAATGATAAAAAATATACAATAATTAATTCATGATCAAGGTGAGAATACAATAATACAAGAATAGAAAAAAGTATAAATTAAATATATTTACATTTCGATAATCTTTATAAGAGTTACTCTCCCTGACCATAGTTAAATGATTCGTGATTGAAAAAATTAGTCCTTCGACAATTTGTTTGGGAATTGAGGGATAAGCTTCAGCGAGAAAATTAATATGATCCGTTTGTAATTTCAGCATATCACAAGCTACTCTGGATAAATATCTATTATTAAACTGGAAAGAGAATCAATTGTTAATTGTAGAAATGAAGATTTGCAATTAGAACCATATTTAAAGTTTACCCTTGTTTCAGCGATGAAAATATTGACAATTTCTGGAAGTATATTGGACATGTTACGATTACGATTTTTTAGATCCTGGTAAACAATAATTCCAAGACAATTAAGAACAACACATCGAGCTAAATCAGTTTGTTCTTGTTTTCGAGCTCCCATTAAGATTTTCAAGATTAATTCCTATCATGAGAAGTTTTAATTGGTTAGGTTAGGTTAGGTTCTCACATAATCCGACAGGTAGCACGAGTGAAAAGTTCTGTTATCTATTCAAACAATAAATCTGAGACTGGTCATTAAATGAATCAAATCAAGATTTTAATTATTTGACCTTAACCAAGGTCATGAGATTTTACACGAATTATTCCATTAACCATTCCATATTGTTGAATCATTTGGAGTAAAAGATCCTAATCGATTTGAAATTCACTGTCTCTCAAAAAATGCACAAGCACAGTCTCTGCTTGGTTTAGGTATTTAATTTCGCACCATCAGACATTATGGATGAATAGTAAATTTTTAGTAGTCTGTTACACAGAATTTTGAATGAGGTGTCACTACTGAAGTCCTTACGGTGACTAAGCCCTTTACTGAATGAATTAAAATTCATCATGAGAATTAAATTTATGTAAAATTTGAAACGTAGTGATGGAAACCTAAATCACAGCTGACAAAACTTTGAAATTTATTTTCAATTACAAAAAAAGCATCAATGTCAAAAACAACATCAGAATCTCTCAAAAAATACTGAATTAACATAACTGATTGGGTATGATTTAACATTGGTTTAGATGGATTAGCTGGATTCGACATATTTGAGGAGTTGTAGATTTTCAATAAATTGTAGCACAAAAGATTAATAGTTGGATTACTATTGAAAACAGGGCGGTATAAAGCAAATTTAAGCGTTTTACATATTCATCAATAACTTTTTGTGAAGAATGAGAACGAAACCCTTAAATCAAAGCACCAATGCTCAGTATTGGGATTTGAAGTCTTCTAGGACTTCATAAAAATACCTTGGTTTAGATGGAGTTGACATTTTTGAAGAGCTGTAAATATTCAGACAAATGGATCACAATGAAACGCAGGACGTTAAAGAGCAAATATACATGATAGTTAATTGTGACCATCAAATGACCTTGAAAACGTATCCTAACAAAATGACCGGAATGACCTTGATATTTAATATGACAATTGAATATGGCCTAAACTACCATAACTTGAGCCTGGGGTCTGAACACTCTAAAACAAAAAAGTTATTCGAGAAAAACTTAGTGGAAACTTGGTGAAATATACTAAATACCCTGTATCCTGTGTCCCTGTACTAAATGAATCAGAATTCATCACGAGAACTAAATTTATGTAAAATTTGAAACGTAGTGATGGAAACCTAAATCAGAACAATTAAAATTAAGTTAATTAACTACTAAGCCACCATCTCTTGATGAGATTTTCATTCAACTATTAAAAATAATTAACAAGTTAATTAGATTGACTAATTAACAAGTGGTTTGGTTGACTATTTAATAGATAGATTTTTTTAATGTTCAAATGATTAATAAAGTGTCCAAATCTTTAATTTTCTTTTTGTTTCCATCACAATTAAAGTGAATAAATAATTAATAAGTTAGAAAATAATAATATAAATTGTAAAGAGTCAGAATATTGTTTAAGTTGATTGTTCTGATTTAAGTAGATGATTTTGATTAGAGGTGAAAATAAATCATTTCCAATTATCATTTGGATTAATAATTAAAATTATGAAGAAAATTATATAATTAAATTGATCAATTTTGATCAATCTTTTCTTGTTCCAACCATTTTTGCTTTGACATATTCAATGGATCAGTTTTTACAAAATCATTCAAATTTGGGACTGGGAGTGAAAATATCAAGTGATTACATATTAATACCATGCACACAATTAATGAATACACCAAAATTATTACAATTTAAATTACTTGAATTGACATTTAAATGAAAGGGTTTATATTTGTGTGGTTTCCTTTTTGATAATTAAACCATTAAATTATTGTGAGATTATTTTTGATGTTAATTTATGCTCAATGTTGGACATGCTTAGTGGTCGATATTTGGATCGTGGACTTGAGTTGGACTCGGAAGATTGTCCTGGTGGAGTTAAATTGTCTTGATTGTTGTGTCCATGATTTTGATGATGACCTGTAGATGAGGTGGTTGTTGATGGGACAAAGGGAATATGATGGTGATGGGTGGGGTGGTTACCCATTACGTTGGATGAGGAGGAGGATGGAAATGATGCTGAGGACATTCTGTGGGTGGTGGAGTAAGCGGAGAGTGATGATGGTGAGAAAATGGCTGAGGTGTAATCTTCAAACGAGCGTAAATCCCGATGAGAAGTGTAGATTGTATCAATTGAACGAGCTCGCTCTTCAAAATAGTGCTGATAAAAGGGAACTTGTAACCTTTGAGCTCGAGAAGCGTTAATTGCTGTGGCTCGAATTAGATCAGATAAAACTGAATGATGAATTATCGCTCCAGAGTAAATTGGACCAAAAAAGGGAACTTCTGGTTTACGTGAGACGTCAATTCGATAGTAACCAGGGAAATTGGAAAGTGGATAAATGACGATTAGAACGTCACAAAATTCAGTTGGAATTATTCCTCGGCGATAATCTCTTGAATGTTCAGACCAAACAATGTGAACCTCATCGTTACCCAGGTGAGTTAATTTCCGTCTCAAAGAGTCGCTTTCTTCTGCTTTGGCAGGTATTCGAGTGGAAACGTGAAAAATGACCTCACAAAAAGAGTCGGCATAATAAGGAGCACTAACACCGGTGCTTTTGTTAGACTGAAGGCCTCCTTTAAATCCTGTGTGAGTCTCCAGGTCAATTTCCCAGCCCAGACCAGCGACAAACTTTTCAAATCCTGCGCTTGCACTTTTGTTTAATAGGATTGAATTTTTATCCTCTTGACCTTCAGCAACATAGATAACAGCGATTTTGTGAGTCTCTCGACACTTTTGATTGTCCAAATTTTTAAGTTCACGAATAGTTTTATCGTTTTTATTAAGCAGCTCAACATGAGGCCGTTTCTCCCAAAACATGAAGCCCAATTGATCAATAAGTTGGCGACAATGCATGAAAAACATTTGATGGTATTGAGTTAATGGTGATAAAGATGGAGATGATGATTGGGTTTGTTGATGATCATTTGATTGTTGTTGTTGTTGTGATTCTTGAGCAGATGATTTACTTTTTATCGAATCAAGAGATGATGTAGCATTTGATTCTTTTCGATTAGTATCTCGCGTCGGTGGTCTCTCGATGAAATTCATCTCTTGATAATGTTGATTTCCTAAAAGAGCCATCATGTTTTCCTCGGCTTGATCAAGATTATCGTTAAGAGCTGGAACTGGAGTATTCGAGAAATACTTTTTACTTGTGTAGATACTTTTACCAATCTCACGAAGTGTCAAGTCCAAGGGATCGTTTCTCATACACGGATCATCATCATCTTCCTCTTTCTCTTCCAGGTCACCAAGACTTCGCGATTTCAATGAGAAATCATCTGTTGGTAAAGAATAACTGTCCAGAGAACTTGCATTTCGTCGATAGCAAGATAAAATTGGACAACAGTCCCAAGTGAACTTTCCAATTACGTCTCGAACAATTATTCTAATGTAAGGATCGTTTTTGATTAAATTAGCAGAAGCATTTCTCAGAGCGTTTTCATTGGAAGCACCACAACTAAGGTCAACAAAAGAGACGATCGATGAATTATTGACCATACAAACAAGTACATTAGGAGCATTGAAAAGATCCGATGTTAGTTCTTGCTGTTCGTGATCGGGTTGATCTGCTTTCGTCGGAATGAAACAGTTGTCATCTGCTTCATTAATACAAGATGAAAGTCGAGGAGCTCCAATGGTTGGAAGTGGAAAATGATCAAGAAAATATAAAATGTGGCCAAGAATCATTTTCGCTGCCAATTGAATAACTAATCCATCGTTTTTAGATTTATCTGAAAATGGATCAACAGAGTTTGATCTGAATGATGGTGGTTGATGGAAGCCAAAATCACCATCCAAACCATTACCTGCGGCATTTAAACCACTGTTACCAATATTATCTGATTCCATGCGTCTGGGATTGTTAATTGTTGTCTTTGTTGATGAATTATCACAGTTTAATTCTGATATGACATGATTTAATACTTGGATTATAAGAAATAAAGTTAAAGGACTTTGATCCGATTTAATTGGGCTGAATAATATTTTCCGCGGTAAACAAAGGCACCACTGTCCAAGGCACATAAGTAAGCTAAGGAGTAACTGTTGATTATCAAAAGAAAATGATAAAAAATATACAATAATTAATTCATGATCAAGATGAGAATACAAAAATAGAAAAAAGTATAAATTAAATATATTTACATTTCGATAATCTTTAAAAGAGTTACTCTCCCTGACCATAGTTAAATGATTAGTGATTGAAAAAATTAGTCCTTCGACAATTTGTTTGGGAATTGAGGGATAAGCTTCAGCGAGAAAATTAATATGATCCGTTTGTAATTTCAGCATATCACAAGCTACTCTGGATAAATATCTATTATTAAACTGGAAAGAGAATCAATTGTTAGTTGTAGAAATAAAGATTTGCAATTAGAACCAAATTTAAAGTTTACCCTTGTTTCAGCGATGAAAATATTGACAATTTCTGGAAGTATATTGGACATGTTACGATTACGATTTTTTAAATCCTGGTAAACAATAATTCCAAGACAATTAAGAACAACACATCGAGCTAAATCAGTTTGCTCTTGTTTTCGAGCTCCCATTAAGATTTTCAAGATTAATTCCTATCATGAGAAGTTTAAATTGGAAGAAAGAAAATCAGTAAATTAACAATTAGAAAAAAATGAATTCGTTTCGTTGGGTCAAACATTTACTTTTGTATTAATACCACAATCGATGAGAATCGGTTCGCTAGAGTTTGGATCTAGAACTTTTAAATTGCGACAAACATCAGTGAGAGATAATAATGTACCCAACATTGATAATGCCTCGAATCTTGGTATCTGTAATTAGAATAGAATTGATTAGATTTTAATTGGATATTGAAAAGTTCATATTAATACTTACATTGAAATCTTTTGATTCTTTGGCATTAACAATGATTTCACAGGCATGAACAAAATCAAGCAAAAGAACTGAAGATCCCTTCAGACTAGAAGAAAATAATTTGACACCAGAGTATCTGATAATTGTACATAGAGTTTCCTGTAGAAATAAATAACAATTAGAAAATCAATTAATCACAATCAACGGATCGTAATTGCGTTGGACAGAATCTTACCAAATCCTTGGTATGTAGAGCTCGGTGGATTGAACAGTAAAATAATGATAGAAACTCATTTGATGTGTTAATTTCAGGCATTCGAATAGCAATTAAGCAAAGTAATTTGTATGCAATAGTTTTACCCTTTCGGTAATGATTAGACAATTGGAGAGTTTCAAATAACCAGGAAGCGAAAAAGTGAAAAGGTGGTACATAGGTTGGTGGAGGTGGTGTAGATAAATTGTCAATTGAAACTCCTAAATTGTCTCGGATGATTAAAAAAATATCGATTATATTTGAAAGGCATTCCATCACTTGATAATGTAATTGTGGATCTTTAATTTGATTGACATCGCCAAGAGATCCAAGCATCCGACGCCAAATTATGAAAGAGCTTTCAGCTGACCAACCTCGATGTGGTCCACCAGCGGCCACCGAGTGTCCAGTTGATGATAAACTACTATTGTTACTGTTTAACGAACTATGTTCAATGTGACAAGGTGAATCTTTAAGGCTGTTGGCATCAAGACCACTGGAAGGTGTTGGTGACGGGGATCGTAAATGGTAAACGGATGATTGAGATGAAGATGGAGATTCGGTCAAATTGGTTGACAAAAGATCAAGAGATTTACTCCTGGAAGTTACAGAAAGTGACCTGGAAAACCCGTTAAATTTTGACGATAAAGGTGTTGACACCATGTTGTTAGTTTGAGTCCGTTTACGAGATACTGATCTTTTCCTGGCTAATAATTGACTGTCACTTGGACTGCGGACAAGACCACGATTATGATTGGCAAGTTTAATTGGCAAATTGTTGGTCAATGTGGGAGTAAAGTAACTATCAGCAAAAGCGGCAAGTCGTGATTTGGTTCGTTGCTGTAAAGGTGTTGAGTCCATGTTTTCAGATGTCGGCCGCTTAATGAGTGCAAAATTAGCCGAGGCGTTGATTGTTGTTGTTGCTGTTGAGGTGGTTGTTGAACTATTGTTATTAGAGTTTTTTCCCGGCGAAAATGAAACTGAACCATCTAAACGAGAAGAAGATGATTTCTTTGGATCTTTGGAAGATCGAGAAGGTAGAAATGGTTTCGAACCTTTTTGGGTCCTTTTTCTTTTGTCGATTAACCTTTCCAAGGGTAAATCGTGTAAATTGATATGGTAAACATGGTATGAGACATTTCGGGTTAACGATTCCATGTTTTTACTCCAGTCTTTAATTAACTCTTCCCATTGAGTTAATGTTGTAAGAATTGATTGAAATTGCTCCCAAAGATTTGCTGATATGTAGGCTTCCAGATTTGCTTTTATCATACCAACAACCAAAGTCTAGTGAATTGAGGATTGAAAAAATCAAATAAATACAATTAAAAACAATTAAATTCAATCAATGTAAAAATTAGAATCAACAGGTGGTTAATCATTGGCAGAGAATCAACAAAGTAAGAAAAATTTTCTAACAATCTAATCAATTGTACCCTCTTTTTACGATATTCATTTGATTGCTCTTATATAATCGTGAATCAATATGATGGGATTTGGGGTGTAAATCCAAAACGATTGACAAAATAAGTTTAATTGTTGATATAAAATCAATCAAAACCAACTAAATCTTTGTTCATGGATTTAGATCACCACTTGTTACCTTAATATACAAGCATTGACAACAAAAATGGTGAGAAACTTATTCTCTATTTTTGAAAATCTTTTCTAGTCATTGTGATTCTTTCAAATGTCAACAATTTGTGACATTTTACCAATAAAGAGATTGTTGAACTGACCTGGAAGAAAGCGGGTGCTAATCGTCCACCAAGAGAGTCTTCCTTTCGTGGAGGAACCTTTTCCTTATATAAAAACGATGTTATTCTCAGTAATACAGAAAGTAACAATTCCCAGGTACACTTGTTCATTTCAAGTTCCATCAACATGTATCTCCATGTATTCAAAACTCTTTTGCACATTTCCACCTGTTCATCAAGAAGTTTAGGTTCATCTGAAGGCACTTGAAGAAGAAAAATATTAGCGGCATTGGCGATGAAAACGCGATACAAAGCGGAAGGTCCAGCCTTTATTGATTCGTTTTCATGATTGTTGTACTCCTCGGTGGTTGATGAGGGATCTTTCATGAAGGTGGGTACATCGTTTGTACATAAGATCCAATTACGATAAACTGAAACTACAATGTTCATTGTACTGGCTTGTTGGAAAGGCATTAAAAAGGCTTGGCGAAAAATTTGATGCAATAGATTAATGTTTGCTCGGGTTGAGCAAAATGTTGATCGTACTAAATCATAATCAAAAGCAGTTGGCTCACGCCATTCAGAATTTGATTCATGAGATGATAAAGAACCTGTTGATTGAACCTTATTCTGACCAATTTGTAAATTATCGTAACTATTACGTCGACGGGCAACCTCTTTCTCTTCATCTCTCATGTATTTTGCCAACCACAAAATGACAACACACTTGAAAGGCGCTAAACGATCTTTGGCCGCTTCTTCATCTGGCTTACGAAGTGTTGGCACTTCAAGAGTCGGTGCATAGATAGAGAAACTTGTATCCAAATTTGGAAAAAGATGAGGTAGATAAATTGTTTTAAATTTTTCGAAAAGAAAATTAAAACACTTCCTCTGTTTATATTCTTTGGGTTCTCTCCAATAGACTCGAGAAACTTGCGATACCAAATAGTCCATAAGATATTGGAGGAAATAATAATTCTTGGGCTCTTTGGGTTCACTTTGAGGTGCTGGAATCAGAGGTTCGTTATCACAGGAATTGAAAGCGGAAGTTGATCGATAATTAGATGAATCACCACCTGTTGAGTTTCCATCATTTGTGGAAGTTTGATCAACATAGAAAGCTGAATTTTCTAAATGTTCACAATCTCCTGATTGTTTATTAGAACCAAAAAAATTAGACGAATTGGGTACTATTCCAGGGACCAATATGGCGAATAGATTATCTAAAGTTGCATCGTTTGTTTCTCCAATAATTTGATACCAAATAAGGAATAGACGAATACCTTCTTGTCGAATCTGAAAAAGAAATTAATTTGTTTGTATGATTAGTAAATCATCATGATAATAAACTTGAAAATAACATGAAAAAAAAAGGTAATAAAATGATTGTCTTTTGTTTTCTTCATTAATCCGTTATAAAGAGTAATGAAAGGTTATCTCAGGTAAGATCCTAAGCATCAATAGATCCTCTGAATGGTCAACAACATGATTCATTACGCTTCACTTGATTTGTATAGAAATGTATCAAGTGAGAAAAAAATTGATTCAGTTTAAAACCAATCAACACACACACACAGTTGAGCAATTTCACTCTTACAGGTAGATGGATAATCTTTGGTGAGGTGGTTCGGGCCCTTTTCTATATGATATAAGAATAAGATGGAATATAAATTTACTTTGAAACTGTTTCCAGGATTAAGTAACTTTTTCATCACATGAATCACACTATGGAATTGCCATTTTCTTTCAATTTGCTCAGGAAGAAGAGTAAGAATTTTCTGAAAGAGAAAAAGAAATGAAAAGATTAGTCAATATTATTCAATAACAATGAAAGAATATCGTTATTAAGGTTTACATGGTGATGAAATTACTAGTAGTTAATAGTTTTATGGCCACTGAGATTAATTGAATCATGGAAAAGACAATTAAGGTAACTAAGGTGATCGTGAGTGGTAATTAATGATGCACTGAAATTTAAGCAATCAAACTAGACGACAATAGAATCTTTTTCCTCTCTTTCTCTCTATAAGGTTATATTGATTACATTGTAAACAAAAAATTGAATCCAATGAATTGGCAATAACCCTGAAAAAGGATGAAAGTTGCTGGTAACATCTTGCATTCTGATTGAGCAAAAAATGATTAGAAATAAGAATAAGCAAATGATAAACTAACGTAGAGAACAGTAAAAGAGCAAAATTAACAGAATTGAATGTACATGATGATTAATCTATTTTAACATCGTCATAATCAACCTGTTAGATGAACCAAAATGATAAAGATTTTCAATGTTATCCCTTTAATGAAAGAATCACAATCAGCCAGTGGTTTGGTGATATTTACCTCAAATAGGTAGAGAATTGGTTCATATAAAGTTGTATGCTCTTCTCTGATTTGCTTTTGACCTGTGGATATAAGGAGAAAAAGAAAAGGAAATTGTTGATATAAGATGATTTCTCTTGAATTAATTGATGAATCTTTGATCCAATGAATTAGATCAAAGTAAATAAATTAGAGCCTCACCTTTTTGTTTTGATAGAGCTTCTTGTGTAGTGAATGCGTTGAAGAAAATGAAATAAATATGATGAAAGTGAGCTTGGAAAAAGGCTTTTGCTTCAGGTAAATCATAATTTTCTGAGAGAGAATGAGAGAGAATGAGAGAAAATAACAAACAATTAAAATGATCAAAAAATAAAATAGATTAAAAATATTACCTAAAATGATCCTCATATGTTTCAACCGATTAAAACAATCATTTTTTTCATCCAAAACCTTTTGGACCGATTTTTCAACAGGATTTTGCTGTCTTTTGGTAAACATTTCTCGTTCGTTAGAGAAACACAGATAATTAATTACAATTCATAAAATAAATAATAAACAATTTGTTGATTGCACAGAAAGAGTAAAAAATGATGAAAAAATATTTTGGTTCATTCAATGAATTAATCAAAATAAAGAAATGAGATTCATCCATTTCCAACAGGTGGCGGTAAAGAAAAGATCTGACGTTGACTGATCAAGTCTCTCTAATTATATTGTTATCAATCATCTTATCTTTAATTACCAATCTCCTTAATCAACAATAATTATAAAAGTAACCAAAAACCAATCTAATTATTAACATCAAAATCTTTACCTTTCCCTTTTCCTAATTTCCTTTTTCATTGGATCAAAATCGCCTTAGTGTCACAAAAAATTGTAAGATCGTAACTAAGGTTACATAAAATCTAAATGAAGTTGATACTTAATTGTGATCTAACTTATTTTTAACTAAAGTAAATTTTAATTAGATTTTTGTAATTAACAGGTGGTTGGATCAACAATTAAATAGGGTTTTCAAAATTCGCATTAATAAATTGTCAAAATCTTTAATTTTCTTTTCTCTCCGTCACAATTAAAGTGAATAAATAAGTTATAAGGAAGATTATGAGAAAGATTATATAATTAAAATTGATCGAATTCGATCATATTTATTGATAGTATTTTTTTTTCTCTTTTTGTTATAAACATTATTTTAGAGCAATCGAATTGGTTTTTAAAAGACTATATCAAACATTTTTCGAAGATCATTTTCTCTTCTGTGAAAGACGTTTTCCTCTTTCATTTATGCCACCGGTTGATCCTCCAGGGGTCGGCGAAACTCCCCCTTGGGCTACTGTGGCCATTCTTTGCTCTAAATATCTTTGTATCAAAAGAAACATCGAATCTTGAATCCATGAATGAACTTGGGAGACAATTGCATCAACTGCCATAACGATTTCGGGAAGAGTTCCAAGAAACCTGTTTGGTTCGAGAAGAAAAGAGAAAAACATTAATTAAGACAATGTTATTATCAGTGAGAAAATTAACAATAGATGAACTAGTTTAATTTAAGATGATGGATTAATATGAAACGTTTACTTACTTGGAAGAGGTATAAGTTATAAGAAGAGCAAATGAACAGGTTGAACAGAGAAATAGAAGATTGGAAAGGGGTAAGAAAAGTGATTCGAAGATTTTTGAACTAAAGTAGAGCATAAACGACCAGACGAGAAGAATCAAAGTTGAACCAAATAAATTCAGCATATTTTTGGACTTATTTTGGGCACTGAAATGAGTAAACGCAGTGGAAATATTTTCCTCCAATTGTTTCATGTAATTTTCTTCGATCTCTTTTCCTCCCATTTTACGGAACTTTAAGAAACAGTCAAGAGCATCAAGGCGATATTTCTCATGCTTTCGTTGTAGCGATGTTTCGTTGAGATAAGGTTTGTTTCCACCGCAAAGATCTTCCATACTCGACATGTAAAGGTCTCGTGCTGATGCGATAGCTGCTAAATTGTTGGCCTCGGCAGTGGCTTCCAACATAGATTTAGGACCGGGTATAGTATCTCCTGGGTAGAAATAGAACAAGGGATGAGATTAGAATTAAAAATTAAACGAATAACTATGAGAATACCTTTAAAAATGGAAGTATAAACTTTGAAATATTCCAACAATTGTCGTCCAGAAACTTCTTCTCCACTAATATCCTTGAGACGGATTGTGTATGGAGAAACCAATAAAGGAATCAATGTTTTAAGATATTCGATGAATTTTGGTGAGACATCCTTGGTTCTTCCGTCAAACTTTTTGGTTGACACTTCGAAACCTGGATGAGGCATTAGGAAACATTCAATATCAGCAAAACAGCTTCGAATATTTCTTCTTAAACGTTGAAGTTCTTCTGGCATATCTTCCATGATTTCCAATCGTTTTTCAAGTAAACATTGACCACCTTTTAATCCATATTCATGGACATCAGCATAAGGCCAATCACGAACTAAGAACATTAGTTTTTGGAAAGGTTTAACATCAGGTGAAGCCTCCAAGGCAAGTTTACCATATTCGGTGAAAAGTTCTAAAAATTGAAGATTATCTTCCTGTAGATTTAACATTAGATTGAATATTTGAATGGACGAGGTCATAGTTGAGAGGGCAAACACTGTGGCACTATCACGGGTTGTATGACGACCATCAAAGGTTCCTTGAGTATCCATTAGGAGAACGGCAATTTCTTTGCCATTTTTTTCGATGATAAATGGTTCGGACCACATAAGGATACCTGTTGTTTCCCGATCCGGACCTGATCGCCAAGAGAAACCTGATCAAAAAGACAAAAAGACATTAAGATTAACATTATAATGAGGAAGGTAAGTTAAGAAAAATCATAGTAAAGTGAACAGGAGTAAGAGGAAAAAGACTGAAAACCAGAAAGAAAGGAATGAGTATAGAGAAACAATATAATAAATAGGAAACAGAAGGAAAGCAATCACACAAAATGTATACAATCAGAATGACCTTGGCGTCAAAATGCAACCACCATCGACTAAATTAAACTGATCATATGAATGGAAAATCTATTCTTCTGAAGGGAAAAAAGAAGAAGAAAAATCTTACCTCTTAACGGTTCATCTTCATCTTCAAGCCAATCAGTTTTCTCTAATTTACTGAAATATCGAATGAAGAAATTGAGTAGAAAAGATTTTCCTGTTCTGAATGTACCAGCAATCGAAACAACAGCCACAGGCTTATCTTTTACCTTATCCTGCAAAAGAATTGATGAAAGAGCCTCAGTGTCTAATTTTAATTGACGACCTCCAGATTCTGTGGTGACAATTTGAACAATCTGAACAGGTTGTGGTTCAGGAGTAGTCGAAGAGACATCAGAAGACTGATCAGCTTCAATAGAATCACCTTTAAATTTTGAATCCATAATCGAAACTTATCCACCAATTAATTAATTAATTTCAATCACACAGGTAGTTAAATAATTAACTCAGAACAAAAAAATTGCCAACAAGTTAAAATCCAGAGATCAAAACAGAAACAACAATTTATTAGTCCACTTTGGATGTAGTCACATGAGTCGTTGCTCATGCGCTAGAGAAATATAAAAATATTCTCTTTGTTTTACAATAGAATAGAATTTAAGTTTTTGATTTGATCAAGATTTTCTTTGATTTTGTTGATGACATTTGTTATTATTTTTATTTTTTCTCTTTTTGGTTTATCATTTGTTTCCAATGGCCATTCCCAGTCTAATTTTTGTCCTGTAATCTCTTCAAGATGTTCTGAATGTGTCAGTACGTGTATTATTAATATTTGTTTTCTTCCACAACAGAAAATTGATTTTTTGATTCCAAAGTTTTTCCAGAGTGAAAACCATTGCCATGTTGTTAACGGGTTATACCAGTACTTTTTACATATCATGTTCGGATTTACCAGTGAGTCTATTGTTGTCTGTTTTTTTCTTATTTCTATTATTAATTTGTTTGTTAATTCTTTTATTTTTCTTTGTAGTTCGGATCTCGTTAACCAATCAATTTTCCATTCTATTATTTTCTCTCCATCTTGTGGTTTAATTTCCTTTGATCGCTCCCATTTCGTGATGCACAATGTCCATTTGTTGTTTATTATTGTTGATAATATCGCTTTTGTATCCTTTGCTGTGTCCGAATATTTATTGATGTCCTTGATTATTGTTTCACATATTGGTAGGTGTTTAAATTGATTATTTTTTGTTATTCTTATTAGGATGAATAGTATTATTATTTTTGTTCCATATTCAGATCTTTTTTTGTTATTGTTATTGTTAACAATAATAATAATATTCTGTTGTTCCAATGTTATCATGATTTTTGTTTCTTTTTCTTCGTTCAGGTATTTGATTCTCGGATATTTGCAGTTACAATTTTCCATCATTTTCTGGATTTGTTCATTTCGCCAACGGTAAATGTTTCAAATGTTCAATCGGTTTGGTGATGATTCTTAAGTGTTCTATTGATATTCTTGACGAGTTATACTCTATGTCCCATTTGATAAGAGTGTTTATCTGTCTTCTTATTACTGATTGAGATCCAAGCACCATTTCCTGTGTCCATCGTTCCATCCGTTTCAATCCAAATATTGGCGATATCATTTTGTGTATCTTGCTTTGAATTTGTGAACCTTTTTCTTTGTAATTTTTATCCAGAATCCATGTGTAGTCGAGTTTTTGAAGTGTTGGTGTTATGTAAGTATTTAGTATCAATCTTTTCAGGTCAATTGGTAATGATCTTATATGTGACATCACATGCATCATTGGTCTGGTTGCTTGCATCATTAGCTCGGTTAGTATTTCTTCTCGATTTTTATTTGTATTTTTTGTTGTTATTTTTTGTCCAATTAGTTCATCACAGTCTTTTCCTTCTATTATTATTGTTTTTTGTTTGTTTATTTTAAGGTTGATTCTTCCAAGTTGGTGTTCCATGTGGTGTAATGCTTCTTTCGCTTCGTCTTTCGAATTGGTAATAATAATAATATCATCAGCAAATGCGTAAGTTTCATATCTTTTCCCTTTCATTACTCTCATCACTTCGTCTAATGCAACTATGAAGAGTAGTGGTCCACAAGATGATCCTTGACTCGTTCCTTGGTTCATTTCTTCCCAGTATATTTTTCCTTCCCATATTAATTTGATCCATCTTTGTCCATTCATTGATTTGACGAGTTGTCCCAATTGTTCATTTATTTCTATTATTCTTTCGATTGCTCTTTCAGTGTTTACCTCATCAAATGCTTTAGATATGTCAAGTTTGACAATCCATTTTGATTTGAATTCTTTCATTGTTGTTATTTTTAATATTAATTGTTCTCTTGATTTTTCTTTCAAATAGGCAAATTGTGAGTCAAATAATAATATATTTGGGAGCCATTCTTGTATTCGATCTGCAACCAATTTATCTATTAGTTTTAATAGATAATTTGGTGCTTTTACCACTCGAAGACTTTTACCATCGGATTTTTTGATAAGTCCTGAGCCATAAATTCTCATTCGTTTGGGTACGTATGCCATTTGGAATATCATATTGATTATTATTATTATTTTTATTCTATTTTGTTGATAGAATTTGTTCCAATTTGCTATCGAGAATTTATCTCCGCTCAGTGATGATGTTTTTATTTTATTCCATGTAATCTTTGTTTCTCTTCTGTTGTTAATCCAGGGTATTTGAATTGTTTCTCATCTTGTTCTTTGAATTTAGGTTTTGTTGTATACATTGAGTTAATGATTTCTTTCAATGCTTTTTCGTATTTAGTGTCGTTGTCAGTCATGAATGGATTGTTTTTGTATATTATTGACTGGTTGATAATATTCCATTTTCTTTTGTTTTCCATCTTTTTTAGTTCTTTGTATTTTATTTTTTTGTTGTTATTTTTTTGTTCTATTTTTTTCCATCTTCCATGAATGTCTGGGAAGGTGATTATCCTTTTACAATTTTCGATGATGTGATGATTGTTATTGAAATGTCGGTAATCCATAGGTTTTATTTTAAGATTCCATGACTTCATTTCCAATCGTTTGGTTGGACTTTTATTAATTGATGTTCTTATTTCAATATTTGCTTGTAGTAGATTGTGATCTCCATTTTCTAATCTTGTTATTTTTTTCGATTTTATTTTCATGTTTGAGTTATATAATATAACATCAATCCATGATTTTTCGTCTTCTCTTTCGAATGTTGGATTTGATTCGGATGAGAATACACTTTTGATGTTATTATTTTTTATTATTTGGTTGATGATGAAGTTGTTTGAATTTTTTGGTGACCAGAGTTCGTGTTGGTAGTTAATATCACCCATTAATATTGTATTTTCTGTGATAAATTGGGATAATTTGATCCATTTGTTGATTTCATTTGTTCTTATGTATATTATTATTCGGAGATTGAAAAATGGTTCACCAAGGTCCATCATTATCATGTCTTTTTCTGGGTACGATGTTTTTATTATTTTAATATCTTTCGATATTAGAGCTATTGCATTTTCGTTGATTTTCATATCTGTTGTCGATTCTCTTATAATTCTTATATTTGGTTCGTTGATTGAAATAATTGTATTTGTTTTATCTTCAATACTTTGTTTTATTATTTTTGTTATTTCTCTTCTTTTTCCTGTGTTGAGATGGATGAGATTTAACATTGAGTATGATATCCCGTGTGTATTAATTGGCATAATTCACATTGAAGATATGTAGCTTTTGGTTTAATTTTGATTGATTTGTTGTTGATGTTGATGATGTTCTTGTTTCTTTTGATTTTCAGAATTAATTCTTCATCATTTGTTTGTATTATTATTTTAAATTCACTGATGTCTTGTTTCTTTATTTGTATTATTGTGTTTTTGTTGTTGAAGAGATTTTTTATTTCTTCGTTTTCTGTTGGTGATGTTGATGATATTTCGTAATATCTCCACTGAATGTATATTAATGTTATTTCTTTGTCTTCAATTGATAGTATTTCATTAATAATTTCTTGTGGTGTTTCGGTTGATAATTGTATTTGTCTTCTGTTGCTCTTGTACCCACGAATTTCCGATCGATATTGTTTAGATATTATTTGTGATAATTTATGTTGTTGCAATAGTCCTTTAAATGCGATTATCATGCAATTTGTTGAGTTATTTAGTTGTTTGTTTTCTCCTTCTATTTCAATTGATTTGGTCTGTTTATCTGTTTCGATTCTGTTCGGTGTTGATTGTTTCACAGTTATTTGTTTTTTCACCAAGTTGAATTGTTTAATTGTTGTTATTATTTTTTCCACTGTTTCAATGTCCCTTTGGATGTTGTTTTCATTCTCCATCCATTGGCAGCTTATTAAGTTTAGTATCTGAATCAATTCACTGTATTGATCGATTGTTACTTTATTTGATTCAATTGCTTCGATCGTTGATATTAAATTAGTGTAATTTATAAGTTGATTGTTGTTGTTGATTTCTTCAATTAACCAATGAGGCATCACTGATTCACTTAATTTTGATTTTTAATATTATTTGATTGTTGAGAAGATTGTCACCTTTTAAATGAATTTATTATTTTTTTCTATTTAGATGAGTGTTAAACAATAATAATAATAATAATTAATAGTAATTGTTATTTAATCGAATCACGTTTTATTTCTAATCACGTTTTTAGTTCATTTCCTGATTTTAATTTTTCAGGTAACTCCATCTTTGAATTTATTGTTCAGTTTTCTTTTCTCTCAATTGATCAGTTCAGGATTTAATATTTTAGTTTTAAATTTTTTTCAATGGTTTATCATTATGTTGATTCTTGGGCTAATTTTAAAATCTTCATTTTTATTAATTATTTATTGATTTATTAACGTGAATTAGAATGATTAATTGTCTTGATTGATTAATCAACTGAGTAGTAAATTGTGATTAATTAATTGTTTAGTTATTTTTAGAGCAATTTATTTTCCTTTTATGTGGCTCCATCTATGAATTTGTTGTTTCACTGTTTCTTTTAATTTTTCTTCATTTGCTTTTTTGACTCTTTCGGGTTCGTTTCTATTTTGATCAAAATTTTTTGTTTAATTGTTAATTGTTTCGTTTAAATTTGAATTTTTTGATTTTGGTTTAATTTTCTTGTGATTTATCACTTGTTGATCGTTTTGGTACAATTCATTTACATTAGTAAGTTTTGTTGATTGTTTATCTTCATGTTTTTATTTTTGTTCTTTTTGTTATTTGGCTTTTTAATTGAATCGCTTTATTCGCTTTATTAATTGTTTCTCTTTTTTTCTCTCTTTTGATTATTATTTATCTATTTTTCTTTTAGTTTTCCAATTTTTAAATCATTGTGAGTATTTGTTATTATCATTCACTGATTGTTATTTAATTATTGATTGATTGATCAGTATCAACATCAACATTAATCAATATTAATATTACTTTTCTTTTTTGTTTTTATTTTTAGCTTATTGGCTTTTCACTTGTTTCGCTTTGCAATTTGATTTTGATTGTTTTCCAATCTTTGAATCATTGTAAGTATTAGTTAATTGTTATTTTTAATTATTGGTTAATTAATAATATTAATTAATAATAATATTAATTTTGTTTCTATTTTTATTATTATTTTTCTTTTAGTTCAATGGCTTTTTCTAAGCAGCTCAATGGCTTGTACTCTGATTTTTTCGTTTGTGGCATTTGTAATAAGTTGGCTATTCGTCCTCAAATCCATGATGGTGGTTATGGTCAAGATTTTTGCCAGCGTGTTTTTTGTGAAGTTTGCGTTGGAGTTCGAGCAGAGAATCCTTGTTTTCAACGAGCTGGTCGTTATGGTGGTTTCGAGACTATTTGTCCAACTCCAAATTGTAGGATCACTTTTAAGCCTCCATATTTTCGTAAACTTGGTATTATTGAAAAAATTTGTTACAATAATTTGACTGTTGATTGTCACAAGTGTGATAAGCGTTTCGAGGTTCATAATTTTTTGGCTCATGTCGCTAAATGTAAGGGAAAAGACTCTGCTTCAGCTGTACAACCTGTTTGGTTTGGTGATGCTCGTAGGTTGGTACCTAATCCTGCTATTCAATCAACAATAATAAAAATAATACACAACGAGCGATTGCGACTTATTTCCAACAATATGTTACGATGGAAAAATAATAAGCCGGATTCAATCGTTAATATGTATTTTCGTACTTTGGGTCTTGATTTTCAGTACTCTATGCCTACTGTTCTTGATGTTAAAGAGGCTTTAAAGCTATTGGCTTCTTTTAAAAATTTGGACGAGGATTCAATTGACGTGGTCTATGTTGGACATGTTTCAATGCGACAATTTGAGACTGTTTACGATTTCTTACAATTGATGCCCGATTGTTCTGATTTTAATCTTGTTGGTCAGAGTAAAAATTTTTCTAATCCTGATATTGATTTGCGATTTCAGATTGTTACAGCTCATCCGAAGAGACAAATTGCTGCTGTTGCTGATGAAGCTTCTCAGGTTGAAGCTTAATTTCATTTTCTAATGAGTGATTATCTTTATTATTATTTTTGTTTTCTTTATTCATTCAATTCTCATTGTGTTTTCATTTCATTTTTGTTTATTCATTTTCTTATTGTTACATTTCAGTTTATCATGTTTATTATTTTTCTTTGTTGTAATTTTGATTTATCACTCATTATTATTATTAGTTCATTTCATTTTTCTTCACAATTGAATAATAACAATATCAATTTTGTAACAAGTTAATTTCATTGATTCATATCATTAAATATTGATATTCAAATGCTACTTTGCTGGTTTCAGTGATCATTTTTTGTCGATACTCTGGACAATCAATTGTTCCTGGTCGATGAGATTTTTTGTTGCATGTTGCACATTTCATGTTGGATTCATTTTGATTGGGACAGAATACGTGATTGTGATTGCCAGCACAATAGTTACAAATGTCTTGATTTTTGCAGTTTTTCCTGAAGTGGGAAATTGAGTGGCATCTTGAACAATAAGTAATATCAAAAATATCAATCACTTTATGTGTTCTCATCCCACTTGATATGATTCCGTTTGATTTTTGGATGTCTGATCTTAACGCTGGACTGATCTTTGCGATTATGTCGTTGTTATTGTTGTGTTTTTTCATCACTTTGATTATTTTGAAGTTTTCTGTTGTTATTGTTTTGTTGTAATTTATGAAGTTCTTTTCATATGTTATATCACTTCGATGTAACCCTTGTACATTCAAGATTTTGATCTTTGGGGCTTTCTTTTTTGGTATTATTATTTCACACTCTGGGATATTTTTATTTATTATTTCGATTATTTCTTCCAACGTTTCCATGTCGATTGTTTTTACTTTAACATCTTTCGGGTTCGCAAAGAATGAGTGGCTCTTCTCAATTTCAATTTTTCCTTGTTCTTTCAGATCGGAGATCATGTTGAATATTTGATTCGGAGTTTTTGATTTATGGCTAATGAAGGCCAGTGAGCTTGTTGTTTTTTGTTCCCATTTCAACCACGATTCTGGTACTTGTTCATCTGTTTTTTATTTTTATTGGTATTAGTGATTCGTCGTCTTCATCTTTTTTTCTTTTATTTTCTCCTTTGGTTGGTTCACTTGTTTTCGTGACCTCTAGAGCTTCTTTGAGGATACTGGACGATTTTCTTGTTTTATATATTTTATCAATCAATTGTTTCATTTTCATTATTTCTTCAATTTTTGTTGATTCGATATTGAAGTTGTTGAGCATTATTGGATCCTCGATTAATTTCTCGATGTCAACACTTAATTCTTTGAGTTCTTCAGTTGATGTTATATCACAAAAAGAGACCACATCACTTTCCATTAGGTTGATTATTAGGTCAATTTTTTCATTCCATTCACTGTAATTAATTAAGGTTGACATTATTGTTATTGTTGTTATTTATCACAGAAATATTAATAATATTAACAATACTAATGTTGGTCACTTATTATTTTTGTTACTTTAATTTTAGTTAGTTGTTACATTCAGTTGAGAGGTATTAAAGTTACTGTCTCTAATTTTAATTGTTGTAATCTATTTATTGTTTTCTTTACGGAAGTGTGATTAACACGTTTTCCGTTTTTGATATCTTTCATAATTACTTGTGAATCTTATCATTTTTTATTTGATCTTTTGATCAATTGTCTCAGGGGATTCAACGATAGTGTTGATTATTATTAATGTTATTCCACTCACCCAACGTGGTCCATTTCCGGTGCTGTTTCAACTCCCTCTTCCTCCATTTCGATGTCTCTGGTTTCAATCTCTTCCATAATCGCTAGATTCCCGTGTTCAATCAGTTCACCATCCATTCAATTGCTACAATCTATTAATTGGTCTCACTCCCAGTCAAGTGTTTTTGGACAATCCTCTGTTATTTTCGTGGTCCTTGGAATTTTAGACAACAATTTTTTTTCTTTTTATTTTTGTGGTCCTCGGAACTTCAACATTATTAATATTAACTAATTAATTGGTAATTAATTCATTTTCACATTCAAAATATTGAAACTTTTCGTTACAAAAATTAACATTTACGTTACAAAATAGAAAACCAAAGGGACCGTCTCCTAATTACCATCGATCTTTTTTTCATAAAATTAACAATTAAAGTGATTTAATTGTTAATCATAAGGATTGTGAATTAAATTTAATCACAAAACAAATTGTATTTTTATCTTTAAATCTTTAAAAGATGGGTCATCTTATCGACTGATTTTATCTAAATTGTTTGAGTTAATTGTTAATCGAAAGTAATAACTTGATTACTTGAGTTCCTCTTATCATTTTTTTCAATTGATTTACAATTAAATTCACTGTTTTGTAATCAACTTGAAGATTTGTGATTAAATGATTTGTATCTAATAATTATTGATTATTTACTTTGAGATTTTCATTAAGATGAACATTTGTCAAATTGTTGAGGGAAAAAAATGAAGGTTAATTGTTATCGACAAGATTGTTAATCAATCAGTTGATTAATCATTTTCACAGTTTCAAGAAAAACAAATCAACAAACAATTAATTGTCCATAGATTAAGTTTATCTACTGTTGAGAGAGACATTTTTTTCCTTCAAGTAATTAACTAAATCATCACTGATTTTAAATGAATCAAAACCAATCAAAGAGATTGATTTATATTTTTAATCACTTAAAATGAATAATAATCAACAAATTGTTTCAATTTGCAAACCAAAAATTAATGGAAACACTTTTCAATTAATGTTACTGTTATTTTCACAGTTAATTGTTAATTGCTGAACAAATTAACATGTAATAAAAATGTTATCTTTAATTTACAGAATCAAGTTAATTACTATTTACAAGACGAAAGAAAAATTTTCTGTTAATTAAATTGTTGATTATTTACCAAGTGTTTATTTAACCAGAAAATCTAATTAATCAACAAGTGGTTGGAATACATTATCCTTTAATTGTGAATTGATTGTTTTCCAAATTGGTGGTCACGTTAAAGAAACTGTTAATTAGTTAAATAGATGATTCCATTAAAACAGATTCTGGTCTAAAATCTGTCTCAATTAACGGAGTAAAACCATTTGATCTTAATTGTTTTCGACGGAGGAACCAATTAATCAATCGATTTCCAATAACTCGACCACCAATTAACCATCATGAGATGAAAACTTCATCTTCAAGTTCAGTGTCATTAGCAATTGAGTTAATTGGTTGACTATTACCAACATTTGGACCTCGAGGTTTAAATTTAACTGAATCACAAGTTGATTGTTGCTGATGACCAGCCGATGAAACGGAAACTCTGGTCAATGAGCTTCTTGATATTGACCATTTCCGGGAGCCATCTTGTTGTGATTTAATTGAATTCTGTTTAGATGTTGATCCATCTTGAGACTTAATTGTTGTTGATGTTTTCCTTGAGACTGTTGATGCTTGTCGACTAATGGGCAGTGGTTTTGACCAGAGCATTCGAATTTCTCTCAATAAAAGTCCACTACGAATAAAATAGAGAAAAATAGTGACCATTGAGAAAACGGAGGCCACTAAGGAGACGGTGTTTTTCAAGGCCAATGTTTTGGTGAACAGAGCAACTATCGATCCAGTTAGCGCACTGATCATCCCAAGGGTACACAGAATCTCAGCTGATACTTTTCGTCGAGCTGACCAAGTGATATAATCACATTGACCAATCAAATGAAGGAAATAAATGGTAAACGAGTAGAGACACGAAAGTATATTGATAACGGAGAAAGAGATTGAGGTCAATGTTGAACATTCAAGGTTATCGGTTAGGTAAAAGTCTTCACATGGATCGGACAATTTGGAGGCCACAAAAGCTGCCAGAGAGGTCAACATGATGAGGAGAAGGATAATTCCATGGAAAAGTGAGGAACTTGTCGCACTGACCAAACCGCTCATTTCGATTGAAGATGAAACGGTCGACGATCCATTGAGAAGAGTTCGAGGTCCAAATGAATCTCTTTCCGTTAAAGTGGCCAAACGATTTTCACTCTCAGTAATTGGATTTGATTGTAAACGAGTAACCAAACTTTTCTTGGGTTTACCACAATTAGTTAAACCACTAATTGGTGTTGATTCTTGCAAGGAAAATGATCTCTCCAAACATAAACCTTGGGTTGATTGTTGTGATTTTATTACACTTGATGATTGTGACAATGGTGATGATGATGATTGTTGTTGATTATTGTTTACTTTAATTGCTCCCTTTGATTGAGATGATGATGATGATGATCCATCAGGATTTGTTGATACCTTTGATTTTGAATCTTTTTTCTTGGATTCCGATTGACTGACCATTGGCTTTGGTGGTTTAGGTGGAGCTGGACGGAGGTTTTCAAGTGAGTAAATATCATCGTCCATTGTAATTGTTGTCATTTCAGTTGATTGTTGATTCGTTGATGATTAACTAAATTGTGACTTTTCACTTATTCAGGGTCAATTTGAAAAAAACTTCTCTACTCTTGTTTACTAATTGTTGTTACTTTTTTGTGACTTGTGGCAATTTCTGGCTAATTGTTGCTGGTGCTTTGGATCTCGAGATAAATAATTAAAACCAAGGAAATGATTAACTTTCCATAGACAATCACAAATTAACACTAATCATCTCTCTCTCCAGTGTTGTTTAACTGATTGAACCGGAAGAATAATTTTTAAACAAATTCCTGTTTAAAACTCAGGACAAAGACCTGATCCACACGACGAACGATTTAACAATTGATTAGTTAATTTCCACCGTTGATTAACAATCCTGATTATATTACGATCATTGTTCAAGGTCAAAATACTAGATTTACAATCAACTACAAGAGTAAAGTTAATTAGTGTCTGTGTCCTGTTTTCTTAAAAATGAATCAATAAAAAAACAGTAAATGAGCAGTTATGATCATAATTGTTACTGTGACAATTAACCAAAGTTACAGTGATTAAGACGGAAATCCTTTTCTATTGATCATGATAATTTAAATTCAGGAAAAGAAAAGGTAACAATTATCAAGTTCTAACGGTAAAACTTTTTCTTTTATTGTCGTTTATCAGAAATCCAACTAATAATCCAAATAATAGTTGTAACAATTTAATAATAAACTATTTTAGTCTCTCTGTAAATGCTACCTGATTGTTACAGTTAATGGAAAATGTGTGATTGTCTAATTTGAATCATTTCTATTCTAGTTGGAGCATCAACATGTATCATTTACATTGGAAGGATGAAATGTACGAAAGTCTAATATCAATATCGAAATGAAATATCGACGACTGGGTGTATATTCAGGGTACTCAGAATGCGATGTTGATGATAACGAATGGAAACAGAGCAGAGAAACCGATAATTGTAGATTCTTCTCCCCATCAACTTGAAACTATTAATAAATTCTCAGTGTGAGTATCAACCTAAGGGAAGAAAAAGATTATCGAAGGAAAAAAAGAAGAAAAGAAAAAATTTCCACCATGAATCTTTTCTCTCTCTCTCATGAACTGAATTTCTCTTGATTTTCCTTTGCTAGTTGAGAAAAGGTGGTAATGCGCTTAAGTGTATTTCGAACTTGTGTGTGAATGAGGACGAAGTCTCTTCTTGTAAACGAATGTCGAAAGTTAGTGATGGAGAAAGAGAACACACAGAGTAGAAAAGAAAAAGATGAAGAAGAGAAATTTATTCGAAAAAATTGAGAGAGAGAAAAAAAATTCGAAAGAAAAAATGAAAGAAGATGATGATGAAGACAGAATCATTTTAAGAACCGAAATTGGGCCAACAAAGATATAATTCACTCTACTCAACATAACCAAATTTAACCACCATGTTAATGGTTCCTTTTTCTTTTCTCTGTCTATTTGTCTTTCTTTCAAATTTGTCGACATGTTGTTCATCTTTTTAATCATCAGCAATTCAGATTCTCTTTTCGTCTTCAATAAACTTTTACTTCTTCATCTAAATTTAGTTTCTCGTTGTTTGGATGTTTAGTTTTTACGAATTGAAGATTCAGTTCAGCTTCAGTTACGATAATCAGAATATTTTTTTCTTCTTCTTCATTTGTACCTTTTAATTTTAATTTCTCTTTCTTTTCTTCCTTTCTTTTTCCATGTAATCAAATTAAATTTGATGATGAGGTGAAACAATGAAGAATGAAGAAAGAATCAATCAATTATCAACAACAATCACAACAACAACAACAACAACAATATCAGCAGCAATTAATTCACCAAGAGACAAATCAACAAGTGTATCAACAGGAACCATTTTATCAACAACAACAACAAGGTAATGAAGTGATTAAACCTGGATCATCATCAGCACCTTCGGTAACGGGTGGAGGTCGATTTGACTTCGATGATGGTGGTGTTTATGTCGGTGGATGGCAAGATGGTAAAGCTCATGGTCATGGTATTTGTACAGGTAAATTGTTGATCATCAAACAAGTGGATTAAGTGATTAAGTGGAAAAGTTATTTTCGTCAATTGTTATCAACCTCAATTCTAGTTATCTGGATTAACCTTAATGAGATTGAAGACAAAAATCTAACCTAAATCGTAGCAATTAACAAGTGAAGAGTGAAAATCTAAGGTTAACAGTTGATTAATTGTTATCACTTGTTTTTTTTATCTAATTTAATTGATTGTTGTTAAATTGTTTCTCTCTTTCATCATTATTTTCCGTCTTTTGTTTTTCTAGGACCTAAGGGTCAAGGTGAATACAGTGGATCGTTTAGTTTCGGGTTTGAGATTTGTGGTGTTTACAAGTGGCCCAGCGGAGCGATTTTTGAAGGCCAGTGGTCAAATGGTAAACGCCATGGGTGTGGTGTTGAGTACAGAGGAAAGTGGGTTTATAAAGGTGAATGGACTCAGGGTTATAAGGGTCGATATGGTGTTCGAGCTTCCTTTATCTTCAGCCAAATACGAGGGAACTTGGGCCAATGGGCTTCAAGATGGTTATGGATCGGAAACCTATGCAGATTCGGGCACTTATCAGGGTCAATGGTTGCGAGGAATGAGACATGGTTATGGTGTCCGTTCATCGGCACCTTATGGTCATTGTAATGTGACCAAAGCTGCTTTGATTAAGAACCAAACTAACCTTTCGATTCAATCTCTTGACACTGAAGGTGAAACGGATTCGACTATTTTTGATTCAGTGAAAAGAGATTCGACCATGAGAGGTGGATTTGTGTTGGTTGTGAAAAGTTCATCTTCATCGACGACATCCAATGGTCGACGGCGACACAATTCGCTAGGTGATAAAACATCCCCATCATCAGCATCGAACCAAAAGACTGGATTTCTTCGAGGTCTTCGATTGAAGAAGCAAAAGTCAACAGGTGACATAGATTTAAGATCAAATCGTTCATCGTCTTCTTCGGTTGCTTCTTCAATCGATTCGGCCTCATCTGCACCACTTGGTAATAAACACTTAAGTCGTGATCATATCGATCCAGATACAATATCGAATTCATCTTTTCTTTCACAAGAAGGTGACATTGCTGACCCTTCGACAACCGAAACTTACATGGGCGAATGGAAGAACGATAAAGGTCAGGTTTCGGAATTTGTGAAAGATCAGATGGACTTCGCTATGAGGGTGAATGGTACAACAATAAAAAGTACGGCTATGGGGTGACCTTTTTTCGCGATGGTTCTCGTGAAGAAGGTAAATATAAGAATAACTGTTTGGTGACCAATGCGAAAAAGAAACACCTTTTCGTCCTTCGATCATCTAAATTAAGAGAACGCATTGAATCAGCTGTTGCTGCCGCTCGTCAAGCTCAACAAATTGCCCTACAAAAAGCGGATATTGCCATTAGTCGAACGGCCACAGCTCGAAGTAAAGCCGAACAATCAGATGGAGTTGCTGCTCAATCACGAACGGATTCATCGCTTGGATATAAAATAGCAAAACAATATGGCGGTTCTGATGTTGCTCATGGCTTATCTCAGCCCGATGCTCCACTTCGAGGTCGATTATCCAATTTCCCGTCAATTCGACGAGGTAATCGTTCGGGTGATCATTCGGTGAATGGATCACGTCAGTATCTTGACTTTAATGAACCTTTTGGTGGTCGTCGTGGTTCATTTCGTACGGGATCTAATCCTTCAATCTCAGGAGGAGGAGGAAATCATGATCACCAACAAATATCACCATCACCATCTCCAACCTCATCATATAATTATCAGAATCAACGACAACAACAACAACAACCACAGCATTCAAGTTCATTACAATTTACAACGGGAAATCAAGGAATAAATCGTGGACCCAATCAAATATCACAACATCATGATTCCCAACAATACATTAATCAAAATCAACAACATCATCAACCTAAACAACAGATTTACATTAATAATAATGAAATTGATCCATTAAACGATCACTTGGATCATTATCAAAAATTAGTTTCTCGTTATGGTAAAACAAGTAAACCTCCGTTACCGGACAATATTTTAAGTAACCGATTCAATAGATCACAAAATGTAATCACGGCAAATTTGGATAAAGTTTATGGGACATCAACGGGAACCAGTTCAATTGATTCAGGGCGAGAAAGTGGTGATCAAAGTGATTCAGGACTCAAATTACCACCAGTGATCGATATGTCATCCGATTCAACAAGAGCACCAACAAGAACCGCATCACTTTATCGTCTTCCAACCGCAACAACAACAATCAACAGTGGATCAAATAACAATGCCAGAGGCGGAATAAGTTCCGGTGGTGGCGGAGGTGGAGGTGGCCTCAAAAGGAAACCATCATTACAATCAATCTCTAGTAAGACACCAATTAAGGAGCCGATGATGAGTAGGGAAGAGATTTCCGTGCTCTCTCATGCCACTCGGGAACATCGTCGACAGGAAGCGGAAACGGCGGAAAGATTGGCCCATAATCCGTTACTTTATTTTGTCGACCCTCGATTTAGGGACTGGTTAAATCGTCAACAAATAATCATCGCAGTTATATTCATTAATATCACCTTAGCAATTATATTTTTTAAATTATTAGGCTAATGATCATCATCTCACTTTGTTTTTTTTTGTTCTTTTTTTAAATTCAATTTAAATCATTCGAAAATATCAATTGTTTAATCACTTGTTGAATCGACATTAATTTATTAACTAAATCGCGATTGTGATCTGCTATTTGGAAATCGTTTAGTTTACATCAACTACTATTCACTTATTTGATTGAATTAGCGAAAGGAACAAGGTTGTGAACGATTGTTTCATTTCGTGGTTTGATTATTTAACTGCAATCGAAACGAAATTTAAACTAATTGTTAAATCAATTTAATCATAATCACTATGAACACTTTTTGTTTTTCCATCACAACAATTAACTTAATCAATGCTGCCAAATTAAATTGTCTCCGAATTTTTTTGTTATCCAATTGTGATTATCATTTTTTTCCACTTTGATTGAAAAAAAGAGAGTTAATTGTTGATAATTAAATGTTCAAAAATTCAATTTTCAACCAAAAGTCTTCGAGATCGATATTCGATCATCGATCTTCCAAAAGTCGATTATGATTCAAGATTAGTTTCTCTGATTTCATTCGATTGAAATCGATTTTCAGTAGGATCGGGACATCATTTTCATGTTTTTACTTTGGTAAAATACTTGATTAGTTAATTGTTATTCGTTTTTTCAAATTAATTGTCACAAGTTGTGGTGAATTGTTTAATTTTCCTTGATCTTCATTATGCTGGTAAGTAACTCAGTTGATTTTCCAATGAATTTACATGGAATCTATTGATTCTTTTATATTTCTTTTCTCATCACTTGATCACTTTTCTGTTTTTCTTTTAGATTTTTTTTTCTATTTATTTTTCTTCAATGTGGTTTATCTTTGAATTAATTGTGATTGTTAACCTTTTTCGTTTTCAATTCTATTCTATTTCCAGGATCAATCGACTATTATTACTACATTGACAACTATCGTTGCAGGTGTTGTCCTATTCATTTGGCTTAAAAAAAGACAATCGTCCAAACAGGTTTTCCTTACAGATCCAGAGATCAAGCACAAAGTACCATTGATTGCTAAAGAGGTATTACAATCATGTCCTTGATTCGGATCATTCTTTTTACTTTAATTCTAAATTCTGTTCCTTGTTCTTTTTATCCATTTTCCTCTTGCATTTTTCTAGAATATCAACTGGAATACACGACGATTCAGATTCGGTTTACCCACAGATAAACATGTTCTTGGTGTTAATCCAGGACAACATGTTTACCTTTCTGGAAATTACAACAATGAGTTAATTATTCGCCCTTACTCTCCAGTGTCCAGTGATAAAGAGCAAGGATACTTTGATCTTGTAATCAAGGTAATAATTTCATGTACACCATTAGTGTGACATTAATCTATCCAATTCCACTTGAACAATATCAGACTAGTTGAATTTTAAATTCTACAATCTCGATTTCTATACTAATCTCTAACAAGTACAGATGAACTTAGAGTTGATTAATATTTCAATGAAATTCAATGTTGAAGTTTAAATTATTATCTCCAGGAGAAACCAACGAACTCTTCAAAGTGAAAAGGCAAATTGAATCTTATGTAATTCATGTAGTATTTTGCACTAGACTAATTCAAATAAGTAGAATCATCTTAACTTATCTATTGATTAACATCGTAATTAATATGGGAGTATTATTTTTCTCTATCAAATTGTAGTTCAACATCTATCTCATCGGTTATTCAAGGTTGAATCCTAGATTGAGATAAATACTAAATAGTTACTAATTATTGATTTTTATCACTTTTTCTTAGGTTTATTTTAAAGATCAGCATCCAAATTACCCTGAAGGAGGTAAAATGTCACAATATTTGGACAGTTTATCTATTGGAGATACAATTGATATTCGTGGACCAGAAGGAAAACTCATCTACGGATCGAATGGTGATTTTTACATAAAGAAAACTAAAAAATCTCAAGCTGAGAAATTTAATTACAAGAATGTTGGTATGCTTGCTGGAGGAACAGGAGTGGCACCACTTTACCGAATTATTCGAGAGATTATCGATAATCCTGAAGATAAAACTAAAGTTTGGTTGATTTTCGCCAACAACAATCCAGATGACATATTATTGAAAGAAGAGTTTGAGGAAATCGCCGCTAAACATGGCGATCAAATCAAAATTTGGTACACTTTAGTTAAAGCTGATGAAGGTTGGAAATACTCAGTGGGATTTATCGATGAAGAGATGATTAAACAACATATGCCCCCTCCAAGTGATGACACAATTATGCTAATGTGCGGACCACCGCCGATGATTAAATTTGCATGTACACCAAATTTAGACAAATTGAATTACGATGCAGCTAAGCGATTCATCTTGTAAATCAATTGTATCGTCTCTCTGATCCTGTCCAGTGTTTTCCAGTTTTGTCTATGTTTTAGTAAAACCAATACAACAACATAGTTTACACACTCACAAGAATTAGCGATTAATGTAATTAATCAATGTAAATCCAATTTTGTGTATCAATTCTTAAAGAAAAATGTTTTAGTTTTAATTTGTCATCTCAAGTTGAATTTTCTTTACGAATTGTTTATATGTAAAGAGTTGATTTCATGAGAATTCGGTACTATTAATTACGAAGTAATTTAACTGCAACTCATTTAACCAAATGATCCATTTGATTGTCAGTAAAAAGCACCAATCAAATGACCAGCGTTTTTCCAATAGTTGCGAGTTTTATTAATTTATTTTACTGTTAAGGTCCAACACTAATTAGATTAAAATGTCAATCAATTTGAATTTTCAATTCTCATTTATGATTGGATTGATTTAAAATCCCAATCTTTTAAATTTCTTACAATTTCACATTTATTGAGCTTTAATTATTATCCTTTTATTTATTTGATTAACCTACTATTTAGTCCAACACTTTGGTCTCAAAATTGAACAATTATATTAATCGTTACGATCGTTGAATTTATGTCGTTGAACAAAAGCTATTCAAGTCCTGAGATTTTCCTTAAAGACCCTGAGATCAAACATAAAGTACCATTGATTGCTAAAGAGGTAAACCTAATTTTCTATCGTCTAAGGTTCATAATTAACTAATTTCTTTTCGTTTTTTTCTTTGATTAATCAAGTAGTACATCAATTGGAATACAAGACGTTTCCGATTCCGTTTACCCACCGAGAATCATGTTCTCGGTGTTCCCCCAGGGCAACATCTCTACCTTTATGCTAATATCAACGATGAATTAGTTATCCGTCCTTATTCAGCGATTTCGACTGATAGAGATCGAGGCTACTTTGATCTTCTAATCAAAGTAAATTGTTCAATTTGTTTTCCTTCAACAGTAAATTCATTTTAATATTTGTTACTTCTTGCTTACGAATTTAGGTTTATTTCAAAGGTCAAGATCCAAATCACCCTGACGGAGGTAAAATGTCACAATATTTAGATGGTTTATCCATTGGAGATACAATCGAGATTCGTGGACCTGAAGGAAAGCTTAATTATCTATCGAATGGCAATTTTTATTCAAGAAAACTCGTAATTCAGTTGAGGAGAGGTTTAATTGTAACAAAGTTGGTATGCTCGCCGGTGGAACAGGAGTTGTGCCTCTTTACCGGATTATCCAAGAGATTGTCAATAATCCTCAGGATAAAACTAAAGTTTGGTTGATTTTCGCAAACAATAGTCCAGATGATGTTTTACTATCGAAAGAGCTTGAAGATATCTCCATTAAACACGGTGATCAGGTCAAAATTTGGTACACTTTAGCTAAAGCCGATGCAGACTGGAAATACTCAGTAGGGTTTGTCGATGACGAGATGATCAAACAACATTTGCCCCCACCAAGTGATGATACAATTATCCTGGTTTGTGGTCCACCGCCGATGATTAGGTTATCATGTACACCCAATTTAAAAAAATTGAATTACAATCCAGCCAAAAGGTTCATATTATGAAATTTCATTTGCTGAATCAGAAGTGAATCAGAGGGAATTCAATGGCGACCAAAGAACTGAACCTGGTGCACTCATCATGTAATCTCGAGTTTGCATGATGATATGATTTTCTGATTGAATCTTCTCGTTGGAACGATTTTGAACAGGCTAATATGTTCAAAGAAAAATTGAGCTTAGAACCTTAAACCTCCCAATTAACATGTCCAATAGTTTGATACACAAGTATTAATAAGTACAAGTAATAATTGTAGTTGAAATTTCACTTTGATGGAAAAATAATTAAAACGTGACAACAAATGTAAACTTATATTCTAAATGGGTGTTTAATTTTAATTGTTCAATCATAATTTCTGTGTATTTACCAGCGACTTTGACCTAATTTATTTGTCCATATGATTGTCAATTAATTTAGTTAATTGTCTACCTTTGTGCAAACAAAGAAAGGGAGAAAATTGACAATTTAATCGAATTGTTCATCGAAATTGTTGTTTATTATCAGAAATTTTCTATTAAATTTTTCTTCTTTTGGGGTAACAATTTATTCTAACAATAATTGTTTGTCTATTAAATATCGAATTTAAAAAAACCATGTAAAGAGTTTAATTGTTACAATTAGAATCAAAAGAATTGACAAAAAATCTAGAATTAGGTTAAACTATTATGAGAAATCAGGGAAGTTGAATATTGAAAATGAAAAGAATATTAATTCAATGGAATCGAATTTGTAAAGAATATTTTTCTCTCTCACTCACTCACTCACTCTCTCTTTAAATATATAAATATAAGAGTGAAAGTTGATTAATTTTGATCACATTTATTTGAATTAATTAGTGATTAACTTTGGAGATTTTGGAAAATGTTGCAAAGTTAATTATGTTACTTTCGTTAATTTTATCAATATTTCATTTCTCTTCATGGTTAATTATCTTTTCTATTGGAATTTTAATTCAATTTCCTGGATTCCATGGATCAGCAACATTCTGGCCCTCAGGCTATTATGGTTACAATCGAGACTATGATAACGTCAGGATAACCTCATCGTCTGGACTTCGTTCACCTTTAGACCAATCAACTTGGACATTACCGCCATCACAGTCGACAGGTTCATCTCGATATGTTGTCCAACCATCGGCGACTTATGGTTCTAATTATTATGGATCTTCATTCCCGTTCTCATATTATTCTTACATGTCCGGTTTACCCTCTTCGAATCCATCAGGTGGTTATTATTCGGGTTCAGCTTATCCCTACAACGAATGGTGGAAATTTTATAGTCAATATCCAACCCGAAATTCATATTCTTCCTCTTCCTCTTGGCCCACCTCAAGTTATTCCAACACCAACAGTGCTTATAACAATTACGCTAATGCGTAAGTCTAAGTTGATCTTACGACAATTTGTTCCATTTCATGTGTTCGAATTTAGAACTTTTTCTCTTTTTTCGTAGGTTGGCTATTCACTGTAAATATGCATCGTTCTATCGGCCAGGTCACCCTACGTACCCATATTACCCCCACAGTTCTTCGAGTTCACCCACAACGGGCTCGTCAAATTACCCGATCTACTCTTATGGATCAACAAGTTATCCATTCACTTACAATGGTTATCGACCGCCGACCAGTTATTATCCATCTAATTATTATGGCTCTAATTACAATTACCCTCAACCCACATCGTCTTCCGATTATGGTTTAGGTGGTGGTTATGGTTCAATGACACCGCCTTTGCTTCCTCCTTCTGCTTCGTCTTTGCCCTCTTCATCCATTGGTGGGTCACTTCTTCCCGTTTCTCGTGATATTTGGTCTCAACCACCAGTAGGTTTTGGCGATGTTGATTTTAATCGTCGAATGGGCTGGTTAGGAACCGTCCCAAGTCCACCAAACTCGTACACACCCAATTACCATCACATGGACCATTTATTTGGTAATACTTTCTCTCCCAGTCAATCGCAGCCCCGGTTAAATCAGCGCGAGCGGTAGCGGAGATCACAGGTCCAACCGGAGTAACTGGAACAATCGTTTTCAAACAAATCGTAAGAATTTACTGTTAATAAAATTTTTCCTCTTCTCTAATCCAAATTCAACCAATCATTCATTAGGGAAGTCGACCCGTTTCTATCGAAGGTAAAATAATGGGACTAACTCCAGGTCCTCATGGGTTACATATCTATGAGATGCCTTTACTTGGAGGTGATTGTTTGTCTGCCGGAGATCATTACAATCCTCAGAAAACTGATCACGGTGGGAAACATGATTGGAATCGTCATATTGGTGATCTGGGTAACATATTTGCCGATATCAATGGTGTAGCCAGTTTTGATCTAACCGATCTACTGATAAGTCTAACTGGTGGCTATTCAATTGTAAATCGTACCATAGCAGTGAGTTGTTTATATTAATAATTGTTGCTCGACAATTTAATCTATTGGTTTTAATTGTTTAATCTTTTTAATTGATTTCAGATCTCAGAAAAAGCCGATGATCTTGGCCGTGGATCTGATGTCCAAAGTAAACGAGATGGTAATTCAGGTCCACCAATCGCTTGTGGGATCATCCGATTAAGTATAATCTAAATCAATTGATCAAATATCATTTTTGATTAAATGTTAATTGTTATAAACCCATAAGAAAAATGTATATTTATTTTATTACAATTGTTTTTTGTTTCATTCCAACACTTAAAAACTGTCTATCAACTTGTTGATTCATTTTATAATTTTAAACCTCTTGATTGTTTACAATTAAAACCTTTAAAAACTTTCAATTTATTGAAAAATCACTTCCCTTAACAAATATTTCATCTTTTTCCCTATTTTTGGTTCCTATTAATAAGTCAAGAATAAGGAAATTGTTGTACCAATTCTTTATGGAATTGTATTAATATATTACAATGCATATTAGACATTATTTTTTTTCTTATCTAATTTTTCGTTACGGTTTGAATTACCAGAGAGTTGCTTTTATTAGTGTGATCTGTTGATGATTAGCCTCTCATTGAAAACACTTGACAATAACAGTTGTGTTTATTTTTTAAAGTAAATATTCAAAGTGGATCGTAAATTAAATTGATGAACAAGCAAATGCATATAAAAGCAACTTTGTGAAAACGTTGATGAAATGGTTAATTACTGAGTAGTGAACTTGATATTTATTGATTATTTAGTCTAAATTAGTCAGAAAGATAAACTAATTTATATTTGAATTTGCTCAGGTAAGTTCATCGAGGCCAAAGTAACACGTTGGCATGTGAGAATATCATATAAAAGGTGAAATCATTTGAAAAGGAAATCTATATTTATATTTAATTTTCATTCGAATCCGTGAACGTCTTCATAAATTAAATTAAAAGGAGGATAGCCAAAATGTGGGATTTTTTGCTGAACTTTTCCGATTTTTTTGAAATAGGTATCAATCGAAAGCTCTCGGTGAGCTGAGTCGAACGGACTGATCAGAATAAAAAAATTATTTTTCCCTTGGGAATTAAATGTAACTTTTTTGGGACACCATGATGCACCGATCGAACCCAATTTTCTAGAAAATTAGTCACTGCGTTGGTTAACATTTCAAGTAGTGGATCCACCGAATCTGCAGAAATAGTTTCTCAAGCAGTAGCTAGTGCACTGAGAGGGTTTTGATAATGTACTGGTGTTTCCCAATTTATTCATCTCTGTTTTAATCAGTTAAAATTCTAAGTGTTAAATAAAACAATTTTTTGACAAAAGTCAATCACAATTAAAGGTCTAACTGATAATTAACTAATCAAATGTATCATTAAAATAACCAAATCAAAAATCATCTAAATCGTCCTTAAATTAAACAAACAAAACTGTATCGCAACATCTAAATTGTCTTCTCTAATTTAGCTGTTTTGATCTTAACTCTGAATAGTTAGCTGTTTAGAACCTTTACTGGATAATTGGAGAGATTAGATTATTTCAAGGATTATTCAGAATGGTGAGAATTGAAGAAAAGATTCGGTTTCGTTATTTTCCTTTGTATAATTATTAGTATTTTGAGTTAATTGTGACGCACAAAACTATCACTCATTTGAAGTGGGATTGATTAAAAAAACAATTAAATGAGCTTATATTGATAACTGCTGCTGCTTCTTACTTTCATTGTAAACTCAATTTAAAATTGTGATGCATTTGTTGAATTTGTTTAAATCGTCATGAAGATAATTTAATTATAATTCAATTTATGTTTGAATTTGTTCAGGTAACTTTATCAAGGCCAAAACAACACGTTGACATGTGAGAAAATCATATAAAAGGTGAAATTATTCAAATAGAAAATTATATTTAAATTTAATTTTCATTCGAATCAGTGAATGTATTCATCAATTAAAATTTAAATTGTTAATCACGAGAAAATGATGAGTTTTAATCCACTTTTTGTCGTTAATTTTTTTTGGTTCATCACCATTTTCCTTGGCCTCCTGTCATCTTTATCCAACCAGAATCCTGTTTCTGGTTATGGTCAAGGTTCTGGTGCTGGTGCTAAAGCTTCCACTTCACCTGTCACAAACACTGTTTCAAGACTTTCGTCAGCCGATGCTACTTCAAGGATCTCTTCAGCTGTACAAAACATCATATCAAATGGTGGAGTTAATAAAAACAATCTTTCCAGCGTTATCAGTAACATTGGTTCGATGGTTTCTGTATCTAATCCTGGTTTGATAGGAGATGAAGTCTTGGTTCAAACCTTATTGGAAGTAGTCAGTGCGCTGGTTCACGTATTAAGTAGCTCATCCATCGAAAGTGTAGATGCAGTGGGCCAATCTTCAAGCTCTGCAACTGGCATTAAAAATGGCATAAAAGGAAAATAATGTACTGGTGTTTCCCAATTTATTCATCTCTGTTTTAATCAGTTAAAATTCTAAGTGTTAAATAAAACAATTTTTTGACAAAAGTCAATCACAATTAAAGGTCTAACTGATAATTAACTAATCAAATGTATCATTAAAATAACCAAATCAAAAATCATCTAAATCGTCCTTAAATTAAACAAACAAAACTGTATCGCGACATCTAAATTGTCTTCTCTAATTTAGCTGTTTTGATCTTAACTCTGAATAGTTAGCTGTTTAGAACCTTTACTGGATAATTGGAGAGATTAGATTATTTCAAGGATTATTCAGAATGGTGAGAATTGAAGAAAAGATTCGGTTAATTGATTTTGAGATTTTCGCTGATGGTATTTACCATGAGATCATAATTGTGTAATAATATTAGTTGATATTGGAAGCACAGAATTATTGATTGTTGGTTGTTTTACTTTTTTGGATCACAATTGTTGATGTTGTATGTTAATTGCAACTAGATTACAATTTAAATCTAATTGTAACAAGCCTGAGTTACTCCACGTCGAGCAACAAGCATATTCAATATTGGGAATTTCTTTATATATTCAATGGCCTTTTTATACGTCACCATTGTGAAATCGTAGCCATTACATTGTAAAATTTTGTCACCAATTCTTAATCCCGATCTCCATGCTGGACCTTCAATATTTACACTTGTCACATAGATTCCATTGTCAGTGAACCCCTGAGGCGATTGATGATAATCTTGATCAATTCCTTCTCCAATTGAGAAGCCACATTTCATTATTTCTCTACCATATTCATCGTAACCAATTTCCTTTTGTAATTTAATTGGAAAGATAACTGAAAAGAACTTCAACTCTTGCATACAATCCAATGTTCCTCAAGAGCTAATTGATTTATCCTCTTTTTTTACAATCACAATCACAATTGACTGTCTATTGAAAATTAACCAAATCAAATGATTTACCTTGAATTTGTTTCTCTCTTTTCATTTCAGTGAGTTGTTTATATTGATAATTGTTGCTCGACAATTTAATCTATTGGTTTTAATTGTTTAATCTTTTTTTTTGATTGATTTCAGATCTCAGAAAAAGCCGATGATCTTGGCCGTGGATCTGGTGTCCAAAGTAAACGAGATGGTAATTCAGGTCCACCCATCGCTTGTGGGATCATCCGATCAAGTATAAATCTCTTAATTGTTTACAATTAAAAACTTTAAAAACTTTCAATTTGCTGAAAAATCATTTCCAGTAACAAATATTTCACCTTTCCCCCTATTTATGATTCCTATTAATAAGTCAAGAATAAGAAAATTTTACCAATTAGAATCGTATTAATATACAAATAATATTGTATTACATACAAAAACGACGACGTATCAGTTCAGAAGCGACCAGTGGTTTCGAGGCTTTTATAACACCAGGGCGATTCAGCTTCCATAGCGATTCCTTCATGAATAGTTCTGGAAATAAAATTTATGAATACCTCACAGATTATTGACTATTTTGTTTCAAATGCAGATCTAAGACTTTTTTCATTTATAAAATTAACTCTAATGCATATTAGACATCATTTTTTTTCTTATCTAATCTTTCGTTACGGTTTTAATTACCAGAGAGTTGCTTTTATTAGTGTGATCTGTAAAGTGAATTTGAATCCGTTGAATATGCAACGGAGCGAATTGGAAATCGGATTGGTTAAAAAAACAATTAAATGAGATTATTAATACATACAGTCCTCGGCAAAAGTTTAAGGACAACAATCAATTGATTATAACTCGAGTTCTACTTAAGATAAATTTATATTTTTTTCAGAAATATAATAGCCATTGGTAGTAGTAATAATCAATTGATTGTTGTCCTTAAACTTTTGCCGAGGACTGTATATATTGTATATTGCTAATTGATTTATCCTCTTTTTTCAATTAGATTGTAAATTCAATTGTAAATTTTGACGAACATACAAAAGTAACTTTGATGATAGAAAGTGTTTTAAATACGATGCATTTTCTGAATTTGTCGTAATTATCATGAAGATAATCTAATTCTAATTCAATTTATGTTTGAGTTTGTTCAAGTAACTTCACCGAGGACAAAGCGACACGTTGACATGTGAGAAAACCAGATAAAAGGTGAAATTATTCAAATAGAAAATTCTATTTAAATTTAATTTTCATTCAAATTAGTGAATCAATTTCTAACAGCTAAAATTGGAAGTGTTAACCACAAGAAGAACAATGAGTTTAAATCCACTTGTAGCCGTTAATTTTATTTTGTTAATCACCATTTTCATGGGGCTTATGGCATCTTTATCCTGTCAGTACCCTGGTTCTGCTCCTGCTGCTGGTCGGGGTTCTGGTTGGGGTTCTGGTTGGGGTTCTGGTTGGGGTTCTGGTTCTGGTTCTGGTTCTGGTTCTGGTTCTGTTTATCAGAGTGGCAATCTAACCAAGGTTAATTCAACTCAAAGAGTCATTGAGCCAGTAAAAGCCATATTAGGTGGGCAATCGGAAGTAACACCTTTTATCGCTTGGGTGATTTTGAGAAGTCTGCCTCGGGTATTTTAGGCTTGTTGGAAATAACCAGTGTGTTGAATCATGTATCAAGTGACGCCTCCGTCGGATATGTGAATCCGACATCAGCTGCCAAACCTACAAGTGAACTTGTTAATGCAGCCCGTGACATAATAGGGAAATAATATACTGGTGTTTTCCAATTTATTCATCTCTGTTTTAATCAGTTATATTCTAAGTGTTAAATAAAACAATTTAAGTTCAGACATGTCTCGTTTTTCGTAATTTTCATGGAGCTTATTCATCTTTTTACTCGTTGCTATCCATCCTTATCGGTGTGGTGATTTTTTTGAACAATTAAAAATAATTAATTGACCATTATTTTATTTCTCTAACTAGGCTTACTGCAAGCGGCAGTTACGTCTGAGCGATTGTATGACTCAGAAAAGAGAGACCGAGAAGAGCGTGCAAGAAAGAGAGTTAAAGAAGAAGAAGGAGGAAAGAGAAAAAAGAAAAAAGAAAAGAACAAATCCTTGGGAACGGTTGTTGGAAATGGAATTGATTAAAAAACAATTAAATGAGATTATATTGCTGATTGATTTATCCTCTTTTTTTTCAGGTTGATTGTAAATTCAATTGAAAATTGTGACGAACATACAAAAGTAACTTTGATGATAGAAAGTGTTTTAAATACGATGCATTTGCTGAATTTGTCTTAATTACCATGTAGATAATCTAATTCTAATTCAGTTTGTGTTTGGATTTGTTCAGGTAACTGCATCGAGGCCAAAGCGACACTGGAACATGTTAGAAAATCACATTAAAGGTGAAATTATTCAAATAGAAAATTATATTTAAATTTAATTTTCATTCAAATTAGTGAACATTTCTATCAGTTAAAATTTTAAGTGTTAAACACAAGAAGAACAATGAGTTTAAATCCACTTATGGCCGTTAATGTTTTTTGGTTAATCGCCATTTTCATGGGACTTATGGCATCTTTATCGTACCAGGATCCTGATTATTGATTTCAGATCTCAGAAAAAGCCGATGGTAATAGTAAACCAAAGTAAACGAGATGGTAATTCAGGTCCACCAATCGCTTGTGGGATCATCCGATTAAGTATAATCTAAATCAATTGATCAAATATTATTTTTGATTAAATGTTAATTGTTATAAACCCATAAGAAAAATGTATATTTATTTTATTACAATTGTTTTTTGTTTCATTCTAATTCAATGTACCATTGTCTCATTCCCATACTTAAAAACTGTCAATCAACTTGTTGATCCATTTTATAATTTTAAACCTCTTAATTGAATACAATTAAAAACTTTAATTTGTTGAAAAATTATTTCCAGCAACAAAAATTTCACCTCTTGGAAGAGGCTCTTCCCCTATTTATGATTCCTATTAATAAGTCAAGTATAAGGAAATTTAGCTAATTAGAATCGTAAATTACCTTACAAACAAATATTTGTCAAGTTTCAGCAACTTTCCAATACCCTGATTGTCGACGTTTCAGTTCAGAAGCGACCAGTGGTTTCGAGGCTTTTATAACACCAGGGCGATTACAGTATTGGGCCATGTACCCTGAGTATTTCCTTAAAAGCTACGACATTGTGATGAAATTTTTCAGCAGTGAAGTTGATCTTAAGGTTTGCTTCGGTCGACATCCTAAGCCAGAAGAAACAGACCGATGCTGGGAGGCCAAAAAGAACGAAGAGATTCGAATGGCCAGTGGTGTATGTAAAGATTGAGATGTTCTGACCTGTGAGCCTTTTAACTTTACCATCACACCTCCTGATCAGGGGATGTCATCAAACACTATTTGCTCAGGTAAGAGAAAAAACAATAAAAACCAACACAATTAAGATTGGAGAATCAAAACGGTCCAATTAATTATCTTGTTAATTTCTTTCCACAGACAAAAAGTTTCTCAATGCTCGACAAATTAAATTCAACTTGAATTATTCAAGTTCTCCCATTGTGGACTTACCAGTGGAGTTTAACCAAAACTGCAACTGGATCAAGATTGAGATTAAGTCAACTTCTTCGTTACTACATGTATTATGATGGAGGTCGTGTTTCTAGTACTGGATATTGTGATCGAGCAACGATAAGTATCGATGATAGAAGTTTCCGTGACACTGGGACTAATTATCTCAAAGCTTTGGAATTGAGTAAGAATTATATCATAGGAGAGTCAGTAATCACGAGTAAGATTTAAAAAGTAATACGATCAACTATCGACTCGGCTTATGCTATGATAAAGCTAAATCCATACTATTGTTATAATTAAGATAATCTAATTTTAATTCAATTTATGTTTGAATTTGTTCAGGTAACTTTATCAAGGCCAAAACAACACGTTGACATGTGAGAAAATCTTATAAAAGGTGAAATTATTCAAATAGAAAATTATATTTAAATTTAATTTTCATTCGAATCAGTGAATGTATTCATCAATTAAAATTTAAATTGTTAATCACGAGAAAATGATGAGTTTTAATCCACTTTTTGTCGTTAATTTTTTTTGGTTCATCACCATTTTCCTTGGCCTTATGTCATCTTTATCCAACCAGAATCCTGTTTCTGGTGCTGGTTCTGGTTCTGGTTATGGTCAAGGTTATGGTTCAGGTGTAGGTGTAGGGGCTGGCTCTGGTTCTGGTGCTTCCACTACCACTGTCTCGAACACGGTTTCAAGACTCTCGTCACCCGCTGCTACTTCAAGGGTCTCTTCAGCTGCACAAAACATCATATCAAATGGTGGAGTTAATGCAGTCTTTCCAGCGCTATAAGTGGCATTGCTTCTTCGGTTGCAGCATCTAATCCTGGTTTGAGTCAATGTGAAATCTTGGCTCAAACCTTATTGGAAGTAGTCAGTGCGTTGGTTCATATATTAAGTAGCGCATCCGTCGGATATGTAGATGCAGGAGCAGCTAGTCAAACAATTAATCAAGTTGGTCAAGTAGTAGGTAACGCAATGGGAAAATAATGTACTGGTGTTTCCCAATTTATTAATCTCTATTTTAAACAGTTAAATTCTAAGTGTTGAAAAAAAATCCACTCCAACCACCTAAAACTTTCAGATATTTGTCGTTTTTCGTCATTCTCATATGGCTTTATTTCATCTTCTACTCTGGTTCGAGGTTTCCGACATCAGAACTTTGCTTGCTCTCTATAATAACTTTTTTCCAAGATCATGAGTTCAATTTCTTCTTCGTTCTCAGCGACTTATTTTAGATTAAATCCAAGTTGAGGATTTGATTGAAGTAATCAGTGGTCCTCATAATAAGTAGATCACAAAGCTCCAGATTTAATGAATTGATATCTAACATCACAATATTCCGAGAATGAATATTAATGTATTGATATATTCATTTCTATTTGCTCATTTAAAATATTGCGAGTTTAAATTACAGGAGGATTTGATTGAAGTAATCAGAGGTCCTCGTATTATTAATAAGTAGATAAAAAATTTTCAGATTTAATGAATTAATATCTAAAGGGTGTGTAGTTTAAAAACTGAAATTTAGAGATAAGAAAATAACTGGTAAAAGGTTAGCTTATCTTTTTTTCTTACCTTTGTCTTTGTGGTTTTCTTATCTCTTAATTTCAGTTTTTAAACTACACACCCTTTAGCATCACAATATTCCGAGAATGAATATTAATGTATTGATATACAGCCACAGAAATTGAGTTAGGAACAAAAATTAAATCGCTCGCGCACACAATCAATTCAAACTTTAATATATGAATTGATAAGATTGAAAAACATTGGGTTTTAGATAAGATAATCAAGTTAATCACAATTTAATCACTCAATGCGCGAATTGAAATAATTTTTGTTCCAAACTCAATTTCTGTGGCTGTATATTCTTTTCTATTTTCTCATTTGAAAATATCGCAAGCTCAAATTATAGAAAATTAATATTGATAAACAATTCTGGAAGCAACTTTCGATTCTCTTTCCGTTTACTTGATTAGTGAATTTCTCAATTGAGATTCTTCACATTTGGTTCAGTTTTATTATCATTGACAAATTTTTTTATAAGAATCAATCATAATAACAATTAAAAGTCTATTGGAAATTAACTAATCAAATGTATCATTAAATTAACTTAAATAACATTAACATTAAATCAAATAAATTACTTTGAATTTGTTTCTCTTTTCTCTCTTTTAAATCTGATGCTTTGATAGATTAAAAATGAATCAGTAGAAGATTAATTTTGTCCAAAGGGATGATTAGGGATTAAAAAAAATTCGAGAGAAAGTTTAATAAAATAATTAAAATCAATTTTCGATTTATATACAACTATGTACTTGTAATAGTATTCTAAGTTAGTTGCGACGTACGAAATTTACAACCATTGGGAATGGAATTAATTAAAAAAAGGGTAAGACTCAAGATATGTCCGTCAGCTCGATATTTTCACTTCAAGCTGATTTTTTTCGGCTTAAAGTTCAAGCTACATATGAAAATGGACTTAATTGTTCAGTTAATTATGTTTGTTTAAATTAACTTAACTTATTAACTATTTTACTTTTCAATCGTATACTTTGATAGATTAACAATGAATCCAGAAGAAATTAGTTGAGGGCAAGTGAAGATTATGAGTAGAAAAAATTACAAGAAAAAGTTTAATAAAATACGAGTGAAATCAATATTCAATTCATATAATTGTTATAGTATTTTGAGTTAATTTTGAGGCACAAAATTAAAAAATCATTGGGAACGGTCTTTGGAAAGGGGATTGATTGCAAAACAATTAAATGAGATTATATTGATAATTGGTTTATCCTCTTTTTTCATTTGATTGTAAACTTAATTTAAAACTTTGACAAGCAAACAAAAGTAACTTTGATGATAGAAAGTTTTTTGAATTTTGTTGCATTTGTTAAAAAGGTATGTCAACCCTAAAATTGACCTCCGTCAAACACTAAATTCTGCTAGATCATTATACTTCTCATTATGAGTTATACAAAATATCAATAGATCAAAAGTGTGCAACTTTATCGTGAATTTTGCCCCAGTTCGGGTGTGGCAACGGAAAGTTGGGTATTGAATTCCAATGGAATAGACTCCTATTAATAAGTCAAGAATAAAGGAAATTTTACCAATTAGAATCGTATATTACCTTACAAACAGACATAATCAGTTGAATTTGATTCTTAATTAAATTGATCATCAAGATGATTAAAACTAAATTGGAATCTGAGTATTTTGAAATCTACTCACTAGATGGCGCTGTTCTCGAATTCTTGGTTTGTTTTGATTTTTTTCTGGTTATTTTTTGATCATCAAACATTTTGATGACAACAGTTTGTTGATTGATTTTGGTCTTTTTGGATTGTTTGTTTTTTCTAATTCCATTCTAAAAATTATCTTTACTATCTTAATCATCAATCTTGGTGGGTATCATGGAGGGTAAAGAATATGATTTAACTGTGTTCGGTGCCACCGGTTACACAGGTAGATATGTTTTCCGTAACCTAATTCTCTGGCAGGAGATTGAAAAGATTCCCAGAAAAGTTGCCATAGCGGGAAGAAATAAAGCTAAATTGGAATCATTGATTAAGGAAACAGCTTTACAATTGGATAAGAATCTTGATTCAATTGGTTTAATCATCGCTGAGATTGAAAATGAGGAAAGTTTACTCTCAATGTGCAAAAAGACAAAGGTTGTTCTCAATGCGTGTGGACCTTACATACTTTATGGTGAACAAGTTGTCAAAGCTTGTATTCAGGTGAATATTTAGATTATTTAATTGTTTCTTTATTCTTCCATACAGAACTGCTATATAACAGGAATATCTTGATTTGGTTGTTGATCGAATCTCCTTTCGATCTAAAAATCGTTTACTACAAAGCGATGTTTACTTTTATCACTTATTGTTTTGTTTTGTTTTGATTTTTTTTCCCTAGAGAAAAGCTCATATGGTTGATATTTCTGGTGAACATCAATATCTTGAAAGTATTCAGTTAAAGTATCATGGAGCTGCTCGATCAGCAGGTGTCTATATTATCGGTTCATGTGGTTATGGTGCTATTCCAGCGGAAATTGGTACCGATTATTTGAAGCAGAAATTTTCATCTGGTAGACTAAGTCAAGTAGAAGGATTTTTAAAATCAAAACAAGGAAAACATGGAATCACACTTAACTATGGAGCTCTTCATACTCTTGTTGAATCTTTTTCCAATGCTAATCAATTACTTGAAGTGAGACACAGATATCGAAGTCAATTATTCACCAAGAATTTACCTTCACCAAAATATCCAATGAAAGTTAAATTTTTACCCTGGAGAAATGAGGAATTGGGTGGTTGGTGTGTTCCTCTCTCATTTTCTGATCGTGATATTGTAAACAATAGTCAAAGATGGTTCCATGAATATCAGAATGAAAGACCTGTACAATTTGAAGAGTATATTGTGGTACCCAAAATCTATCATGCAATCATACTCACCCTTGGAATGTTATACTTTAATTTTCTCACCTATTTCAATTTCACCCGTAAATTGTTACTTAAATATCCAAAGTTTTCACCGTTGGATATTTTTCTAAAGAAGGACCAACCCGACGACAACTTGAAGACATTTCATTTACCTTTCAGTGTGTAGGAAAAGGTTGGACGACTCCCTGTCAGGGCGATGAATATGATCACCCACCCAATAAGACTTTAAGTTGTCTCATTTTCGGTCCCGATCCTGGTTATGAGACAACCTCCCGATGTCTCATTCAGTCAGGCCTAACAATCCTCGAAGAAAGCGATAAAATGCCATTCGAAGGTGGCTGTTTAACTCCTGCATTTGCTTTTCGAAACACATCACTCCGTCAACGATTAAATCGCCATGCAGTTTCGTATGAATTAATCGGCTAATCAACCAATCAATCAATGGATCAAAGGCCAAATTGTACAAAAGTCTTTCTATTTGCTATTTTCCAATTGGCAAAAGAATCAGCAAAACACATAAAACAATATTGTAAATAAATTAATGTAAATAGATAATCAAATATCTCTCTCTGTCACTCTTGATAAAGATGAGAAAATAAAGAAAAACAAAATATATGAAACTCAGAGAGGAGCAAAAAATTAAGTTCTAATAACTTTTAATTGACTAATCATTTAAATCTATTTCATCAACTATTTACATATCTAATAACACTTAATTTACACGTTTGTTGATTAGCTTAAACTTCAATTTTACATTTAGGGTTAAGATCTTGAATAAGAATCATTAGTAGTTCTAAATGTTGATAATTTGCTGCCTTGGTTCCAGTGATTACAATTGTTTCCAAAGTTGGAATTCTAATCAATGATTGTAAACCGATCGCTGTTACGTCCTTGTTATCGGAGAGATTGAGATATTTCAATTTGGTTGAATTTCTAAAATGACAAGCCAATCGACCGCAAGCCCAATCGTCCAGTGGATTATCAGATAAGTCTAAATGGACAAGTTGCTTTAGATTAATCAAATTGTCAAGACCTTCGTAACGAAGTTCACAAGCAGAGGCATCGATTCGTTCCACCTTGAAGGCCGTGTCCATGACCTTTGGTAGGACAATGTCCGTCGAGACCCAAGTGTCCGATCCAACAAATTTAACTCGACCTCCTCGATAGGTGATGAAATGAGAAGCAGCTAAATCAGGTCCAAGAATCCCTGTTCGTTTAGGGTTAAACTTTTGAGCGATTATATCCTTCAATTTACTTCTGGCCCTCGCTCTTTCAAGTAAGTCGCTTAATCGATATCGTTTCTTTGAGTAATATCTCAATTGTTTGTCACTTTCATCAAACATATCCTTTGGATCTTCAGGTGCCATAATGCTTTTTTTTATCTCAATATAACTACAGGTAATTGTCTTAAATTCCTCTTGATAAACTTCAATTGCACGATCAACATGTTCAACTGTTAATAGCTCAGGATGACAAGGAATATCAATTGGAGCAGGTAATGGGATGTCCTTTTTAACCATCGGAACGTATTGACCACCTTCATAAGCAACCAATCGACTAGCTTTTGATTCACTAGATTTAATCATTTGATTAACACCAGAAATTAACCTTTTCATAGCCATGATTATAATCAACTTAATCACCTAATTAACCAAAATAACGAAAAACAAAAAGAAAAAAAGGTAAATAAATTATCACCAAAACATATGAATAAACATCTTTGTTGATTAATTTTGAGAGAAAAATTTTCTCAAAACAAACAACATTTTCTAATTCCGAGAGGAAGTCATAGAGGGAGACACATTCGACCACTTTCCGGGAAAAAATCCTTATATAAGTTGACCGAAAGCACGTTTCTTTTAAATTACTTAATTAAACTGGAATTAATACTTAATCTTTTGTCTAATTTCTGTTTAAATTATACTAATCATGTTGTCCAAATTAACCAGATTTGGATCCATTTTCCTTAAATCTTCACCTAAACCAACCTTTTCATCATCTCTTAGATTTATTTCCCTTTCTTCTTCCTTGAAAAAACCAATCTCATCTTCTCTATTAAATGTACCACGTTTTTCATCAAATTATTTACCAATTAATTTAAATCGTTTCTACAGTAGTGGAAATATTGGTAAAGAAATGGAATCCTTTCTCAATGAAGAAATTAAAGCTGAAAAGTCTTCAAGTAAACCAGGTAAGATTTGGAATTAGAATTTTTGTTCTATATAAGTAACATGTTCTTTTGTTCTTACCAATTTCTATTCTCTTTCTAATGTAAATTATCTCCGCATGATGAAATAACGTCTACGGATAATGATGTCCCCTGACTTGAACTCAGCGTTTTCTGATTAAGAGATAATTTATATTAGTCAGATTCTTTAAAACCATGACCATGCTCTCATTATGAATCTTTTCTAATCCCATGCTGGTTTTCTTTTTTCCCCCATTTTCTTTTCTACAGTGAAAAATATTCCTGGTTTCGAAGTCAAGGCTGATGGAGCTTTAGTAGAATTAACTAGAAAATTTAAAGATGAAACCATTCGTATTAGATTGAATGTTAATGGTTCAACTACAGACGAAGATGTTTCTGAGTCAGCGGAATCAGAAAATGCACCAGCTCCTGGTCCATTGTTGTCTAAACCAAGTTTTTCTATAGAAATTATCAAACCAACAGGAAAAACTCTTTGTTTATCTTGTAATTTTTCCAGTGATATGAATCAATTTGAAGAAGATGCTCAATCAGCTAATCCTCAACCATCAACTGAGGATATTTTTGAAATCGATGCAATCACTGTTCTAGACAAACCTGCTGAAGAAATAGATGATAATGTCTACATGGGCGATGCTTCCCTGATAGATGGTCAATTATATGATATTCTTATGGATTATCTTGATGAGCGAGGTATTGGTAAAGAATTTGCTTCTCATTTAATTGATTATTGTACCGGTTACGAACATGAGAGATACATCAAATTATTGGAAGATCTCAAAAGTTTCGCCGCTTAAATCATCTCATTTAAAATTATCACCTCTCTCTCTCACAGATCATATAACATATTAGTCAAAATTGTATTAATCATCCTAATCAATGAAACCAAAACAATTATGTATAAATTTTCCCATAGTTTTTTTTATTCCTTAGATGTATCATAGTTTAAACACTGTGTTGATTAATTTGTAAATTAAATTAGTAATTTAATCTAAAATCTCCCTAATTTAGTTTCACTTTTAATATCTCAAAGGTTAATCAACAGGTTTATGTTGATTGTAAACTTGTTCCATTAGAGATTTTAAATTGTTAAGGTCGTTCCCATCTCTTGATTGTCAATTGATTTATTAATTTTGTTTTTATTTGATGATATTGGAGAGATCACCAGTTAACATTCATCAAATTAATTACCAAGAAAAAGAAATAATAAATTCAATTCGCCCGAAGGTGTTTTTTTCCCAACAAAATTTTCTAAATTGTTTCAACCCTTTCCAAGAGGGAGAACCATTAATTTACCTAACTGAATTAGTTAATTATCTCGTTGATTGTTCACAATTACAGATGTAGGTAACGGCGCATTGTCAATGTGTTGACAGTTTATGATTGAATGTGAGTAGATTGTTGTTTCCATTGGGAACCTTGATTTCTTTTGATCACAGTTGATTACAATTCCACAACAATTATGATTCTATGATAAAACCAATCAATGTAATAATTGCTCCAAAAAAAGGAAGAGAAGACAAAATCAAGGTAAGAGTAAAATGATTACAATTAATTAACAAAAGAGTCAATTGTTTACCATAAAAACTGTCACTCAGAATGGAAACGTTTTCACTGTTTCTTTTGATTTGATTTGATTAGACAATTAAAACTGTTGAAGAAACAAATTAACCTGTCAACAGAAAGTGATGGTGATCGAGATTACAATTGGTTGATAAATAATTAAATGATTAAAGAAATAAAAGACAATTAAATGAACGAGATGATGACAATTAATATCCAATAAAATGTGGAGATAGGAAAACAGTTGCATCGAAAACCGGGAAAATTGAAAAGGAACAAGTTGATTACCGGTTAATGATTGTTCTTGACGATGATTAAGTTAATTACAGTGATGATTATGATGAATTTACCTTTGGTTAATAATAAAACAAATTGTTAGAAGATAAAACGATGACTTTAAGAAGGAGCAATTGGATGAATGGAGAAAATGATTAGTTTCATTTCTCTCTCTCTCTCTTTCTCTCTAAGTGTGTGTGTAGGTTTGGCCTGAGGTTAAATTCCGCTTCCGATCAATTTCTTGTTTGATTGGTTTTCTTTTCTTTTCCATCATCATCATCATCATCTCATCCTTGTCATTTACTCTCCCTTTTCTCTCTCTCACATTCTACCTTTAAATTCACCTGCAACTCTTGGTTCTCTTCTATTCGCCATCATCATTGGAACATCATTTTCTCCAACGTTTCTTGTGATTCTCGCCTTGTGATTCTTTCATCTGATTAACACTTTTCATCTACAATTAGTTAACCTAATTTACGAATTCGTTTCATCTATTTTTTCTCTGTGTGTTGATTGTTTCTTTTTTCTTCTGTAGAAATCAAATATGAAGGATGTCAAAAGAATCTGTTGTATTGGTGCTGGTTATGTCGGTGGACCAACAAGTTGCGTGATCGCCTCGAAATGTCCTCATCTCACTGTGGTGGTTGTCGATTCGAATGAGAATCGAATTGAATCTTGGAATTCTGATTCTCTTCCAATCTATGAACCAGGATTGGAAGACATTGTTAAAAAATGTCGAGGTTCCAATCTTTTCTTTTCAACCGATGTCAAAGGAGAAATTGATGCCGCTGATTTGATCTTTATTTCGGTTAATACGCCGACTAAAACATTCGGTATTGGTGAAGGTGAAGCCGCTGATTTGAAAAATTTAGACTTTGTTTGTAAGTATTTTGATGAGTAACAATATGTGATCGATTAATATTAGATCAAGATTAAAGTGTAGAACTTTCTGCTGATTCTTTCATCATTTAAGGTCGGATTATCGCCGACAATGCAAAGGCGAGTAAAATTGTCGTTGAGAAAAGTACAGTTCCTGTTAAGGCCGCTGAATTGGTAAACAGAATATTAAAAGCAAACCAAAAGCCAGGTCTTTGCTTCCAAGTTTTATCCAATCCTGAGTTTCTCGCCGAGGGCACAGCGATTAATGACCTTCTTAATCCGGATCGTATCCTAATAGGCGGAGAGGAAAGTGAAGCGGGTCAAGAAGCAGTGGCAAAATTAACTTCAATATATACTAATTGGGTTGATCCAAAGAAGATAATTAGTACTAATCTTTGGTCAGCTGAGCTCTCCAAATTGACTGCCAATGCTTTTCTCGCCCAGAAAATATCATCAATCAATGCGATTTCAGGTAAAAATTGAGACGAAAGTTTTGATAATCAAAACCAGAAAAAGTGTACCAAATTTAATTGTTTTAAATTGATTAACTCTTTTGTCGATTCAGCCATTTGTGAAGCAACTGGTGCCGATGTAAGGGAAGTGGCCAAAGCCGTTGGAACTGATACCAGAATCGGGATAAATTTCTTCGAGCGGGTGTCGGGTTTGGTGGAAGTTGCTTCCAGAAAGATGTCCTCAACCTCGTCTACCTGGCAAAGACTATGCACTTATATGAAGTCGCCGAATATTGGAATCAGGTAAGAACAAATTTCTCGAATAGATTGTTCCAAGTGAATCTAATGATAAAATTCTATCGATCAGGTTATCGTGTTAAACAATTACCAAAAGAAACGATTCGCTCAGCGTATAATTGAATGTCTATGCTACACCATCACCGATAAACGATTGACGATTTTTGGTTTCGCATTCAAAGCCGACACGGGAGACACTCGAGAATCACCTGCGATTTATATTTGCCGTGATCTTCTCAAGGAAGGCGCGAAATTGAACATTTATGACCCAAAAGTGTGTCCAAAGCAAATTATGAATGATCTAAGGTCAGTCTTACCCGAAGAACGGGATTCACTTGATTCATTGGTTGAAATTCATGATGACCCTTACGAAGCTTCGAGTTCATCTCATTGTCTAATAATCTGCACCGATTGGGATGAATTCAAACACTACGATTACCAAAAAATGTACAATGTCATGAAGAAACCGGCCTGTGTTTTTGACGGTCGATTAATTTTGGACCATCAACAATTAACTTCAATCGGATTTCACGTTGAAACAATTGGAAAAAAATTACGTCGAGAGGCCAATGTCAAGTGCTTTGAGCTAATCAACTCAACTAATATTGAAAATCCTCTTAATCATCAATATGTTTTATTGATTTCCGATCGATTTTACTTGTTCAAATTTTGACAATATCTTTTTACCATAATTGAATTATGTTTAACTGATAAACCAATTGACCATCAATAGTTGATCTTCGATATTTTATGAATCTTATCATTCAATGAGAATTTAATAATTGCTACGTTTTAATTACTATTTGTAAAATCAATTATTAATAATAAAGGACTTTATTTTTTTCTGATTCAATCAGAAAATTAATCATTTGAAAATCCAAATGCCAACAAGTTAAATTGTCAATCACAATCATTGTCTTTACAATTGCGGTTAATTTGGTTGATTAACTGATCGAATTGAAGATCACAATAAACTAAAGTGATTCAGTAAAGAAGATATTTTTCCTCTTATCCTTAATCTAGTCGGTAAAGGCTCAAAATAGCGAAATTAAAAGAGCGAAAAACAAATAAGTGAAGGTCACTAGCGCGAAAGTAAAAGTACCGAAAAGTAGCGAATTTACAACTAAATTAACCAACTTACCATCTAAAAAATTTATTGATTCGGTGTAAAATATAATAAATTGCAATAATAATAAACCATTTTGAGCTGATTTTTCAAGGTTTTGAATTTTTTGGTTAATCACAATTTACAAGTAATTGCTTTCATCAACTAGAAATTAATTAATCAGAAAAATTCTGTATTATTGATTGAACATGATAAGGTTCATCTTGAGAAATTTTTTCGCTATCTTGACTCTCACTCTTTTGATTTCGCTATTTTCCTCTGGATTCATTGTTTATGCGTCAAAGTATCAAATTGAAAAGTAAATAAAGGGTGTTAAGGATAAAGTGTTTAGAAAAGGAGGATTTGTTTATTAATTTTATCAGGTAAACAAAAGACAATCAGGAGATAATTTAAAGATAATCTAAAGATATTTGACCAGAGACCAATTGGGAATCAATTTAATTGTGATTATCTCTTTTGTTTACCTGATAAAATTAAGAAGAAGCTCCTCCTATTCTAAACACTTTATCCTTAACACCCTTTAGAAATGAAAAGAGAGACAAGAGAAACAAATTCAAAGCAATTCATTTGGTTTGGTTAATTTATTGATACATTTTATTAGTTAATTTCCAATAGACTTGTGATCGTGATTGATTATTATCAAAAAAATTATCAATGATAAAAAATTGACCATAACTAATGACCTTGAACTTATAACTTTGGACAAAAAATTATGAGAGGGAATAAACAAGATTCTGATGATGACGAAACCTCGAACTAGAGTGAAAGCTAAAATAAACCCCATGAGAATGATGAAGAACGAGAAATATCTGAAAATTGTAGGTGGTTCAAGTAAATTGTTTTTTTCAACACTTAGAATTTTAACTGATTAAACAGAGATGAATGAATTGGAAAACACCAGTACATTATTTTCCCATCACGCCATTTATTATGCCAGTTGCAACACTTGAAGATTGGCCAGCTCCTGATGCATCTACATATCCGATGGATGAGCTCCTTAATATATGAACCAACGCACTGACTACTTCCAATAAGGTTTGAACCAAGATTTCACATTGACTCAAACCAGGATTAGATGCTGCAACCGAAGCACTAATGCTTCTGATAGCGTTGGAAAGACTGTCTAAATTAATTTCACCATTTGATGTGAGGCTAGTTACAACTGAAGAGACTCTTGAAGCAGCAGAGGGTGACGAAAGTCTTGAAGCAGCACCAGCACCAGCACCAGCACCCTGACCATAACCAGCACCAGCACCAGCACCAGAACCAGCACCAGCACCGGCACCGTAACCCTGACCATAACCACCAGCACCAGCACCCTGACCATAACCAGCACCAGCACCAGCACCAGCACCAGCACCAGCACCAGCACCAGCACCAGCACCAGCACCAGAACCAGCACCAGCACCGTAACCCTGACCATAACCACCAGCACCCTGACCATAACCACCAGCACCCTGACCATAACCACCCACACCCTGACCATAACCACCAGCACCAGCACCAGAACCATAACCATAACCTTTATAATAACCAGTACCCGCACCAGAGCCAGCACTAGTTCCATTATCAGGAGCAGAAACAAGGCCCTGGTACGATGAAGATGGCATAAGTCCCATAAAAATGGCGATTAACCAAAAATAATTAACGGCCATAAGTGGATTTAAACTCATTGTTCTTCTTGTGGTTAACACTTTCGATTTTAACTGTTAGAAATGTTCACTGATTCGGATGAAAATTAAATTTAACTGTGATTTCCCCTTCAAATGATTTCACCTTTTATGTGATTTTCTCACATGTCAACGTGTCGCTTTGTCCTCGATAAAGTTACCTGAACAAACTCAAACATAAATTGAATTAAAATTAGATTATCTTCATGATAATTAAGACAAATTTAGCAAAGGCATCGTATTAAAAACACTTTCTATCATCAAAGTTACTTTCGTATGTTTGTCACAATTTTCAATTGGGATGAATTCGAACGATTGGGGTGAATTCAAACACTACGATTACCAAAAAATGTACAATGTCATGAAGAAACCGGCCTGTGTTTTTGACGGTCGATTAATTTTGGACCATCAACAATTAACTTCAATCGGATTTCACGTTGAAACAATTGGAAAAAAATTACGTCGAGAGGCCAATGTGTCAAGTGCTTTGAGCTAATCAACTCAACTAATATTGAAAATCCTCTTAATCATCAATATGTTTTATTGATTTCCGATCGATTTTACTTGTTCAAATTTTGACAATATCTTTTTACCATAATTGAATTATGATTAACTGATAAACCAATTGACCATCAATAGTTGATCTTCGATATTTTATGAATCTTATCATTCAATGAGAATTTAATAATTGCTACGTTTTAATTACTATTTGTAAAATCAATTATTAATAATAAAAGGACTTTATTTTTTTCTGATTCAATCAGAAAATTAATCATTTGAAAATCCAAATGCCAGCAACATCTTTTTTCTTTCTCTCTCATACACTCATTTTCTCTCGCCATTCCTTTGGCATCTCTAGTGTGCATCTCGTAGTCGAAGTGGCATTTGTGTTTGGTTGGGTGAATCTTTTTTCCATTCAAGTGTTTCATCAACTTTTCGCTGGCCGAGTATCTTATTAACGGCCTTTACTCTAATTGTGTTCGTAATTAGTTATGTATACTCGGGAGAATCATCACTTTTACTACAATCATTCATCTTACTCTTCTTCCTTGTCTTCAATGTCCTTTTCACTGCTTGGGATACCTGGTTAAGACACCAAGAGCTACATAACAAATGTCGTCTATTATCATAAAAGATTAAAAATTGTTCAGGTAAATCCAAAGAGTAAAAACCTCTCTACTCTTTGGGTAAATCACAATAAAATCAATTCGTGAAGACAACGAAATAATTGATCTTCATTTGAATCAAACTGTTATTACAATCAATGAACACAAGAAATAATCACACTTGAACAAACATATTCAACGAAAATAAAAAAATGGAAAAGATTTTGAATTAGAAATTGACAAAAGTGAAAAATAATTAATTAGTATAAAGAAATTAGTTAATTGAATTGATTAAAAACAACTGTTGATTGATGGAAACTTGATATTACTTGTTGACATTTTAGATTCTTGATTTAGCCGCGTTTTCATTCATTCGCTCGGCTCACATTTTCTCAGCTTCTTCAATTGAGTTACATGAGAATAAGAATAAGAATAAGAATCTAAGCCGAAATATCGACTTACCCACTAAATCGGCTGTTCCAAGTTTCTCAAGCTGATGTTTTCATTTTTTTCTCTGAATGTTTTGATTGTTTTTCTTTTCTCGTAAATTTTTATTCATTTTTTTTTGTTCCCTTTGTGGTTCATTTAAATTGATTATTGATTAAAGTGATCTAATTTAACGATCTTGGTGTGGATCCTCGTTGAAACCCATCTTGGTGGTCTTCTAATATGGGTTGTTGCTGTGTGAAGATAAAAAATGAAGAGAGACAAGAGTTGGAGGTATCAACAACACAGAATAACCAGAGTTTACTGAATGGGAGAAACCTGTTGCCTCAAGTGAGAAATAGTGATGCTAATAAATTGTGTATGGTAATTGATTTGGACGAAACATTGGTCCATAGTTCTTTTAGGTCTATCGATAAGGCCGATTTTATAGTTCCTGTTGAGATTGATGGTACTTTACATCAAGTTTACGTTGCCAAGAGGCCTTATGTTGACGAGTTTCTTCAAAAGATGGGTCAACACTATGAATGTGTCTTATTTACCGCCAGTCTAGCCAAATATGCCGATCCAGTGGCCGATCTCTTGGATAAATGGAATGTTTTTAGAGCCCGACTTTTCCGAGAATCATGTGTTTTATATCGTGGCAATTATGTGAAAGACTTGCGAAAATTGGGCCGAGATTTAAGTAGAGTTGTAATTGTTGACAATTCTCCAGCTTCATATATCTTCCATCCTGATAATGCAGTGCCTGTTGCCTCCTGGTTCGATGATGATTCTGACACAGAACTTCGGGATTTGATACCTTTTTTTATCGATTTAAGTACATGTGATAATGTATATAAAAAGCTTCGAAATGCCACTAATTCGACAAATAACTCAACTTTATCAAACTTAACATCATCTCAAAACGACAGTACCAATGTCCCATTTAGTGTGTAACATTAAATGTGTTCATCTTTGTGATAAGCACTTCAGTCTAGAGTTGTCAAAAAGAAAGAACTAAAAAAGAGAAAATAACAAAAAATTATTAACAAACACCAATTACCCATAACACAAACAAACAAACACTATGTAAATCACACCATCAAGTGCAGTAAAATCATTAAATCATTGCGACAACCTCTTAAATCCAATTGTGAAGCCAATTAACTTTAAAAATGTTAATAACTGACGACGATGATCTGTAAAAATCCATTTTGACATAATAACAGAGAGAAAAACCTTCAATATACTTACATTAGGAATATGATATTTCCACTTATGGTTTCGATTTTAATTCCATATCAAATTAACACAAGAATATTAAACAATTTTACGTTGATGATTAAGATAAAACATGAGAATAATTAATCGTATAAAAACAATGAAAGAAAAAAATAATCAATTCACTTCGCAAAAGGAAACCAAAAAGTGAATGGTTTCTTAATTGTTTGGATTTTAATCGAAAATTATCTTGATTCTTAGTATCTCTCTCCTCTCCCTTGCTCACTCACTTTAGAAATCAACAATCACTATCTAATTGTTATTGAGGTTCTTTCAAATGTTTTGTCAACAATTTGGTACAATTTTGGACAATCAGTAGAAAAGATGAAATCGTAAAAGGAATGGATAGAAAAGGAAAAGATGAACGATAATTAATAAGCTCAGAATGGAATGAAAATTATCATGATTTACTCTTTTACAGAAAGACCTCAGTTACTCAATGAATTCAATGGACATAACGTGTCAATTTACCGACTTCATTATTGGTCAAAGGCGATGTGATCTCCATGTGTCCAGGTCGAGCTGCTCCAGGTCATTGTAAAAGTTTAGAGCAAATTATAAGTTCGAGTGAAGGTGAACCATCTTACCTGGAATTGAAACAAGGAGATCGCTTTGGATCAACCGTTGAACAAGGACCAATGTCATTCACTTCTGCTCGATCATGGGAAAACCGCGATGCCACTTTCGCTCGGCGACTACTTCAGTTGATGGTTACCATTTCGAGACACTTTTTAATCAACTGACTAATCAAGTCTTCATCAACTTTTTTTAAAAATTATTAATAATTCCATTTCCAATGGTTGTAAATTTTATACGTCGCAATTAACAAAAAATAACACAATTATATGAATTGCAAATTATTTTTAATTATATTTTATAAAACTTTTTCTTTTCTTTTTTCAATCTTAATCTTCCCTTTGGGCTAAATTATCTGTCTCTGGATTCATTGTTTATGCGTCAAAGTATCAAATTGAAAAGTAAATAGAAATGAAAAGAGACAAGAGAAACAAATTCAAAGTAATTCATTTGATTTGATTAATTTATTGATACATTAGATTAGTTAATTTTCAATGGACTTTTGATCGTGATCGTCAGGTGGTTGGAGTAAATTGAATTTTTTCTATGCTTAGAATTTTAACTGATTAGTATAGAGATTAATAAATTGGAAAACACCAGCACATTATTTTCCTATTGCGTTAGCCTAGCACCTTCACTCGCAGACTGACCCGCTGCTATTGGATATACAGCTCTTGTTCCAGTCAATAGTTGCACCAACGCAATGATTACTTTTATTAAGGTTTCAGTCCTGAACTTTTCATTCGAACATGGATTAGATGCTGCAACCGAACCTCTAATGCTACTGCTAGCGTTGGAAAGCCTGTCTAGATTAACTCCACCGCTTGATAAGAGGGTTTGTATAGCTGAAAAGACGCTTGAAACATCAGTGGATGATTTTTGTGGAAGTGTTAAATCTGAGTTAGGAAAAGTAGTTTCAACACTAGAACCAGAACCAGAACCATATTCAGAATCATATCCAGGATTAGTTACATTATTAGGAAAAGAGCCAGCAGAAACAGGATCCTGATACGATAAAGATGACATAAGTCCCATGAAAATGGTGATTAACCACAAAAAATTAATGGCCATAAATCGATTTAAACTCATTGTTCTTCTTGTGGTTAACACTTTTGTTTTGTCACTATTTTAACTGTTAGAAATGTTTACTGATTCGAATGGAATTAAATTTAAATATAATTTTCAATTTGAATAATTTCACCTTTTATATGATTTTCTCACATGTCAACGTGTCGCTTTGGCCTCGATGAAGTTACCTGAACAAACTCAAACACAAATTGAATTGGATTATCTTCATGTTAATTACAAGGAAAATCATTCTATCAACATGATCGCTTTTCTGAGTAAATTTAAGAAATCAAATTCATGAATGTCATCTTTTCTGTCTTTTTTTGATCTAACGAAACAACCATTTTGTCCACCTTAAGTTAAACAGCAATCAAATCTTTCTGCTAATACTTTTTCCATCTCTCTACAACTATACCAAAGTATTAGGTTAAAGAGTAATTAGAAATGAACAGAGAGACAAGAGAAACAAATTCAAGGTAATTAATTTAATTTGGTTAGTTTATTGATACATTTGATTAGTAACACGGTAATAAATAGGAAAACACCAGTACATTATTTTCCTAGCCTAGCACCTTAACTCGCAGATTGGCCTGCTACATCTACATATCCGATGTTTGAGTTACTTAATGCGTGAACCAACGCACTGACTACTTCCAATAAGGTTTGAACCAAGACATCATCCTCGCTCAAACCAGGATTAGATTCTGCAACCGACCTACTAGCGTTGGAAAGACTGTCTAAATTAATTCCCGCACTTGATAAGATGCTAGATAGAGCTGAAAAGACCCGTGAAGCATCAGAGGATGACGAAAGTCTTGAAACAGCACCAGCAGCAGCAGAATCGGCAGAAGCAGCAGCACCTCCACCAGAACCGTACCCGACACCATATCCAGAGCCATAGCCAGCCCTAGTTACATTAGCAGGACCAGCAGAAACAGGACCCTGGTACGATAAAGATGACATAAGCCCCAGGAAAATGGTGATTAACCAAAAAAATTAATGACCATAAATGGATTTAAACTCATTGTTCTTCTTGTGGTTTACACTTAAATTTTAACTGTTAGAAATGTTCACTGCTTCGAATGAAAATTAAATTTAGTTATAATTTTCCCTTCAAAGATTTTACCTTTATCTGGTTTTCTCACATGTCAACGTGTTGTTTTAGCCTCGATAAAGTTACCTGAACAAATTCAAACATAAATTGAATTAAATTAGATGATCTTCATGATGATTAAACAAATTCAACAAATGCATCACAATTTTAAATTGAGTTTACAATCAAAATGAAAAAAAGAGGATACATCAGATAGCAATATAAGCTCATTTAATCGTTTTTTTAGTCAATCCCATTTCCAATGATCGTTAATTTTGTGCGTCACAATTAACTCAAAATACTAATAATTATAACAAGGAAAATCACGATCAACACTTCTGAGGAAAATTAAGAAATCAAATTCAAGAATGTCATCTTTTCTGTCTAACGAAACAACCATTTTGCTCAGCTTAAGTTAAACAGAGTAATCACCAATCAGTTTTCTTGATTTACAATCAATTTTATTTGTTCAAATTTTGACAATATCTTTTTACCATAATTGAATTATGATTAACTGATAAACCAATTGACCATCAAAAGTTGGTCTTCAATATTTTATGAGTCTTATCATTCAATGAGAATTTAATAATTGCTACATTTTAATTACTATTTGTAAATCAATTATTAATAATAAAAGGACTTTATTTTTGGTTGATTAACAACTCGAATTGAAAATCAAGTTAAATTGTTGATGAAAAGTTTCAACTTTTCAATTGGTATTTTAAACCAATTAGCTGATTTACTACTAAATAAGTAGATTAAACTATCTGTGAATGGATCAATTATCTAATAGTGATTAGCATTACAAGTAATCTACTTAATTGATTAGATTAATTTTTCTCTCTTTTTCTCGATTATCATCTTTAGGTTTCTCTTTCTTTTCTCTGTCTTTTTTTCTCCTCTTGTGATCAGTTGTCTTCGTTTCTTTTTGGTAAAAGTTCAATGTGAAAGTCTTTCATCAATAACAATCTCCAATCTCTTTACAATTGTGATTAACTGTTGTTCTTTAATTGTTACAATTACCAAGTAATATTCTCTTTAGATTAATGGGTTAATCAACTAATTGATTTTAACCTTTTAAATTCTCAACTAAATTTGCTCAATTAAAAAGATTCGAAATCAACATTGGTTAAGTTACTTGAAGCTCTATAATCATGTAAACAAACCAGAAGCTTTTGTTATCTGTCAACATTTTGTCTTGTTTTGTCTCAATTTGCTTATGGTAAGTTAATTGTTATCCTTCTTTATTACTTTATCATCTTAATTTACTTATGTCCAATCAATCAAACCCAATTAGCTTTGTGATTTTCTGTAGTTTCACCCAATTGATTGGAAAGGTAAAAATAATCAAAGGCTCTCATGTCCAGTAGATATTAAGATGAACATGCTTTTTATTTGGTTTACTATTTGTAACTTATTGATTGTTCATTAATTGATCACTTCTCTAATCAGTGAATGAGAGAGAGAAGATATTAAATCAACAAGGACAGATGAAGGTTGATTTATCATCTAGTCTATCATCATCATTAGAAATATAATATTTATAAAGTAAACTTTGTGATCCATTGAAGAGCAGAAATGATCAACTCTAACCCAAAAAGGAGGAAAACAAAGAAATCTCAATATATTTTTCTGTTGGTGTTTTTCTAATCCAATTAATCGGTGTAAACGTAATTAATTAAGTCAATTAGATGGTAAATTAAGTGTTTCAAGTGATGAAGAGAAGAAGAGAAGAAGAAAAATGATGGAGCAACAAGTCGAGAAGTGAAAAGGAGAGTCAAGATGAAAGAAATAGAAAATAACTTTTGGGTTAATCATAATGGCGATGATGTTGATGATTGAATATTTGAAAGATCAACTATAATAACCATTTTGTTTACCTGAGAAAATGATTAATTTATTGATCTGATGAAAAACTGACCAAACCCTAAATCTGACAGTTACATGGTCACCTAAAGGAGATGAAGATGATGAGAGTTATTAATGTCATGAACACAATTCCATAGGCTGTTTAGATTGTATAACAGGAGAGATGAAGGTTAGTCAATCAACAGAATAGAAAAATTAAATCAACCAAATTAGAATATAAGTTCTTTTCTCTTTTCTTTTTTCTCTCTCATCAAATTACTTTGTTTTCTACTGAGAACAATTTTCTTCAGGAAATTAAATAGTCAACTGATTGTTTTCTTCACCACCACAGCCTTAATCTCTTCATAGGAAACAAATTTCTCTTTCTTCCCTATTCTCATCTCTTTCTGTCTTTTTTCCTCTGGATTTGTCTTCTTCTTCTTCTTCTTCACTCATCATCTATTCATGAAAAGAAGGTGAATGAAGAAGATGCAGAAATCATGAGAATCCAAGTGATCATCAAGCTCTTGATTGTAGAAAATATTGTTTATTTATTTTCCAGTGATTATCAGCTGATCATCTGATGCTGATTAGTGTTTACCTTTAGTGTCACAGGTTATTTATTGGTAAACAATCACTTGTATTGTGTTTACATTTTCATTGTCATTTAATTTACTTTTCTCTCCTTCTCTCTCCCTCTTACAGGTTAATTAGTAGTCATCTCTAGTCAACAATTGTTTTAATTGAATGTCTAATTTACCTAAACAAAGGTTACATGATTACGATATGAGATATGAATTATTATACCAAAGAGGTGATTGGATTAGGTTCAGCCGAAGCATTGAAAGTACTGCACAGCGAATTGGAACAAGAATTGAGTTTTTGTAAGGTAAGTTAATTCGATTGTTATCTGTTCTTTTTTGCGAATATCTCTTGTTTTCTTTCTCTCCAATACACTCATTAACTCTCTCATTCTCTCTTTCTCTCTCTCTCCATTCCTTTGGCATCTTTAGTGTGCATCTCGTAGTCGAAGTGGCATTTGTGTTTGGTTGGGTGAATCTTTTTTCCATTCAAGTGTTTCATCAACTTTTCGCTGGCCGAGTATCTTATTAACGGCCTTTACTCTAATTGTGTTCGTAATTAGTTATGTTTACTCGGGAGAATCATCACTTTTACTACAATCATTCATCTTACTCTTCTTCCTTGTCTTCAATGTCCTTCTCACTGCTTGGGATACCTGGTTAAGACACCAAGAGTTACATAACAAATGTCGTCTATTATCACAAAAGATTAAAAATTGTTCAGGTAAATCACAAAACAATCAATTCATGTATACATATGTTCAAATTGTAATGAAAATTATCATAATTTACTCTATTACAGAAAGATCTCAATTACTTAATGAATGGAAAACTGGAAAATACTATCCTAACCTTTATCTTCCTCAATCCCCATGTATCACTCTTCAATGGACATATCGTGACAATCAACGAGTAAATTTACCTACTTCATTATTGGTCAAAGGCGATGTGATCTCCATGTGTCCAGGTCGAGCTGCTCCAGGTCATTGTAAAAGTTTAGAGCAAATTATAAGTTCGAGTGAAGGTGAACCATCTTACCTGGAATTGAAACAAGGAGGTCGCTTTGGATCAACGGTTGAACAAGGACCAATGTCATTCACTTCTGCTCGATTGAGAAAAGCCGCTAAACCAGTTAAATTTATCATGTTGGAAACACCTTATATTTCGGGTCTTCGTCTAGCACTCAGCCAGTCCTGGCATCGTCCAGCTACACTCTACGAGAAGGAGCGTCACACCATCATCACTAAATACATTGAAAGAATCATAATCCCTTTGGTTTGGTTGGTCGTTTTCACCGTCAGTATTATTCATTATGGTTACATCAGTTCCGAAACAAAAGTTAACGTTTTCATCAAATCGTTTTATGTCCTCCTCTTGCGACCCACGTCATGTCTCCTTCCTCTTTTACCGTTAACCCTTCCGTCTCTCTGGTTAATTGTCAATGCCTTTGGAGTAGCTCATCTATTCAATTTGATTAAATCTCGACCAATGGTCAGAGAATCTGCCAATGTAAACAACTTTTCCCTTGGATCTCCTGGTTCCTATTTAGGCCGTGAAGATGCCACTGTCCCAGGTAATATTAATGTCAACATTAGTAACAGTGGTGTTGGTGCATCAACTGGTGCTGGTGATGGCAGTAATGGTGATGGGAGTAGTGGAGGTGATGGTGATAGTGGAGGGGGAATTCCTGGTGGAATATTAAACTAAAACGACCTTCATCTGACCCATTTTTTGACGATCTCGAGTCACATTCATCACTAGACATTATCGCTCCAGTTGAGTTTACATGGAGTGAACTTTATAAATCGGTTCTCGATCTACTTATCTGTCGAGATGGTAACCTTTGGAGATCGGCAAATATTTTACAAGTTTTTGGTTCTATTACTGCTCTTTGTTGTATCGACAAGAAAGGAATCCTCTCTTGGCCCAATCCAAGTGCCGATAAGGTTTTCTATCTAACATCTAATTCTGGTGGTAGTAAACATGGTTCTTCCATTGCAACTAATCCCGATTATTTAATTGATGATAATGATGAAGACATTTTCGTTGGTGATGTTAACTATCGAAATAGTAAAAATAACGAGTCAATGAAAGTCGACAGTTGCTCAACAAAAGTAAAGAAAGACAAATATTGCAGTAAATCGGAAGTACTGGACATTACCCATGACATTCATAACTCATTTGGTTTACAATTTGACGATCCAGAATGGCCTCGATTCCTTCCTAACCTGAAACCTCTTGGATTGGCCATATTACTCAACACGTGTAACATGGACGCCCAAGAGGAGTACAACCTTTTCTGTGACCATATTACTTGTGAATCAATGAGAAACGAAGCCTCCGTCCCTGTGGTTAATAAACGCTGTCTCTGTGAATTATCACGATTAATGGGCTTCACCGAGAAAGCGATAAGTGATTATCGGTACATGTTTCAAATCTCATCTTTTCGTCATGTTAAACCTGAAGTAATTCAACAAGGTAAATTAGCTAAATCGCTTAATTTTCCTCGACTCAAGATGCCTTTTCCCAATATGACATCAGCTGTGATTCGTGACGTTTGCACGGGTTCATATCAACTCTTTTCTCAAGGTAATGGAGATTTTATACTCGACGCTTGTACCGAATTTTGGGATGGTCAAGATCTTTGTGCGCTCGCTGAACCAGATCGTAAACGGATACTCGATTTCTATCATCGGTCTTCCCTTGCCGCTTATTGCATGGCTTTTTCTTATGTTCCTCTTAATACTTATCCTGATCGTAGATTAAATAATGACTTTTTTATTGAACTACCGCCTGATAGTCGACATGTTTTCCAGTCACAAAAAAATCTCAATTCTTCCGTTCGATCATGGGAAAACCGAGATGCCGCTTTCGCTCGGCCGTTAATGAGTCACCATTTATCTACTGATTCATTAACTACCAAAGGAACTAACAAAACGGAGTCACAACAATCAACCACCAATCCAACAATCACAACCACCACATCCAATTCTAGTCCCACCACAACCTCCACAAATCAAAGTTCAAATGTTAATCCTTTACGCTCCAAGTCAACCTCATCAACTACTTCAGTTGATGGTTACCATTTCGAGACACTTTTAAATCAACTGACTAATCAAGTCTTCATTGGGATGGTTAATATGCAGTATCAGGCTTGTCCCGATTTCGTTACATTAGTTGAACAACTCGATAAAGCTTGTATTCGTTTTGTACATTTCTCGAAGGAAAACGAACTTAGATCTCGAGTTTTCTCTGAGAAAATGGGACTAGAAGCAGGTTGGAATTGTCATATATCTTTGCTAAGTGAAGCGGCATCGAAAGAGATCAATTTAAACGCATCTCAATCGCACATGAACAGTTTCAAAGGTTCAAAAGCATCGATTCATCCCAATTGCGAGGCCAATGCGACCCTAGTGAGAACACAAAGTGCACCCTCTTATTTTAATACTGACCCAACTGCCGTGAAGTTTGATAAAAGTCCACTCAAAGAGCAATCGTCGTCGATTCTGATCACAACTGAAGATTATGATAATCGAGAAAACAATATCGCTTATATTGATGAAAACCAAAGAGAAAATGCCAAATACAATGATAATATCATTTTAGACAATGAACCAGAGGATTATGATGTTGGTAGTGGCACGAATATCAAAAGCACCAATGAAACCATAGATGAAGATCAATTGAATCCAACAGGTAGTATGACCAATAAGGAATCTGCTAATTTAGTCGATAGCGATAATGAAGACTGTCGAAGTAAAAGTTGGTCTGAAGTGTCAACCTCTCCAAGCCATATAACCGAAAGTACAAACACCGATCGAAGTGCACCAATCACCTTTGATGTCAACAATCGAGCAAAATTACCTAAAGGCATTGAACAGATTCGACCTCATCTTGCAGAGGTTGACAATGTTCCCCTGTTAGTATCATTATTCACCGATTGTACTCCCCAAACAACTCGAGAAATGATTGAGATTATGCAAGAAAACGGTGAAGTTGTTTGCGTAATCGGAAGTGCCGCAAATGTCAACAACATGCCAATTTTCATGCAAACCGATGCAAGGTAAGTGCAATAGTTAAATCAATTGAATCGATGATGATAATTTCTCACCAATTGTTTTTCACTTTGGTTTCAGCATCGGAATCGAGCCCTTGTACCCCCAAATCTGCGTCAAGGAGCCAGTTACCAAAGCGAATGGTAAACCATTCAAAGGATTCATCTCACCGACCGACATCAGCAACGCTCTGAACACGTTACCCTGTTCAATATCTTTCCACCGAGAAGACTCAATCAGTTTGAATCATATCATCATGCAAGCTCGACACTACATGATGAATGCACGAAACTGCCTTCAATTTTTTTTCTCTTGCTCTCTGAGCCTCAGTTTGGCTCAATTGTTTGCCACTCTCTTCTTCCTGCCGCCTCTCCTTTCACCAGGGTCAGTTCTTTGGTTGGTCACCATTGTTTTCCCGCTACTCAGCCTTTCCCTCATGGGAACTCCTTTGGATACTCAAGTCATGAATCAAGCAACAGGCAAGAATCTTAATCTAAGTCGAGAGGTAAGTTGATCATCATTCTATCAGAATAACAGTTAATTAAATTGCTTGTTAACCTTTCCATCATTTACAGAGCATAATTTACTTCCTGATGTGTTACTTAATCAAATTTTGCCCTTCGACAATGATTATTGTTGCTTCATTTGCTTTAATCATCAACAATTCTTGTAAACAAATCGTTGACTCAACTGAAGCTAATTCATCTGGTCCATGTTGGATGTTGATTGATGCCAAGTAATTATCAAACTATTTCTAATATGATAATTAACATTCTGTGTATATTAATTAACTTGCTCTCTCTCTCTCTAATTAGCGTGACACTAACCGAAATTAGCAAATGGAATAATCAAGTTTTAATGGCTCAAACATTTTCTGTTGCTTGTATTGTTATTTATTTCAGTAAGAAAATTGTTTTTATATTGTTGCTAATTGCGATTCCTTACTAATTGTTACTCTTTCTTTTTTATTGTTCATCAACAGTTATCATTTCAATTGGGTTTGTTCATCGATCTCATCTTCTTTGGAGGCGAAGTCCATTCGCAAATAGGTGCTGGGCATTTATGTCGATTATCTTATTCATCGTTAATCTGATCTTCTGTTTGGCTCAACTTAATCTATCTCATGATAGTCCAATATTTTTAAATGAATTTTCATCAGTTCCACTTTATATTATCATCTTAGCTTTTCTTTGGCCTCTAATTTTAATTGTTATCAACAGTCTTGTCAAAGGACACGAGATAAAGTAAGTAACTAATTAGTCTAAATTTAGATTATGTCAATTAATCATCAATCGTTAATCGTTTCTCTTTCTCTCTTTCTCTCTCTATTTTCTCATTAGAATCTCTGAACGGCAACAACGACGAGCGCGACTCGAATTTGGAACTAAATTAGGAATGAATTCCCCGTTTTAAATAACCAAATCCAGTGATTAATTAAATTCTCATAGTGTTATAACTATTAATTTGAATCGATAGCAACAATTTAAATCTACTCAATGATAACCAAAAGTGAAAAAGAAAAAAAAATCAACTCATCATAAAACACACACAACAATTTAAAGTGATTTAAATAGACATTTTAATAGACATTTTAATTAAAATGCAATATCCATAATCAATCATTACAATCAATTGTAAACATCAAGAAAATTCAATTCACAGCTCAAGTCACAATTTTCTCTCTCAAATTAATCATCATGTTTTATTTTAAATCTTTAACTCTCATGACAGTTTTAGTTTTTTCTTTTGTTGATTTTTCTTGATCAATCGATTTAAACATTAAAAAGAAAAATATTTCAACAAAAATTCGTTTAATTATTTCGCTGATTGTTGATTAAGTTAATTCATTTACTCGCGATTCCATAATATGATCAACAATTAAATCAAGTCCAAGTCAACGGTAATCACAGAGATTATGTCTGTTCAGTTGATCATCATTGAGAATATGAGTTTACATTTTTGTTGGTGCGTTTTAATTGTTCATCATTAAAGCGACAATTTGACATTTGTAATACTTTCTATTGGATTTGTTAATTGGGATGATTAAGGTTTCGAGATTACAAACTGATAGGAATTTAAATTGCTAATGATTTTTGTCAATTCTTTTATTACAATTGGGAGATTATTAATTAACCGGATTAGTTAATTGTTTGGATTAATTTGTTGGTTTCTTTTTCTGATTCGTTTATGAAATTGTAATAAAAGTAGGAGACAGAAAATGCTTGAGAATTAGTTTTAATTGTGTTTGTATGTTTGTATTTTTTGACATGAATTTACTTATGTAATTTGATTGTAGTTTCACTTTCACATTAAAATTTTTACAATGAATTAAAATTATCAAATACTGGGTATTGATGTTGGGTGAAGAATTGGCTTGTGGACGATAATAAAAAAAACTTTACGATTTTTGAGTGTTTGTCCACTTTTCGCAGGTCGATTAAGTTATTCCTCTTTCTTGTCGTTAACTTTCTCTTTCTCTTTTTCTTCTCTTTCTTTCTCGATTTTCTCTTTCTCGGCTTTCTCTTTCTCTAATCTCTCTTTTTCTGTTTTTTCTGCTTTTTCTTTCTCTATTTTCTCTTTCTCAGCTTTCTCTTTCTCTTGTTTTTCTTTATCACTTTTCTCTTTTTGAATTCTTTCTTTCTCAAGTCTCTCTTTTTCTGCCTTCTCTTTCTCTAGTCGTTCTTTTTCTAGCCTTTCTTTCTCTGCTTTCTCTTTCTCAACCCTCTCTTTCTCAGCCTTTTCTTTCTCTAGTCTTTCTTTTTCTGTTTTCACTTTCTCTAACCTCTCTTTCTCTAATTTCTCTTTCTCTAATTTCTCTTTCTCTTGTTTTTCTTTATCACTTTTCTCTTTTTGAATTCTTTCTTTCTCAAGTCTCTCTTTTTCTGCCTTCTCTTTCTCTAGTCGTTCTTTTTCTAGCCTTTCTTTCTCTGCTTTCTCTTTCTCAACCCTCTCTTTCTCAGCCTTTTCTTTCTCTAGTCTTTCTTTTTCTGTTTTCACTTTCTCTAACCTCTCTTTCTCTAATTTCTCTTTCTCTAATTTCTCTTTCTCGACTCTTTCTTTTTCTAATTTCTCTTTCTCGACTCTTTCTTTTTCTAATTTTTCTTTTTCTAATTTCTCTTTTCTAATTTCTCTTTCTCGGTCCTTTCTTTTTCTAATCTTTCTTTCTCAAGCTTCTCTTTTTCCAGTCTCTCTTTCTCCTTTTTCTCTTTATCTAACTTTTCTTTCTCAACCCTCTCTTTCTCTAATTTTTCTTTCTTCTCTTTCTCAACTTTTTCTTCTTCTATCCTTTCTCTTTCAGCCTTCTCTGCCTTTTCTTCTTCAACTCTTTCTTTTTCAAGTTTTTCTTTCTCTTCTTTCTGCATATTTGCAATATCCTTGAGTTCCTTTTCTATTAAATCCTTCTCGTTCTCCTCTGGCTTATCTGGCTCGTGGCTATCAACCTCCATAGCACCAAATCCTTTATCATTTTCCTTAAGATCTTTCTCTTCCGTTTTAAGCTTTTTCGGTTCTGGTTCTTGGTCATCTCTTTCCTGATGAGTTGATGTCACTGAAGTCATTGGTGTTTGTGGTGGTGATGATTGAAGAAGTGGTAAAGGTGAGTTTTTGTTCAGATATTCCATTCTCTTTTCTATAACAGTCACTATTTTTTGAGAACAATATTTTTGGATAAAATTAACGGCGGTTTCAGTCTTAATATTGTCTAAAGGAACTTTAATCCTAACATCAACAAGATGATCGCTGCACGTGATTCGTATCTTGGGACGCTTTGTTTCGTGAGTATGCATGTTGACTAATCGCATACTTTCAGGTTGTTCCACTTCTGTGTGATTGGATCTTTTCGAATGCGACTTTGGACTTGTCACTCCACTTTTAACTTCCTCAGTATTAGGTGTCTCAATGTTTCGTAAACTTCGTTTACGTGAAGGAGTAACAGTTTTAATTAATGGTGATGATGATGACGATGATGATGATGATGGTTTAACTATTGGAGATGGTTTGATGTCTTCTTTAAAAGATCGACTACTAGATCGAGTATGTCTACGATCTTCTGTAGTTGGAGTAGCTGTGTCAGTTGTTTGATTTAAAGATTTTCGTTCACGTTTAACAGACGTCGAGGGAGTTGGTTTACTATTATTAGTTTCACTAGATCCTCGTCGTTCTTTTGGACTTGCTTCTCTTTCCGGTAGTCCATTAAGAGATGAACGCTTAGAGCGACTTGAGTTAACCTTAGCTGGTTTCTCTTTGGCAACTTTAATGCTTGGCTTAGGGCTGATTTTGATTAGCTCTTGTTCTTCCTCTTTACCTACAATACTGACATCAACCCCATCACTGACTACTTTTCGTGGATCAGGAACCTCTGTTAATCCCTTTTCAACGTTGATTGCTCTCTCCAAGATGTTCATCGTTCTTTTTCTTTCCTCAACTGGAAGTTTGAATCTATTTTTGTCTTTACGGTCCATTGTCAGGTTGGTGAGTACACATTCAAAGTTGGTTTGGTCATAAAAATCAGGTACATAGATACCAGGCTCTTTTTCATCATTTAACCATTGTATCTTAAATCGACGGCTACTTTTATAAACATTTTGTGCTGTTCGACACACATAGAAAGTACCTTCATCATTACGAACAGCAAGAAAATCTCCTTTACCAAAGATGACTATTTTATCATCAATGTTTTTAGAAATTGAGCAAGGTTTAGTTGGAGGTTTATAAAGAGCAGGAGCCAGGACAGCTAAAGCTTCAGGAGATTGGAATGGTTGATATTGTGATCGAACTCGTTTACTTGTTCTAGGCTCACCGTCAGTTTCCTCTTCATCAGTGGAACTGCTGGAGCTCACCTTCTTATTCACATCAGCTTTTTTGGCCACTGCTTTTTTTGCTGCACCACAACGTCCTTTCCAGGTAGATTTTGCACTTTCCGTCATTTTAGCTGGAGAAATGATACAAGCCATTGAAGAAAAAGGAAAATAAAACAAAGCAAATCAACAATTAGTCGGTGAATTAAAGTATTTAAAGTAGAATAAGGTTATCTAAATTAAAGCATATAATCAGAATACTATAAAACACTAAACGAATGGATAAAATTTGATATGTTGACAACAATGACAAAAGTGAATAAATGACAGTCAAATAAAGGAAATATTAAAATACTGAGAAGACACATAAAAACAATCAACATATATACGAATAAATTAAAGAGACAGAGAGAGAGACAGAGAGAGAGAAAGGGAGAGATATTAAAAATCAAAAAGAAGGAGGAACCTTATTAATTATCAAACTCAAACACAAATAGATACAACAAATCATCTGGTCATCAAATAGAAATTAAAGAAAAAGAGTAAGTAAACAGTTTCGGTATCCAAACACTCGAAAGAGATTATAAAAAAAATTTCCTTCGACTCACAAAGTGTTAAAACAAAAGATGATTTTTGATCACTAATTTCTTAAGTACACATAGTAAAGGAAAAAATATATACACGGATCGCCTTCCTTTTCCGTCCAGTTCTAACACCCACTAGGGGGACATGTTACTAGCCATAGAACTGGTAACATATACATTGAAAGATAGAGAGATAGAAACTAGAATATTATGTACAATGAGAGAAACAAACCCAAAAAAACTGATACTCTCATTGGAAAACAGAGAGAGAGAAAAGGTAAAGAAAAATTGATTCCAAATGATTGGATTATTAATCAATAATCTAATTAACAACAACTTACCTTTTTTCTCCATATTCTTGGAAATGTTAAGATAATTAGAATTAAAATTAGAACCACAGATAAAATAACAATTAAATTAGATTTTGTTCCATGAGAAGATGAAGAAAAATAAAGTCTCTCAACACAAGAGGAGAGAAGCAAAGATGAGGCAAGAAGAAGAAACAAATAGAAAGAGAGAAAAAAAGAGAAGAGAAAATGGCGCGAGGGGAAGTAACTATTCTGTCGAATGTAACAAGCCTCTTTTTCCCCTTTTGGTTTATTCTTTTTTCCATTCGTTTCTCTTTCTATTTCTCTTTCTTTTCTCCCTCTTTTTTTCTTTTCTCTTTCGCTTTTTCCTTTTCTGAATCATGTTTCTAAAATTTTCTTCTTCTCTCTTTCGCTTTAGTCTCTTTCTTTTCTTCATTTTTCTTCATCTTTTTCTTTCTTTTTTTCTGTCTCGTTTGGAATCTTCTTCTTTTCTCTCTCTTCATCATCATCATTTTCTAATATCGATAGCAAACATTATAATATCATCTTTTTTGTTCACATTTTTATTCATCATCAGAATCATCATCATCTTATTACTTTGTCATGTCTCTTTTATTGACTCCGATGTTAAATCCTTATTTAACTGGCCGATTTTCTCATCCAATTTAATCATTAATATGATCCCGTCATCATTGGTCAACTTTTGGTAATCAATTAAAAATGGATCATTAAATTGGTGAGATCAATTTAATTACTTGTTACCAAGTGTCAACAATCAACTCTTCCGATTTCGCTTTTAAAGCCTTAAACATTCATGGGTTAGCATGATAACAACTTTATTGGCTCATTTTCATCAGAGAAAACAAAGTTATCACCGTTAATCCGAGTAGATTTGATTGTAATCGAGTCTCGGTTCTTGCTCCCCCTGACTTGAGATAATCAAATATTGGTATAAAGTGATAAAACAAATTAGCTTTTTCTTATTGTCAAGTCAATGTTATTTTTAAAATGAAACATTTAAGAGTATCCTTTGATTGTCTACATTCATCAATAAGTTAAATTGCTGTTGTAACCAAGGATAATTCATCGATTATGATTTGATTGCTCAGACAATTTTCATCTCAAGACAAATAGTTTGTTCAACTAATATCAAAACCAAAAGTTGCATAATTGCTCAAGTATCTATGCAATCAGTTAATCAATCTTGCTAGATGACTTGATTACAATGAAAAGATGAAACGACCAAGATGAATTTGAGAATTAAATTTCTCACAATTTAGTAACATTCACAGTCAACACCACCAACGTCATAATGATGGCCAATGATTAAATAATCAAAGGACAAAAACAACCACTGAAATCGTCTAGAGATTCTGAGAATAAGTCGATCGATGATAGATCGATAAATGCTAACGCATTTATCAAAAAAAAGACCAACGATTTAGTGACTCGATGGAATGAGCAAAAAAAAGAGTAATTAGTCAACTCTTTGATAATCATAAAAGAATGAGACATAATCACAATTAAGAGTTTTATTTGTTGATTAGTGAGAAGTACTCGTTATTTTTTGTGCGATTGATTTCGTCAGAAAGTAATTAAACTCGATTGGTAGAGTTTAATGATAGAGTATAAATCATCATGATCATTCAATTGAGAATAGACAAAAGTCAAACTTATATCGATTAGAGATTAAATTAATTTGGAATTATAAGCAAACCAAGCAATAGAAAAAAGAAAGGAAAAGAAAAATTTAAACAAAGTAAAAAAGCATTTCAATTGATGAGATGTAAACATTGAGTTTAGAACAGAAAAGTCAATATTTGATTGGAAGTGTTTCCATTCTAAGTGTCGATTTTAATACTTAGAACAAAACTCGAACCAACGATCAAGAGACTTGAAGTCGAATCTTGTCCAGGTCAGTTCACTCTCGTTCCACTCTTAACTCGATAAGATGTTGAAAGAATTTACTTTTCGAGTAGAATATCATTTAATGTGATGATAGTACTTTGGTTAATTACTGTCGATTTTAATTGAGACCCAAAAGAAGATGAGAAACTTAGTTAAATTAAATGAAGAGAGAGACAAAGGGTAAAGATGATAAAGATGATGATGAAATGGAATGGATATTGATGAGATTATTTTGATTACTTTGTTGAGATGATATTGCAGATAATTAATTAGATTGTTCTGTTGAAAGTTTATGAGTAGTTGATGATGTTGGTGTTGGTACTGTTTTCGTTTGATTAGAACTGTTCTGACTTTGTAATCGAACCAATCGACGAGCTTCTTTCCATTTAATGTACTCTTGTTGGTAGGGTTTCAATGGAATGACAAAAGTACTAATATCATCGATTGTCGCTGGTTCCTCATTGTGAGTTCTCCAACTTCCATTTTCTTTGGATTTGCCCCTCGAGTGCATAACTAAATCCTGAGCCGCTGATATGTACCGATACTTGAAACGTTGAGGGTCATTGGCGGGGAAATGATCTAACGACTTTTGAACGATCTCAGCGGCCTTTTCATTAGTGGTAACATCCCAAAGTCCATCGGTTCCCATGATAAGTACATCACTATCACTTAAATTAGCCGTTTCAAGATCAAGCCATTTAACCTGAAGAAAGGAAATCAAGATTAATCAATCAAATTGCTACCAAACAATCAATAAATTTACCTCTGGTTGTGGTGTAAGAAAAGGCTTAATATAAATGTCGCTACTCGCTGCTCTTAATTCATGATCGCCGAACCCACGAGTAACACCGATTGTTGCTGCAACTCGACTCTGATTATAAAGATAAAAATTGAATAGAAAAATTTGATTAATCACAATGAACAATTAAAATTAATCATGTTAAACTTACTCTTTTCCCTTCACCATAGATTAAAGGGAATTTTAAATCCTCAGGCTTCACTGTTTTATATGCCCTTTGATGGATGAAAAATGTTAAAATTGATTCAGTTGAAGATTAAATCTTGTATTCAACAATTAACAATCAACAATTAACACTTACCACCCAGTCATGAAAGCATCTCTGTAAAGTAATTCTTTGCCAATATCTTTTCTCATTGGACGTCTGATAAATTCTAGATGAGTGAAATCATTTCCAAGGAAATCAGGTCGTAATAATCCCTAAGAGATGAAACAAATCAGCAATTTAAATTGTGATTAATCAGTTGTTTTTTCATTGCAAGTAACAAATTAACTGTTCGAACAACAATTTACCAAGTATTTGATTCTTGTTCTCTCTGAGGCTGGAGTAAAATCAAAAGACATCGGTATCACTTCACCATTTTTATGAACAATTGCCCTGTAAAAGAAAGTAAAATAAATAAATTGAATTAGCTAATCATTGATAATGAAGATAAAACAAATAATTAATTGTAATCAACTTACCGACTATCACCAGCATTGGAAACATATAATTTACCAAGAATAAAAATTGCCACTAACGCTGTACAACCGCCACGCATGTAATAGGTAATTTTATCTCTCTCAATTTCTTGGTCCTAAAGAAAAGTTAATTGTTGAGATGAAAGGAATAAATTGGAATGAAATCAAATTAGCGATAAATTTAACATTCTCTCTCTCTCACTCACCATGTCCCAAAATGCTTTCTCAAGAGCTCCAGTAATCAGATTGTCAACTGAAATAGTTTTATCTTTAACTGGATCATGGACTGAAAAGTAAGTGTCTGGATGAAATTTGGGTTGATAGATGACACCTTTGGTGTTTTCTTTAACATTTTTACTGTTATTCTCGTTATTATCGTTGGGACAATTTTCCTCTGAATTATCTTCGATTCCAAAGGTGATCAATAGATCAGCTATACTTGAAAGATTCTCATGAACTATTTTATGAAGTCTATTGGCAGCAGCAACCGCGACATCAGAACCAGCGTGTCCATCAAATATACCAAAATAAACATATGGAAGTGAATCTTCAACCTTATCCGTTGATGATGAAGATGAGGCAGTGGTGGTGGTGGGATTAATTGTGGAAACAATGGAATGAGTAATTGTCTCATTTGCTGTTGTTGAGGTAGGTGAAAAAGGTAAGGGGGTTGTGGGTGACAACAAATCATCCGCTGATCTATTCCAGTTGAGAGGCACTTTATTTAAAACACTGGAATCAACAATTGGTAAGGTTATCGACTCTTCATTTGTTGATTTAACAGCTTCACCATTTTCAGGATGATGAGAATTGGATGACGATGTAATAGTTTCATTGGAACAAGAAATAACAGCATCTTCTCCGACATCTTGATTACCACCTTCATCAGTTTTACCTTTTTCTTTTTCTTTTCCTTCTTCATTACTGTTTTTCTCAGCATCTGTTGAATTTTTAACATGATCATCAGGGTTTTCATTATGTTTACTACCAGCACCTTTATCGTTATCAATACTGTCTGTTACAGTGACACCGAGTTTGCCGGAAACATTGGCTTGTTGTCCTGGTGGGGGAACATATTTTGACATCATTCGAGTTGGACATATATTAACTCGTTTAACGGTGACCATGTCAGCGATTTTATTTTGAATATCCGATGAAATTACAGCTCGCAACAGTCCTTTATGAATTGCAGCTTGATCCTCATTACGTTGACTTTTACCTGCATTGATAGCTCTTGGGAGAGAGAGAGGAAAGCAATTCAAATTAAAAAGGGGTACAAATGAAAAGTAATTAATCAAGGGAAGGTGTTATGAAAGAGAAGATGATATTGGTCAGGTAAAAAGAATAGAAAAAAAATGAATTCTACTCACTCGGCATAACCAGAGTTCCATGAGAGCTTAGCAATATCTCGAGGAACAATGATTGGCCTTATTATTTGATCAGCTGAAACTTGAATTTCATCGTCGGTATTTAATTGAAGAAACTGAGGTCGAGAATATTTATATTTATAAGAAACATAACCTTTAGAAATACGTTTTAGATTAGAAGGTAAAGCGAAAATGGGCTTCGGTCCATGGGCTGTTCCACCAGTAGAATCAGCAGACAAGCGAGAAGATCCACTTGCAGCATATGGAGAATCACCAGTCACTCCAATAGGATCTAATTGTCCACCGAGATTATCAACAGCGTTAATAAAAGCGCCTTTAATTTTATTAAACATTATACTATGTGATTTGTGATAATAAAGATCTAAAATAAATAGAAAACATTAACAACAAAGACAATAAAGAAAAGAAAACAAAAAGTGACACAATTAACCAACAGTAAATTTATAGTTGAATAGAAAACCAGTGAAAATAATAAGAAAACTATGGAATATTCCAATTGGTGATTAGAGAGAAGTTGTTAGAATGGAATATAAATTGACATTAATTAGATAAATTAAACAATTAAACGATGAAAATAAACTACAATTAGATTGAAAATCAAGACATTAACAAAAATAAATGAAAGAAACAAAATCATTTCAAAAGAATTGAAATGTTCCCCTGGCGGCCAATCGAGTAGTAGATTTTTTTTTCATTCTTAATCATTTAATTTAGATTTTTTTTATTTTTAATCAATTATGATATAATTACGAAAACATTAAACAATTTAACCACAATCAGTGAACGAAAATAAATCCAGTTAACAAGTTTGTGTCATCTTTTTCTTATTCTTTTAGCTGTATTACCTTTGGGTTTACTTTTCTCTGAGATTCTAATTTTCCTGATTGTTAATTTCTTTTGGTTAACAATTAACTTTGGAATATTAATTTAAATTAATCATCAACTTATTTTTCTTTATAATTGTGATGGTCATTTGTTTCAATGGACAAGAAAAAGTGACATTGATCCAGTTATCTTAATCTATTGAGTTGATTTCTTGCTTAATTCAGATTTTGATTGTTAATTTTTCCTACTGTTTATTATTCAATTGTCTTAATTAATGTTCAATTTTTCGGGATATTTTTAATTATCATGTATTATCACTGGTCTATTAATGTTGATAATTACAAATTATTGGAGCAAATATTGGATTAGCAATAGTAATCAAGTCTTTAATTAGAGATTAATGTTTATATATTTGTACATAAGTTAAATTGTAAATTGTTAGTTGATAAAAATAGATTGAGATTGTTGATAATTAAAAGATGATTAAAATTTATGAGATGAAATTATTAACATAATTAAGGAAAGAGTTTAAGTAAGTTGAATTGAGGAATGAATTTGTTGGAGATTCTTGTAGATTTGCAATCACTGATTGTTGAAATTGATTAACTGATTCATCAGCTTCCTTTGGACCTGCAAACAGCAATTAATAAATAGAAAAGAAATCAAATTAATTTAATTTGGCAATTAAACAGATTAACAAGTGAATCAATTTTTCTTTTCCTACTAATTATTATTACGATAATATTTTTTGTTATATTTCTAAACAAAGAGATCGTAAATTGTAGGTTAATTGTTATCGTTTGTTTGATAACAATCAACTGATTAATTGGATTGAAAGAAAGTCGATCGATAGACAATTTAGATTAATTTGTTTGAACAATGTAATTATTATCATTCGGATACAACAAAGTCAATTTGAAGATAAAATAAATTGTTATGATTTTCATGAGATCTATGATTACCATTGGTAAATCGTTATACAAATACAAAGTGTTATTATCGTTCAATTAACTGATTCAAATCTAATCAAGTTGTACAATTTAAATACTAGCCTAAGGGGAAAACTTTGCTTTCTCCATGTTTCATGGCGATGAATTCAGAGTTGGATAAATTGAGCTTTTCCAGAGTGGAGGCGAGTTTAAGAGGAGGATCCAAGAAGAACTGAGAAAAGAGAAACAAATTGTAAAAGATTAACACTCAAGATGATTTAATTAATCAGCGAAATGAGTTGATCGTTCTTACCTCGAATGCGAGTGCAAATGTACCCCAATGAATGGCAACTGATGATTTCGCTCTTAAGTCTTGATGTATTAGAACCGCTTCTTCGGGATCAACATGTTGAGCTTTCATGAACCATCTTGGCTCATAAGCGCCTATTGGTATGGCCGCAACGGTAAATGGTCCATAAACTTGGCCGATCTCTTTGAAAACTGGACAATAACCAGTGTCACCGGTGAAGAAAAATCGTTGACTTGGTCCAATAAATGTCCACGAACCCCAGAGAGTTGAGAAATCATCGGTGATTCCCGTTTGGACCAATGTTGAGCGGGAGTAAACGCAATCGTAATCGATTTGTTATAACAAGTCTCATCCCACCAGTCCATTTCGATAGCGTGTTTGATTCCCAAAGAATTGAACCAACTTTTCAAACCCATGGGAACATACCAGGAAAGTGATGTTCCATATCTTTCATTTAGTTTATTAATTGAGTTTACGTCTAAATGATCATAATGATTGTGTGAGATGACAACAGCATCTAAAGATTTGGGTAAATCATTTATACTACAGGCTGGATCACGATAACGTCGCGGACCAAAATATTGACTTGGACTCGCACGAGAGCTGAAAATTGGATCTGTCATCACAGTGAAACCATCAAACTGAGCGATTAACGTTGAATGGCCTATCCAAGTGATTCGAACACCATCAGATGGACTTTCTTCAGAAAACTCCGGCTTCTGAATAGGTAACACTTTATCTAATTCCTAAAACAATTGAAGATAATCAGATATAAATAATCGTAATCAAGAAAATCAACAATACGAACCTTTTGATTTGGAATAGCACTATTGTCTCGAGCCATGCTGAACCTCATCAAACTTGTAATTCTGAATGAATTTTCGTTCCAAGTCTCCCATGGATTCTTGTACCTTCCATCAATTTTAACCGATTTGGTTACTTGTTTCTCTGGATTATCTCTAACAATTGAACTCGGACAATCATCTGATACACTTCGAGTAACCTTTTTACTAACTTCCATTGATGTAAGATTCAACTGGGATGAAATGGATGATGGAGTTTGTAAATCACGAGAAATAATCAAATTAAAAGAAACTGGAACAGGAATCGATTGTTGTTGTAAAGGTGAACCAATTAAACCTCTTAAAGGACTCAGAACAGTTTTTTGTTGTTGTTGTTGTTGATTGTTCACAGGTAAGGTTATCACTGATTCTCTGTAAACAGGATGATTACTGAAAATTGTGACAGAATCATCAACATCCTGTGGTTCAAGATATAATCCAGATTGCAATGATTTAATGACACGCCTCAATCCTCCATGATTGTCATCTTTGGGTAGATGGACTTGATTGTTATTTGAATGGTCGTTATCCTTTGCAACAGGTTTAATTACAATCAACGGTGAACCTGTTTGACCAACAGCCAATAGCCCCTAGAATATAATAGCAATTAGAGAAATAGGAATTAGATTAAACTGCTTATCAAGTGATTAGAATGATCAATGGCAAAAGAGACGATTAATCTGAGTAATGATTATTTGATTGTTGCTTAGGAATAAAAGTTAATTCATAGAAAAGAAAACAAAATTTTAAATGAGATTTTCACTTAATTATTATAATATAAAGTATAGAAAAAAAAATCATTTGATATTCTCATTGAAAATTAATATTATCAAATCATCTTTACCTTTAATTTATATCATGAACTTGGAACTGAATTTAAACAATAATATCCTGACACAGAATAATATTGATTATGTTATTATTTTCACATTGATCAAGGTTAATTGTAGGGATATAGATTGAGAGAGTTAACAATTTGATGATCAGTTTGATTATCAAGAGAAAACAAAATCCATAGCAAAGAGCAATCTCTAAGTAAAGATAATTGTTCACTCTTGTTATTATTATTTAGAGATTATAAGTAAAAGTAAACACAGTTAATCAATGAGAAAAGAGAAACAATTAACTAATTTTACCTTAAATGATCTTTTCCATGCGAAAAAATTATCAATTAATAAATTAAAACGAGACCAGAAAGATAATAACATTGAGAGGAAAAAAATTAAACACAAGACAAAATTTCTAGAAAATTAAACTAAATCACTGGATTAATTTCAACGTCAATTAATTGCCATGGAGTTTCATTGACAACTCATTGATTGGAATTATCGTTAATTCATCTCAAGACAATTAATCAAACTGAATTAACGATCAATTTTTAGTCATTAATCGTCGGAAGGAAAAATCAACAAATGTAAACACATTGGAAATAAACTCGCGCCTCCAACTATTTCCGTCCATTGGCGGTTAAAATGAATTAAGAGTTAATTAGTTGATTAGAAGATGGAACAATTAGTTGATTAGATTTGCGAAGAATTAAAATTTACTCTTACCTGGGCTGAGATTGAAGTTAATTGGATCAATAAAATTAAAAGTTTCACTTTCATTATGAGAAGATGAATTTGACTTTCTGGAGATTGACAATTAAAAGATGATCAGTTGATTATAAATTCACTGATTGTTATGGTTACAATTAAACTCTCATTGGACAATCAAACTGAATTAGTTGGTAAGTTGAACAATCAAATAATCAAAAGGTAAATTCAGTTAATAATAATAATCATGTTTTCACTGGTTAAAGATGTTAATCATTGGAGGGACAATTGCAAAGTAAATTGTCAACAATCAGTAAATCAATTTAATTTGAAGAATCAGTTTTTTTACAGTTAATTGTTTTGTTTTCATTAAATAACATTTCAAAATTACAATAATCAAGGTTAATATTTGTGAGGTTTTTTTTTGTCAATCAACTCGGTTAAAGTTAATTGTTAGTCAAATAATAACCAATTAAATTGCTCGAATCGTTCAATTGTGATTTACAATTAAATTAATCATCACTTCCTAATTGCATTTTCAACATTAATTAATTGAAGGTTAAAACCCTTACTGATGGCAGAATTAAATTAAACAAGAAATTAGGTTAATCAAAGGACTTACTAGTTAATTGTGATTGAAATATTATCATGTCTTTGAACAATTAAAATTAATTACATTGGTTTTAAGTTTCCTTTGAATTGGTTTTAATTTCATTCATAGTTAATTTGATTGTGAATAAAATTTGATTAATTAGAAATCAATTATTAATCAATTGATAAACTTTCTTGATTATCCTTTGACCTTAAGGTTTCACAAGGTAATCGTTAATTGTTAGACACTTGGGTGACAATTAATAAATTTTAACAATTAATTAACGTAAATTAAGTTTACTCAATCATGAATAATGTGAATGATTAAAAAAAACGGTTCATTGATCAGTTTGATTGGGGAAGAAAAAGTTTTTTATTGTAAACACAATTAACTGATTAAAATTATTTACAAGATTGAATTGCAAGCAAACATTGATCTTAATTATTGATATAAATTGATATAAATTGATATAAATTGTTAATCATCTAGTTTAATACACTTGATACAATTTCATCTTGAATGGTCGTTGATTATATCAGAAGTTAATTGTATGATTCAATTAAATTACAATCAAATCTAACTAGAGTAGATTAAAGAAAAGAAATTAAATTAGAATCAATTCTCATGTAGCTTGAATTTTGAAAGAAAAAATGAAATCAACTCAAAGTAGAAAGTAGTTTGAGTTTTATTTGCATTTCTGGCCCAACATTTCTGGCCCAATAGGAATTTTAACCCACCGAAGTGGGCCAGAAATTCCTATTGGGCCAAAGATGCCAATTGGGCCAGAAATGCAAGTGGGCCAGAGAAGGGCTGTTTATGAAATATCTTGATTTCATGAAGGAGGTGCTATTTCTATGTGAAATGATGAGAATACCTAACTAAATGTAATTGAATTAGTTAATTAAATTAGCTCCTCCTTTTCTTATACAAAGAGATAAATGTGTATTATATGAAGGAGGAGTAGATAGTGGTGATTGGCGAAAAGTTTTCCACGCCTACTTTTTTATCATATAAAACCTGGTGTGGAAAGAGATGTTTGGTCAGTTTACATTCGATGTAATTATCTATTAAGATAATCTCGAAGACATGAATAATCAAAATAGCAACGAAGATGTTACAAGTGATCAACATGCCAGTGAAGAGGCAATTGTTCAGTTCCGTCAGATGCTGCAAGATTATATCTCCGCAGGTAATCTTCAATCAATGTTTGATCAAATCCATATTCTTCTCTGTAAGAACAACAGAGTGATCAAAGAATGGATTGAGATGACAACAGCGAGTCATGCTATTCAATCCGATGATGATTCAAATTTAGTTCAGGATCGAACTATTAATGGTGAATCGGCTTCGAATACATTACGAACAACAATCCGTGAATTTATCAGGTCCAACTTACCTGAAGGACTACAACTTAATGTGCGTCTAACCCGAAATACACAATTTGGTTTAGGAGAAATGATCCTTGATAATAATAATCAAGTTCAAGCTTTCATTCCTTTTGAAACAAATAGAGCAGAAGTTGATACTGATCTGAGCAGTATTGATTCATACGCAAGTATATATACAGATAGTAGTGATACTATTGCTTCATCTGAGTTCGATAACCCTAATATTGTCTCTGAAATTTCTATGATTAATACTGTGAGTGACTCAGGTGATATAAATCATCAAGATAATCGTGTAGATATTATTCCTGTTCCCTTACCACCTGACTATCAAACATCTCAAAGCATGCAGCTTGATGAGGGAGAAATTCAGCCACCTGCTGATAGCCTTGAAAACTACGACAAGTTTATTGCGACAATTTATACACATGGAAGTAATTTCTTCAAACTTATACGAACGCGAGATGAATATGAAAAGTACATTTTTCCACGTTTATGCTTCATCCCTTCAAACCCTAGTTACTATCTTTACAGAAGATTGCAAATGGCATGGAGCAACAAGTATGCGTTCCATTACAAAAGTAAACCTGCTATAAAGAAAATGGTTAAAATAGATGATCGTGTTTTATCATTCAGAGGACATATCGATTATTCCCAGATAAGTCGAAGGAAACTAGCGGAAGCGGGATTCTTCAGTTATGGTAAGTAACACATTTATTATACATTCTTAAAGGATATAATAAATGTATGTCTACTTGCATAGGTGAACACGACACTGTTACTTGTTACTTTTGCGCTGGCACAATATCACATTGGCTCCCTGGAGATGATCCTTGGTCCATTCATGCACATTTTTTCCCTGAATGTATGTTTGTTTATATTAAACGAGGTAAACATTTCATAGATGCCCAAAGAAATGACATTAAACTAATATCCAACTATGAAATGCCCAAAGCTGTTACGGAGGATACGAGTAAATATGAATGTAAAATATGTTTATCAGCTGAGATTGGAGTAGTATTCAGACCATGTGAACATATGATCACTTGTTATGAATGTGCTCCAAATTTTGAAACTTGTCCTTGGTGTAAAGTACAAATACAAGACTTTGTAAGAATTGTAATACCAACGTAAATTGGGATTAAAATTAAATTACTATTACTAAATATAATCTTTTATTTCCGCCCTTATTTATAATTTACGCGTTTCGGTTAAATACTCATTTGTTTATTAACTTTACTACAGTCAAGATGATTTGTTATCCAACTATTCTTATGTGTATTTTGATCCTCGTAATTTTTGTTTGTTATTATTACTACTATCTACTTCTGAGTAAAAGTATCCCCAAACAATTGAAAGTTGCTATATGATGATTGAAATAACAAACATGGTTTCTTTGTGGGATTTCGGTAAACGACTATCATTGAACATCGATAATTCGAAACGGAAGAAACGTTTCAATGCAGAAGTAAAATACAGTAAACATGGTTGTTTCTTACTATTTGCTAGTGGTAAATGTGTGGCGACAGGATTCAAATCATTTAAAAGGATGTATCAAGATATGACTATCACTTTCGAGGACCCACCTAGATTTGTTAAACTTTATCTGATAACAGCCAAAACAAAACTTCCGTTTAGATTCGATTTTATAAAGATGACAAAAAATCATAAAAACACCTCATTTGAACCAGAGTTATATCCAGCTTTGTATTGGCGAGATGGGAAGATCTGTATATGCTGTTACGATAATGGATCTATTGTTATTACTGGTGCCACCTGCATCGGTCGCATGAAAACTGTCCTCAAAAATTTTTATGAGGTAGCAAGAAAGTATAAAAGGATAGTCTGATCCATAAATATTCTCATTCTTATCTTGTAATCAAGTTAATCAACATATAACAAAATGTCAAACTACGATTGGAAATCCTGCTTCGATTACCCTATTGACTCATCATTAAAACTCAATCTTGGTATTGGTATTGATAAAAATTCATCTCAGCTGGTATGTTCTCGTCTCAGTATGCGGAGGTTTGTGCAGAACTTTCCAACAAGATCAGGTGTAGTTTTATCATCCGCAGATTTGAAAATACTATACAACTATTTCAAAGACATTGAAAGAAACAGTGCCGATGCTGAAGTGGTCTACTACAACATGAAGATTAAACACCCATCTCGTGAGGAAATAAAGATACAGAAAGGAGAAAATTTACTTTTAATCAATAGATTAACTGCCATTGCTATTAAACAAGTGATTCCTGGATTCGTGATGATTATGGAGAGCCTTAAGGAAGCTGCGAGTCAGGAGACAATGTTATCAAAATTGATGAAAATTTTCTTACACAGAGTCGTGCAAGATTTCATGGAAAATGCGCCAGCAAAAAAGCCTAAATCTATTATACATCGTGTTAAGGATAATATTGATAACTATGCTGCCCAATTCAAGTGTCTCATATGTGAACCTCTCAATTTAGCTCATCTTTTCAAGAGAGAGGATTTAGTCGATCTTTGCGAATTGGACATTCTTGGACAAGTTAATGAAGATATACAAGTTACTAAAGATCGTGAATCATGTGCACTTTCCTTTATTGTAACTAATTTGATTCGTTCATGATAATGCGCATATGCTGAAAAAATTGTATAAATAAAGAAACTTTTTCTTTTAATCTTCATTTTCAATAAACGAGTGCAATGGCTCATCAAGAATGTTTAAAGTATAAATTGAATGAAAATTTTGTTCTGTGGCTTAAAGCTTATTATAATTATGAACTAAAGTGTATGGAAAAGTTTAAACTGGAAATAAGCTATTGTGTCAATGAAATTCCAACAAATGTCGGGGTGGTTCTCTCTTCCAAAGAGGTCTCTGTTCTTCTAAATTTTTTATTAATTAATGATTATGAATTTTGTGAACAGATTGAGTTTGATAGAATGAAAATTCAGAAACTCTGCAATGGATCAATTCGCATAAGCAAGAGTGTTGATTGTATTGATATACAGGAGCCGTGTATACAGTCTCTAACAAATATTTTGCCTGCGTACATAAACATAATGGAAATAACAATGCATCCAGAAAACAAAAACTTCATTGTTCTGAAGCTAATAGCAATTTTTGTTTATACATTTTACAAAGTCAACAAAGATGGTAATGATAACGCGGAATGTGATGTACTCACCCTCTTGTCATTTCTCCGTGAAAACCGCCAGCAATTTGAACAAAAATTACGGTTTTTCTTCTTTGACCCTCTACATGTGGATTACGTAACAAAAAAATTTACTGATTTGCTGAAACCTGATATAATACATTTCATTTCCTACCGTATTGATCATGCTCAAGATGAAGCTACAATAGCACTGTCAAAGATGATAAAACAAATGATACTAAAAGACCAATAGAGGTCGCCATAATCATTTGTTTCTAGCTGTATAAAAGCAGAAGGAAACATCTAAATTAAATCATAATAAGTTTAACAATGGAACATGTTTGTGGTTTTTTTGATGTGCAAGGGTTCAACCATGGAGGTGTATTCTATCCAAGAGAAGTGGCCATATTAGGATCAAAATGTGTTTTATCATTATCCGTATATTCTAATGTTGATGTGACCCAAGTGACAAGAAGTGAACTCGACTCCATGAAGTATTTGGAACGTGAACACCATGGAATGAAGGCGATTATGATGCCACATCAAGGTGTAACAATTCTCGAGCTCAATGAAACATTGAGACACTTTTATAGTGTATCGTGTAGTGAGGATGACTATTTGGTTGCTGTCAAGTCAAAGGAAGCGGAATCCATCTTGCGAGAGCTTCGTATACCGAGGATAAATATTTTACGACAAGGTGCATCATTCAAAGAGATATCTGCAGGTGATAGATTACCTTGTCACTTACATGCAGTCAAACGGAGGAGCATACACTGTTCGCTCAACATTGTTATTGCGATGCAAGAATGGTATAATAATAAAGGTTATAAAGGTGCTAGCGGAGTTCATCCTGGACTTGGACTAGGTAAAATTTGTAAAGTACAACCAAATGTATAAGAACTTGTCACTATTAAAAGAGTAACCTTCATACGATAAAAAAAATGCGTCATTTTGTTTATTTACATCATCCTTTTACTATGATGATAGCTGGACCAACAGGTTCCGGTAAAACTTACTGGGTAAAAAGATTAATTAATAATGCAAATAGATTTTGCAAACCTCCTCCTGCACGGATAACTTATTGTTATGGAGAATATCAACCTTTATTCTCAACTTTTACAAATACAAATTTTATTCAAGGTATTCCTGATGATATTTCACATAATTTCGATGGTAATGAACCACAATGGCTGGTTATAGATGATTTAATGCATGAAGCATCAAAATCTAGAGTTATAAGCGAACTGTTTACTCGAGGATCTCACCATCGAAACCTATCGGTTATTCTAATTGTTCAGAATTTTTTCATGAAAGGTATCGAGAGTAGAAATATTTCATTAAATACTCATTATTTAGTTTGTTTCAAAAATCCTCGAGAAAAGCTATTGGCAACTAATATAGCTCGTCAAATGTTTCCAATGCAGATCAAGCAGTTCCAGAAAGTCTATGAAGATGCTACAAAAGAGCCACATTCGTATATATTTTTTGATCTAAAACCCTTTACGTCTGAGAAACTTAGACTTCTCACAAATGTACTTGGAGAAAAAGAGTACATTACTGCATATATCATTATATAAGAAAATAATATCAGTAAGGATTAATTCAAAGATGAGTGTTGAATATTGCATTAAATGTTTGCCATGGTTACGCAAATTGTGTAAGGCAAAAAACGTTGAAGAGAGAAAAAAAGTTTTCGCTAATGGACCACGGAATTTGATAAAAGTTATTAATTGTATCATTAAAAATTTACTATCTGGTAAAATTGCTGTTTCGGGTAGAAGAAAAATAAAATTAAAAAGGTATAAGAATTTTTTACGCAGATTTGCTATGTCAAAACATTCAAATTCTGTACAACAAAAGATTCTGATAAAACAGAAAGGAGGATTTTTACAGAGTTTACTCATACCAGTTATTAGTGTATTAGCTTCATCTCTGATTGAGAAAGTTTTTAAATGAATGTATTCAAGCGAATGATATTGCTTCCAGAAGATCAGTTCAATAGGTTAATGAATAAAAAAGAAACAACAACAACCAACATAATTAATGCTGATCTTGAACCAGATCTTAAAGTAAAGTTGGTAAATGAAATAGATCATATGAAATCAGAACCAACAGAGATAAAACCAAACCTGGCTGTTCATGATACAAGTAAAACATTCAATTTGACTGCACCTGATAATGGTTTAGAAATAAAAAACAATGAAAATAAAGAAGACGAGGATGATAGATTGATTCTCGCGTTGAGAAATATCGATGATTTGATCTCTCCTGATGGCATGGTGCTTACAAAAAAAGGGAAAAAGATAAAAGGAAGTGATATAAATAATGTGATTTCTTTTCTTAACAAACCACATTCTCGTTCATACCCTACTGCAACTATCCGTGTATTGAAAGCTATAAAAGAAAACAACCGTGATATAGCACATTTAATTCGTAATAAGAAAGCAAAGAACAGTATAGTAAAGTTGACATGGAACGATCTAAAGACGACATCTTGAAAGAAATTTATTATGATCCGAAATCACCAGGATCTCTAGGTGGATTAAAAAGGCTGTATAATCATGTGTCATCATTGTATCCTGAGATAAAGTATAAAGATGTCGCTCAATGGCTAACACAACAGAACACTCATTCTTTATTCAAACAAACCAGAAAAAGGTTTCTTCGTGTTCCAATTTTAGTTGATTTCATAGACGAACAATGGCAAGCTGATTTATTAGATATGACATGGCTTGCTAAGGAAAATAATGGATACAAATACATAATGGTTGTAGTAGATGTACTAAGTCGTTATGCTTGGACAGTTCCTCTTCATGATAAGTCTGCAAGCTCAATTACTAATGCATTCAAGAGTATTTTTAATAAAGGTCGTAAACCTAAGAAACTACAAACTGATCAAGGAAAAGAGTTTATCAATTCCAATGTGAAGCTTTTAATGGATAGTTATGGTATAAATCATTTTAAAGCTACTGATGGATTGATAAAATGTGCCATTGCTGAAAGATTCAATAGAACTTTAAGAAGTAGAATCTATCGATATTTACATGCAAATAACACCAATCATTACATTAATGCACTTGATGATATAGTAGCAAGCTACAATAATTCTTTTCACAGGACAATTGGTATGAAACCAAATGAAGTAAACTCAAGTAACACCACACTTGCAATAGTTAATATAAGAAAAACACATATTAAGTCCACATCAAAAGTTAAACCGCTTAGTGTTGGTGATTTTGTAAGAATAACAAGAGAGAAAGGTGTTTTTGAAAAGGGTTCAACAAACAATTGGTCAGAAGAGGTATTTAAAGTTATTAAAGTCAAAAAGACTCCTCAAGGTTACATTTACAAACTTGAAGACCTTGATGGTGAAGATATTACATCGATTTTTTATCACTGGGAGATTCAACGAACTGATAAACCAGACTTATTGGATATTAAAATATTAAAGACTAGAAAAAACCCAAAAACTAAAAAGACTGAGTATTTTGTCAAGTGGATCTCATACCCAGAAAAGTTCAATAGCTGGATCCCAGCTGAGAATGTTGAAAAACGCAAGTGAATATTTTATAGATGTTGTAAGTAATGCATCTATGCAAATTTACCCTAATAACACTCTTTCGAATTTCATGAATAAACTGCCACAACCTTTATCATTAAATGGAGAATGGGTTGTAGGTGTTCAGGAAGTTTTCTACCCGCTGAATTTCAAAACAGAAAGTAAAACTGTGAGTTTCACCATTATATATCAAGATCATAAAACAGGAGATAAAATTACAGGAGCAAACTCTTCAATTTTATTCAATGAGCGTGACACTGTAAACAGTATTTTACAGAAAATTAATGAGGAAATTGTAAAACTTTTTCTCAAAGATGAAGGTGAACAGTCAGAAGAATTCATAAAAGCAGCTGAACCACCAAGACTTTATTTAGAAAATGATAAAGTTGTAGTAGCAAGAGGAATGTCTGCTGCTGCAATAATGATCCCAGTATTTCATAGTAAATATTTTTATCGTTTAATAGGGTTTCATGAATATGACTATAATAGGCAATTTCTTGCAGTGTTAGCCTCACAAGCAATCGCGTGTAGAGCACAAACTACTTATGATTTCAGAATAAAGTCACATCTTCTATTCATTTATACTGATATCATTCATGAACATTTCGTTGGTGATACAAATGCTCGGGTTTTAAGAGTAGTACCCCTTTTAAGAGACAAAAATGATAATCTGGGTCATATCTTTTATAACAAGCCTAACTATCTACCTGTCAGATTAACACATTTAGATAATATAACGATCAGTTTACGTGATGAAAATGGAAATATGTTACAATTCATAGATGGAAGAGTACACATTAGTTTACACTTTAAAAGAAAAGAAACTATATAAGAAGTAACTCAGTGAATTTTTGGAACTAGTAGTTAACATAAGAATGGATCGTAAAGTTTATTGTGCATGCGACAGTGATTTTACAAGTCACTTCAAGCAACAAGCAGGAAAGGGTTTCGACGATATAACAATCTACCGAGGTCAGCCTTATCAGAGAGGTTATGGGTTTGGTAGCATATTCAGAAGAATTGGCATTCCGATTTTGAAGTTTTTTGGAAAGGAATTATTAAAGACTGGAATAAATGTAGGTAAAGATGTTCTAGATGATAAAAAGTTTAAGGAAGCTTTGAAAACTAGAGGAAAAGAAGGTATAAGATCTGCAGCTAAGCGTGGGTTATCAGAAATCGAATCAGCTTTTGATCAACAAGGATCAGGTTTCAAGAGTAAGAAAAAAAAGATTACAAGAAAGAGAAAACAAAAGAAAAAGAAGCAAAAAGTTGTTAAAAAACGGTATAAGAAATCTAAATCTAAATCTAAACCTAAACAAAAAAGTAAAAAGAGAAAAGATATTTTTGAATAAATAGAAATGGAGTATCTCCATTCATCCTCTATTCCGGTCAGTAAATCTGAACTCGAAGTCTTTGCTATACCGCCAACACAAACAGCAATTGATTCATCTTATGAAGTAGAATATCGACCTAATGCAAGTCTTGACAATGGTGCGAGTTTCGAAATCAATGTTCCAGCTAGTGATGATTTCACAGATCTACAAGCAACTATGTTGCACTTGTTAGTTTCAGTTACAACTGAAGATGGCAAACCTATCGGAGAAGTAAACAAAGTCAGGCCAGTTGCTAATTTTGCAAACGCTATATTTGAACAAATTGATTTATTTTTGGGCAGTATAAACACATCACCAGCCAACAACATGTACCATTATCAAGCACTATTAGAAGATGAACTCTTCCGATTCCCAACAGCAGCAGATACAGGGAGAATGGAAATCGCAGATGAAGATCGAATTAAAAATAAAAATTTTGATTTGTTTTTTCGCTTGCATTTGCCACTTTGTGAACAAGATAAATTGATTATGAGTGCTGTTCCGATTGCATTCAGATTCACGAAAAGCTCTGATGGATTCGCACTGGTTAGATCAGACGATAAAAAATACAAAATTAAAATAAACTATGTAAGTCTTCACATCAAGAGAGTCAAACTATTCCCTGATGCTGCTCTTAGTGTGATTAAGGGTTTAGAAACAGCACCCGCAAAATATTTTATTACGAGAAATGAAACACGTTGCTTTACTATTGGACCTAACCTAAGCGCTGCTGCAGTGGAAAATGTATTCAGTGGTATATTACCACGGAGAGTTATTATCGGGTTTGTTGATGAAGCTGCATTCAGTGGGTCATATGACGATGATCCATTCATCTTCAAGAATTATAATATAAACTTTTTAGCTTTATATGTTGATGGAAATATGATACCCAGTATCCCTTATACTCCCAACTTTACTGAAGGATTTTGCATGAGAGAATTTGTCAATCTTTATCGTTTCATGAATCAAGATGAGGGTCATCCGCAGATGCAGATAACTTACGATCAATTTAAAGAAAATAGAACACTTTTCGCTTTTGATTTATCACCTGATGGATCTATTGGGGCTGAGAACGGTACACTATCTTTAATAAGAAGAGGTATTATAAGACTTCAAGTAAAGTTTTCGAGATCTATCGCACAACCTATCAAAGCAATCATATTTGGACAATTTGACAATCTCATAACTATCGATGAAAATAGAACTGTTACATTAGACTATTGAGATGCTTACTACAACTGATATAATTAAACTTTTAAGTCGTATAGTTCACTTTCAAGGTGTATTCCCAATTGACTGTTTACCAAGATTTGTTAAAGTACCAGCTTCACTTGTTGTGAACTTGGATCCTCATTATATGGATGGTAGTCACTGGGTTGCAATATATATTGATAATAAAAGAAACGCACATTATTTTGACTCATTCGGTCGACAGCCTATGAGTCATATTCTTTCTTTTATCGAAAAGAACTCGAGAGGATATACATATAACAAAATAAAATTTCAAGCGAATGAATCAATTGCATGTGGTTATTTTTGTATTTTATTCATAATAATGGCAAATAATCAAAAAAAGTTTTATAAAATGATGAAAAAATGTTTACATATTGAGAATGAAATGTTAGTGTATTATTATATAAGAAAATTATTTTGTAAGAACATGACCAAATGCATACGATGAGATAGAATCATCCAATAAATATCTTTTATCATCAAAAGGAGTCATTACTATTTTTTTATTTCGTAACAAACTTATAACATGTTTGTCCGATTGTAGTCTTCTTTGTACTCGGGAGGGTATAATTTCTTCCTGCAAACAGTCCAGAAACTGTTTGAATGTAACGTCCTTCTTAACGGTGGATTTTTGAATACCTTTAGCTTTCTTTTTCTCACCAGAATCAGTAATCATCGCGTAAAGTTTTGGCTTAAGAGCAATAAACTTATGAATACTTTCACCACCCATCTCGTCTTTCAAGTATCCAATCGCTCTTTCATGATCATTATTATACAGAGGATGCTCCTTTGGGTAGTTACTAAAATCCATAATATGTGAAAAGTGCTTAAGATCGGAAATTATATCAGCAGTTTTTATATTATAGATTAAACTATCAGTATCGGTATAAAGTAGTTCAATTTTGTTGTTGTAAAACTTTTTGAAAGAGTCATAATGTAGCTCGAACATTTTCAGCTTCGCCAATTCCAAAACAGCAAATCCAACAGCAACTGGCTTATTAAGAAAAACATTCTGTTTAATTAACTCAAACACCATTTTTCCTTCATCAACTATGATGAACTGTTGACATAATTCAGATCTTAATCTTTTCAGTGCAATATTTTCTTGAAAAACAACATCGACTTGTTTATGTTTCCGTTTATCTTCGATGGTTTTTCCATAAATCGAATTTACCATTAATTTCCAGAAGTCTTTGTCAAACGAATTTGTTGCTTCCTGTCTTTTACTTGTGCAGAAATCGACATACGGTTTTAACCATGGAGTTTGCTGGAATTTGAACGCACGATGTATTTTTTTCACAATGAGTCCTTTTTCCAAATAGTAAAGAAGTGTTTTGTAGTGCACAACATACTTCTCTTTAAATAAAAACGATGATATTAACTTCTGAGTCGGACGGTGTGTAATCAACGATGTTGTTTTCATTCGAGTCAATAAACCGCGTTGGTAAGGACTCAGCATGTCCAAATTCACTTTGTGTTTATGTGGAGCCAAAGGATAATCATTATGTTCTTTATGGAGATTGACTGGATATTCTAAATCTACTTCTAGAATGATTCCAATGGAATCTGAACACATGGTTAATAACTGATGAACATCTCTTATCATAGAAATATTTATCCATTCAAAATCACAATGTGGTAATGACTGTGACATAGCATAGCCGTATAAATTGTTGACATCAAAGTAGAGAATATGGTTATGTTCTTTATTCTCATCAAAGTCAGGCACAGAAGGATTGTTAGCTTCACACAACCGTTTAGACACAACCGTTAAACCTCCTCGAATTCCTTTCTCGATCATCATCAGCATGTCAACATCAGTAATTAACTCAACCTTTGAAAATGTTGTTTTCAAGGCTGCTGTCCATGACAATCCTGGTGCTGAATAATGATGACACGGATCAAGTTTGAAATGTTGGAAACTTACTTTGCGGAAATTCTCAAAAACGGCAGCCAACAAAAGCACATCTACTTTTAAATATATGTCATGTAAATCCCCCAAGGTTTTACAATCAAACTTTTGCCATATTTCTTTTAGATGTTCATATGTAGAGCTTGAAATAGTATCATCTTTCAGTGATGAGTAAAATGAAGTTAATTCAGGTAAACTCGTTTCATCAAATCTCTCAAATGAATCGATATACTCGTATGGAAGAGCTGCTTTCTTCAAAAGTAGTTCTTGGTTATTGTTGAAAATTTGATTGATATACGATAACTTTGTTTCTTTAATCAGATTATCTGCCAATGATTCGAGGCTAGAGGGAAGGAAAGAAAAACTGTCAAGAAAAATAAAATCTTGGAAAGAAAATGAAATGTATTTTTCAATTGTATGTGGTATAATTTTCAGATCTTTAGCCATCTCTGCATCCAAAGCTTGAAAAATAATGTGGCCATCAAAATTTTTTAAATTGTGAAAGATTACAGGAATTTTTGATGGTAAGCTATAAGCCAAATTGCATTTACTATGAGCGGCTCCTCTATATTTTCCAGTCAGGTGATCATGATCACGAACTCTGTCACTACCCATCGGTTTGTGACAGATATGGCAATAAGTTTCAATTTCAAAAGAAAATGTATCAACTGTAGTCATTTTTAAGGGTTTGCTGATTCTTTTAATTAAATCTTTGAATTTTTCCTGTAGGGGAATAATACTTTGCAGGAACTTTACACCAGCATTTTCACCACGATAAAACTTGCTTTCAATTATTTTATCATTCCAATCAATAGCAACATAGCCATAACTGCAAACAGGCAATGTTCTATCTTTCGATGTCCCATCATTAGTAGCTATAGACAGTGTTTCGAAATCAGCATAAATAACGATTGGAAATTGGATTTCCTTATGATAAGATTTATATTTCAGGGTTGCATGAGGTGTTCCTGCTTCTGGAAGGGTTATACGTTGAGGTGAGATGTTTATACAATACGCAAAGTGTTCTTGTAATTTCGCATCATCTCTGAATGAGTTGAGACAACGATAACAATGATGAGATGCATGTTTGTTTTTGAAGCTTGCTAATCTATTAAAATTTGTTATTTTATAATAATGATTATCATACAAAAACAGTAAGATTGGAATATTACTTATACGTTCAGAAATTTTCAATGGGATAAGACATTTTTCATCAATGTTATAAGTATAAATATTTATAGACAGATTATTCTTTTTCTCAAAAGAGTTGACCTGGTTGAGAGTAACTTCACCAAGAACGTCACTTATATCGTAATTTTGTTTAAACTGATCATATTTGTTTGATCTTTGTGGGTTATTGGTATGAGGGTGAAGATAGGCCAATACCGAATAAATGAAACAATCTTTCTTAGTTTTAATATTAAGAAGACATTTTTTCTTGCTCAAGCCAGCTGGTAATTTGAAGTGATTACATCCACCACGATGAGGCACATATTTACCGATTTTCAATCGTATATCTTTGAAATACAATAAATGCCATCCACTTCCTCTTTCAGTGTGTTGCTCAATAAGCTCTTTTATCTCTTCAAAAGCATTCACAATTTTATATGAATGTCATCAGCCATTAATACAGAGTGTAGTATTGAATGAAAGCACCTTCGTAGAGTAGTATCGATATCAACAGGATGCCGAAGACTACATCAACAACAATAGAAAATTTAATACACTTATGCTCATCGAGATATTTTCAATTATTGATTTTATTTCGTCACTGTAATCCATTTTCACTTGTTCAATATCAACTTGTTGAACATTTGCATTTTGATAACAGACAAATTTGTTGAAAGCACTTTCAATCAAATCAAAATTTTGATTTGCATATGGAACTCGCACAGGATTTATCTCAATTCTTGCTTCACACCATTCAACGTGCGATTTGAACGCATTTTCTCTCATAAATCCACGATGACAATGATGACAGCGATATTTTGCTTTTTTCTGATCCAGCTTTGCTTTCTTCAATACTTCACCTTCATCTGCAGATGTATCCAACGACCTTTTTTCACTATTAACTTCATTACCGTGACTAACATCCATAGAACACTTTTCACAGGTAGAACTGCAAGGTTGATCAATTGTATGATGGTCATCATCATCATCATCATCATTTTGGATGTTTGAACAAACATGATTGATGAAATCTTCTTCAGAGTTTGTTTCAAAGTAACAAAATTTACAGAAGAATGAAGAGTTTTGACAGTTATGATTTAGAAAATCTTGCGTAGATTCTGTGTTGTATGAGCAATAATCACACTGATGGTATATTGGTAAAGGTGTTATACTCCTTTCTCGACAAGCATGTAAAAGTAGTGATGAATGGTCATCAGCAACAAAATCACATTCCTCACATATTATATGGCTTCCCAGTTCTCTTTCATAGTCCTTAACCCCATCACATTCATGGCTGAGGAACTCTTCTAAATCTGTACTAATATAGTAGCAATGATCACAAGTTTGCATCAATAGTTGATCTACTTGTTCAACGCGAGCACTGGGACATTCATGAGAATTAAGTGTTTCTTGGTCAATGGCCATAAAGTCACAGAATAAACACGTGAAATGTCTTTCCACATTATCAATATCCATAAAGGATGGCTCTTGCTGTGGTGATGCAATCGGTAGACGATATTCATCAAGTTGATGTCGATCTCTTTATCATAACCAGCACATGAGTGCATGAAGAGATCTTCAACCGAATCCTTAGTTACTCCACAATAATCACATCTATAAATCTGTGAAAAAAGCGCGTTTAATTATAATAGAATATAAGTTGAATGATGAGATGACTTTCTTATTCATTAATACCAATAACTTTATTTCAAAATTATAATGATTAACTGAAAATTGCATTTATTTTTCATTTCAGTCAATTTATCATATTTGATAGCATTTTGTCTCTGCTTAGCTGATTTCTCTCAATTTACAAAATAAACCATAATTAGTATGGAATTCCTCATTACTATTGATTGGTTTTGTAGCAACCTCTTTACTTTTTTTAATAAGTTTATTGGATGAACAAAAGTATTTTCTTGATAGCTTTGTGTATATAAAGTTTTTTCCCATATCTCCATTTGGCCTTGATTTTATATCTGCATTACGTAACTTTCGTCTTAGGGCTGCTTTCTGATTCCGAGTTGGATTAGAGTAGTTTGGTACAGGAAGATCCATAGCTTCAAGGATGTAATCGAATACTGCTGTTGGAAAGAACCTTGGGTCATCTAAATCCCAATTAGTCTCTAATGGTATCATCTTAGTCTGTTTTGTATGTAAAGTTATTGATATTAATGAAAAGAGAATAGTCAGCATATAAGAAACATCACTTACAGTTTCATCCATATCGCAATAGTAGATGGTGTGTATGTAGATGGTGTATGTAGATGGTGTATGTAGATGGTGTATGTAGATGGTGTATGTAGATGGTGTATGTAGATGGTGTATGTAGATGGTGTATGTAGATGGTGTATGTAGATGGTGTATGTAGATGGTGTATGTAGATGGTGTATGTAGATGAACTATAACCTTAAGAGAGTATTCAAAATGATTACTTACTCAAAAGATCAGTGAGTGAAGAGTGTTGTTGAATGATGAGCATTTTCTGCAACCTCTTCCTTATATACTGAGAAGGAAGATAAAATGGGCAGAGCTTCCTAATTAGCTACCCAATCATATCATTAGATAATAAGATTCAATTAAAGTACATGTAAATATACCGTTGAGTTAATTAAGACACTTATTAATACACTATAATTGTCATTAGTACATTTCTCACGGTTATTAATTGACATAGGAATCATCTACATTACCCTATTACATTAGTGTTATCATCATTAATATATTTCTTAATTGTAGTTAATTGTCCTGTGAACATACATAGATTACACTAATATACACTGAGATGCACTAATTAACACTTAAATCTATGTTATACATCATTATATAACAATGCACCAATCTATTGAGCTAATAGTTATATTCGTTAATTAATAATAATGATTATTTAGTACAACTGTACTTATTATATAATCATTATCTCTAATTAACAAGAGTTAATTGTTATACCAATTAGCGTAATCAATTAGCTTAATTGATTGCGCAATAACAAGCTAATTGTTACATGAAAACAATGATAAAATACCATTGGTCAATTGTAAGTGGGCGTGGCTAAATGGTCACTATTTATAACCTTTTAAAGTTTTAAGTCATTTCACTTTCGATCTTAGTTCATTTGACTTACTTCATTATTTTGATTCGTTCTATTGCCTTACAATGTCATCACCATCCTCACCACCACCATTAGAATCTGTTGACAAAAAAATGCCTACATTGATTCCTTTTGACAAAGTCCCCAGGACTGTAGTAGTGTATCCCACTAACTGTTGCTTTGCTTGTGGTGAAAAACCTCTAAATTTGACCAAGGATAGGACAAGACCTTCTGATCCTCGGACTAAAGCTGTTCCACTTAAAGTGACCAGAAACCATCCGTACTATAACTACATTGTGCCTCCATTTCGACCACCACCACCACATCCACCTCTAGGAAGTTTACCAGCACCAACTCGACCACCACCAACTCGACCACCACATCCACCTCTACAAAGTTTACCACGACAGCCACCATCATCATCAACACCATCTTCTGCAAATAGTAAGAAAAAAGGTTATTATGAACAACCAGCAACATTGGTTTTTGGAGAGTCTGATGATCTACGGCTAAAAGTAAAAAAAGTTTCGAATTTTTTATTTGCTCATAATAAATATATTAATCGCAAAGACAAAGAGATAATTGTATCCATTTTGCTAGAGCTTACCATTAAGGCATTCAGCAAGTAGATTGGTTTTATCCTTGAAAAAATAAACTTTCAATTTGCTAAGACAAAAGATGTTAAAAAGAAATTCTAAATTTTTATTCTTAAATGCAATCGTCTCAAAAACTGTACCATTGGAAAGAGCTCGAAAAGTTGATTTAGAAACATATATCATTTGTTGCAATCGAATAAATATAAGCGCCTCTAAGCGCGATCAAAAAGTTTGGGTTCGCGTGGGGGTGGGGTCATTAAAGAAAAGTTTTTTTTATTGAAAGGGTTGAGGAGAAAGAGAGAGAAAAAGAAAGTAAAAAGAAAGAGGAAAGGAGAGAGAAAGGAGAGAGAAAGAGACAGGGATAAGATAAAGAGAGAGAGAAAGATTGTTGTGTGTGTGTGAGAGAGAGAAAAATTAATTTTAATTAATTTAATTGATTGAGAGAGAGAGAGAAAACAATTTAAATCAATTACCACTTTGGTGACAAGTGACAATTACTATCACCAAAGTGGTAATTGGTTTAAATTGAAAAACAACCCTCTCTGGCCAACTTGAATTTCTGGCCCAATAGGCATTTCTGAACCAATTGGAATTTCTGGCCCACTTCGGTGGGTTAGAAATTCCTATTGGGCCAGAAATGCCTGTTGGGCCAGAAATGCAAGTGGGCCAGAGAGGGCTGCTTTTATTCTACTACTCAAGTTTTCAGTAGAAAAGTTAAAAGGAAACAAAATGTGAGCAACTTCATTGATTGTTATCCTTGCGAATTCTGTTGTGATTTTCGTGTCAACAATCAACTAGATAAGTTCGTGAATTTGCAAGATTCAGTCGTGCAATACAAATAGAAGACCGATATTCCTTTGCTAGTTGGACTTTCTCAGTAATGAAAGATCGTTGAACAGAATCGACAGTACCAATTTCTTGTAAAGCGAGAAGAACATCTTTGACCAGTTGTATTTAACTTTCTGCACTCTAATTGTTATTAGATATTTATCGAGTCTCTTGGCTCTGCTAATTGCAACTCGAGATTTAAATGTAATCAATTTTTCAAAATTGATTAGAATGAGTCGATCTAAGGCTTAGTCACAAAGCATATGCTCATCAGAACTTGAACTTTTTATTATTAATCGATTCGGTTAGGTTTCTACTTTCTCTCTCTCTAAGGAAAGCTGATGACAGTTAATCAGTCAATCAATTTTCACTTGAATCTTAACAATTTTGCTCCATAATTTTAATTTTGCCTCGAAATTCAGTTTAGTTTTCTATCGCTAGATGGCAGCTAATTACAGAGATCGTTTATTTTTATGTTCGGTTTTTTTTTCAATTGTTTTTGTTTTGATTTTTGGTCAATTAATCTTGTCATTCAATTTAACATAATTGTCAATTAATTTGTTTTATTTAATTGCTGTTTCACCATCTCTTGTCTTGTGTTTTTCTTCCTTTATTGACAATTCCCGTTGTAACAATGGCGTCAAGTAAGTTTGTCGGATTATTTATCTTCCATGTTGATTATGTACAACAATGTATAATAATACAATAGGAATCAATTTTGCATATTTTTTGTCACACTTTTTGATCTTAATTTGAAAATGATGCATTTCGTTTTCTCATTTTATCACTTCAATCATGTTCATGATTGATATTTAGGAAGCACAAATTTTTGGATGGATTTTTTCCTCAATTCTAATCTTCCTCAATCGGTTGCTACTAAATATGCTGTTATTTTCACTGATCACCGAATACAGGAAAACATGCTTGGCGATATAACTAAAGATATGCTCTATGATATGGGCATCAAAACAATGGGTGATGTTATTGCTATACTCAAGCATGCGAAGGAAGTTAACGATGAGAAGATTCAATTTCAATTATTGGGAAAATCAAATTTTTCACAAACCAATAGCAAACCCAAAGTTCATAATTGCTCGATTAATAAAGAGCCCATTTCTGGTCCAAGTGTTTCCTCATCAACCTCTGGATCTTCAACATCTAAACGAAATTCATTCAATTCTGAAGATAATCAAGGATCAATGAAAGTTAGAAGGGTAATCAATTCAGTTGCTTCAGCAAACAGAATATCAAATGTCAATGCAAAAATGTCTCAAACAAATGTCCCTTTTCAGGCCAAAGTTACTTTCAACTCTATTCCTAGTATTAAATCCAACCAATCAATTAGATTAGGTAATACACATCAAGACTCAGCGACAAGGAAAATTTCCGTTTTTACAAGATTAGGTGATAACGAGACTCCATCGTCATCTTCATCATCTACATTATCATCTTCTTTATCCTCATCATCTCTAAATAAGCTTAAAGTAACATCTATCGAGCCAAAGGTAACACGGATAATCACTGGACTAAATGACAATAGACCTTCAAAATTTTCTCAACCCAAAAGTGTAAAGGATCGTCTTGGTGGAAATAAAGTGATCAGTGGTAATTCAACGCGCCCTATCATCAGTTCAACAATTAAACCTAAACAATCGTTATCCCAACAATCATCACGCAACAAAATCTCTCTCAAGAAAAGTATCTTTGATCGACTGGGTACTAAGTCATTTTAAACGATTAATTAATTTAAGATAAAGAAAAATGACTCCATGACCATTGTTCTAATGTATTATTCTTTCATCATTTATCAGGATTAATAAATTCTACTGCCATCAGTAATTACGATCTACAAAAAAAGTTTTCTAATTGTCTTCAATTTTACAGGGACAAAATTGCGATCAAAGCACAATTTTAGTTGCAAAGTAAATGATTAACACTCAGTTAATCATTTCAGTCTATTTGTTGGTTCTTTGAGTCGAGTTAAATGTTGATTCTTCAAAGTCATTAGATTGAACCAATTGAAGTAACAATTATGTTAATAGTTTCACTGTAGCTCTTTAAATCAATTAATTGAATTGGAAAGTTAATTTTTAACCACAAATAAAATCAAGTCGATTGTCATTGATTAGATTTGCCACAAAATTGTGAATCCATGATCGATGTCATTACCAAAACAAGGAAGAAAAAAAATACTAATTGTGTAATTCTGGTCTAAGATTTAGCGTGAATATACAAATAGACACACAGAGAGATGATTCAATTAACTTAATTGTGATTCTAATAATTTCCACTGGCCATCATTTCCCTCATTCGTTTCAACATTGTTGGCAGCAATTTAACATGACTATCAGCACATTTAACGATACAATCTTCATATTTGTTTCTAAATTTATCAACATCACTTTCGGAAGCATTTGGTCCTATTTTGTCTCGAATATCATCTTGACATTGCATGGCACATCTTTCCAATCGATTCTGTATCCAATTAAATAATCCAAATTAGAAGATCAAAAGAAGAAAAAGCAAATCAATTCAATTCGCAATTCACAATTACCTGAAAATTAGCCAATTCTTTGGACATAAAATTTTGAGCTTTGGTTACTTCATTTGAACATTTCGAGATACAATTGTGAACCTCATTCAAATTCAACTCAGTTGAATCACAACATTTAGCTGCACATCGGTGCATATCACCCTGTTAACAGAATTAAATCAATTAGAGTTAAAGACAATAACAAAAAGACCGAGAAAAACAAACCTGAATCCTGCGAAGATGATCCTTGTCAACTTTTTCAATCAAATCTTTGATTCCATCTTGAACCATTTGCTGAGCAGTGTCTGCCATGATTGTAGATTAATTTGCCTAAAAGGGAAAAAATAGATAACAATTAACCGGACAAACAATTAGTAATTTAATCAAAGATAATAAGAATCAGGCAAATGTGAATAAATTTGGAACACATGGAAATCCAAAAGTGTCTCCACCTGTTGGGAGTAAAATCGAACGGCGAGTTGATTAGTGAATCAAGGAAAAGTTACCTTAATTTTATTCCTTAGTTTTTATTGATTATACTTAAGTTGTGCAAGATAAGGACCACGGACATTATTAGACCGAAATTGTCACTTTTCTTTGATGATGGTGATGGAGTCCGTCTTGGGACTTACGGGCTAATCTCTCAAGTTAATTTTTGAAGCATTAGCGTTAATGATTGAATTAAGAGACAATTGATATTTTTTTCAACGGTATAAATATTTATTGAGAAAAAAAATCATTTCGTTTACAGTAATCTTTAAATATCTATTCATTCATTTATCTTTTGAGGATTTGTTGTTTTTCAAATTTTGAGAAAGTTACAATTTACATTTGGCTGTGTAAATTTACAGAATTGACCCAACATGTAATGATAATAAGAAAGTTTGTTCCTCTGTTTAGTAAATTAAGTGTTGTCTTCTTCTCTAATAATTAATTGTAACAATTTAATGATTTGTTTGATAAATGATTGAAGAGAAAAATTGGAGAGTGGATTGATTACTGGTGGAAAATTAGGGAAAGGTTATCAAGAGATTTCCATGGGAGAAACATTATCAGCTGATGCGGTAGAATCTTTTTGAATTTGTTCATATAATTTTGAAAGTTCTCTTGAATTCTTGATGTGATTAAGAAAATCATTAACAGCAGGATTTTTGTCTGCAAAGTGAGTAAAAAAAAAGGATAAAGAAAAAAAGATTAGAAGACAAATATCGATAAAAAGTATAATCCAAAATCACCACAAATGATAATCATTTCAAGTTACCTGCGTCTGGGATTGTGGTTAAAGCCAAAGATGCCCTTAAGGCTGATCTTTTAAGCTCATCTTGTTTCTCAAATTCTTGTTTTATAGCGTTTTGTTGAACTTTAATCTCACAAGTTGCTTTCAAAGGCTCAATGAGTCGGTCCAATCCTAGAAAATAGATTTAGAAATAGGTTAAAAAACGTTTGAACGATTGTTCAAATCGATGGTAAAATAAACTTACTGTTCACAACAGCTGATGGGCAGAGGACTGAAAGTCTGACCAGCATAAGATAAGTGAGCATTTTAATGTCATAATGATCTCGTAATCCATCTTCAACATGATTAAGAAACTCGAAAATATCAATTTTATCCAAACATGAATCTAACAAAGTATACATGCACTCGAAAGCGGCCTTTCTAATATCCAAACCATCGTCGACAGTGTGTTTGAAAGGTCCCATTTCAACTTCTCGAATGAACTCTTTCTGTAAGAGGAGAGAGAAAAATTGACAATTGTAACTTGGGATGAGCAATTTAACCCTTTTCTTTTCAATTAACTTACCTTAATTTTAGTCTCATCATAAAGCTGAGGTAAAACCTCATCGAGAAGATCTCGAATTAATGAAGGTTTGTTGTGAGCCGCTGAATTAAAGGCAACTAATGCAACTCGACGCACATTCATATCAGAATCCTTGAGAGTGAGAAGGAATTTACCAATTGATGATCGTAAAAGAGGATCAATTGCTTGTTTTTGATCTGAGATTGTGAATTTCATCGCAGTCACAGCAGTACTTCGAGCCCATGGTGATGGGTGACGTAAAAATATCTCAAGTCGAGGAAGAAGCACTTCGGGATTCATTAAGGTCAATTTACCGAGACATTCAGCAACCACATTACGAGTTCCCTCTTCAGGACATTCACAGTGTTTCAATAGAAGCTCCCAGATGATATCCAAGAAAGGAGACAATGATTGAATCATTTGATCATTGATTGATTGACAGCTGATAATTTCTTTCAGTGAATGAAGTAACAAATATTGACCTTTCTGCTTTTTCTCAATCTCATCCAATAAGAAAGGTAGAAACTCATTGAGATTACCAACACTGATACTACCCAAAGCAAATGATGCAGCCGATTTGACTTCTTCACTTGGAGATGAAAAAGCGTTTATAAGAAGTGCTTTCAGTTCATCGATCGTTGAAAGATCAACATTTTTACCAATCTCTCCGATCGTTAGAAGGGCAAACATCTGAATCGATGGCGAATGACCGCTATTCTCGATATCACGGATAAAATGTCGAACTGCTTTTATGCTACGTTTATGGTCAATTATTGAAATTGAAGCGATACATTTGGCAATCGAATGGTAAGCTTGTTTGTGTAATGGAGGATGTAATTGTTCACCTTGTTGATTCATCATGTAAATTGGTGAATTTAGTTGATTTACAAGTGTATAATAATCGAGACCAGGGAAACCACTGCGAACCAATGCTTGGAAAAATTCGAGAACCGATTGAAGCGCTGTACCTTGAAGGAGAGGACTTTTAACCAGAACAAGAGTTTCAGGTAAGATGAGTTGAGGAATAACTGGAAGAAAAGCTTGGTATGATTTGGTTAAAGATGTAAGCAGTGAAAGAGTTAATTGTGAAATGTGTAGATCACTTTCATTGATTAATGGGGTAACCTCATTGAGAACAATGTTGATCGCTTCGGTTCCAATATTTTCACCATAATTTCGTACCAAGGTATCTAATAGATGTAGGGTTTGCAGTTTCAGTGTTCGCTGATTTTTTCGTAAAAATGAGGCTAAAATGGGCACCGCTTCTGATAGTAGGGGAGCCAAATCAACATGGAATCTGGAACTTGCAATTTCCGTCAAAGCTTTGACACAAGTTAACCTTGTAATTTCATTTCTCAATCTATCAACCAGCAAAGGTAATACGGTTGTTAATTGTTCTTGCATACAATCACCAAAAGTACTTATTATTGTTCCCATACAAGTGATGGCTCTTTCTTTAACTTCTTGATCAATATCAGCAGTTCTCAATTTATTGTAAGTGTGCTCATAAATTGTTGAGATAAAAGGTGTGAATTGAAATTCATCCGCCAAATCTGAGGGTCGTAATACTCGTACCATTAAGGTGAGGACAACCAATGCTTCAGATGAGATTTTATAGAAAGAATCAGCTACACAGGTGATAACAGTTGGTAATAAAATATGAATATGAGGATGAAAAATTTGAGGAGGATGAGTTCGAATCATGTTACTCAAGAAAACCAGGGTATCTATTTTCATATTTGAATTAGAATTTTTGTCACCAAGAGAGTATAAAATACCAGGGAACAAACTTTCAGTGTGATCACGAAGACAACCAGGTAACACATTGATAAGTTCGGAGAGTAAAGCGAAACAACCTTGACGAGTTTTTATACTTTTCTCTCGTAATTGTCGATGAAGTGATTTAACAAGAGAAGCAACTTGTTGCATTAAAAGATGGATTGGATTTTGATGATCAGCACCAAGACCATTACCGCCACGGGTTTGTTTCAATAGAGCAATATAAGCTTGGAAAATATCAACTTTTACATTTTCCTCTCTTTCCTTAAAACGAGCAATCAATGATGGAGAAATGAAATTGTAAAAATCAACAATCATATCATGACGAGTCAAGATGACAGCGTGAAGACATTTAGCTGATGCTCGACGAATCTTCCAACTAATATCATCATCATCACTATATTCTTCATTAGAATCACCGGCATCATCTTGATCCATTTCCATTTCTTCAGAATCTGCATCTTCATAATTATAATTAGGATCATAGCAAAGGTATCGTAAACAATTCTGGGTAATTGTTGGTATATGAGAAGTTATCTCTTTGGGACATCGACGAACAAACGATTCAAATGCTTGAATACAAAATTCTTTAAGCTCATCATCTTCTGATTCACAGAAATGTAACACAAGTGGCATCGCTCTTTCTAAATGCTCACCAAATCGGTGACCTGCTTGACGACTTATAGCAGCAATACATTGAATGTATGTTCGTAAACTTGAAACATTCATGGTACGTTGATGATGAGCCATTTGATCCAATAAATATTCAACAATCTTATTAAATAAAATGAGACTGCAACTGGTTGACAAGAAGCTAAGTGCATGAATTGATCGTTTACGAACAGCTAGACGAGGACTTCCAAGGAGAGGTAAAAGTGAATCGGCAATTTGAGGATGGAATGAAATCAAAACTGGACCAAAACGATTTAAAAGGTCAGCTAAAATGTCAAGAACTTCTAATTGAACGGTAACATCACTTGCTAAAATAATCTTTGTAAGAGAAGAAGTTATTCTTCGACAAATGCTGGATGCAATTGGGGTGTTTGATTGAGGTAATTCTGAGATAACCGTTTTAAGACCAATACTTGAAATATCTCGAAGTTGCTCCTTGTCAGAAGTCATATTACCACAAAGTGTCTCAACGATTATTTGAACCTGAGTTTCTTTAACCTTATTTATCAATGGGCCTAAACTGTAAAGGTAAAAAAGAGGATAAAATTAAGGAAGATGAATACGCATGATGATAAATGTATTACATGTGGTTATTAATGGAAGAGATAAATCTTATCTGAATAGTAGAAATTTCTTTTTCTCAGAATCATTTTTAAAACCTACCATTTGACAGCCAAATTTTGAACTTCACCATTTTTATCTTCCAACAGTTTAAGCAGCATTCGAACAATTTTTCGCTCACTGTCATCATCCAATTTGATTGAATCTTTTTGTAACTCAGCCATCAAATCATTCGTAGCCATGAAACGGAAATCTTTGTCAGCTGAAGTCATCTAACATAAATGAAAGAATAAGAAAGGAAGAGAAAAAAAACAATCAACCAATTGAAACAAAAAATTAAATATAATCAAGGTCAAAGAGAATATGGTAATATTGCAAAGAGAAAAGGGAGAGAGAGAGAGAGAAAAAAAATGTCACCCAAGAGAACAAAAAAACTTACCTTCTCCAAAAGATTGGAGATTTGGAAAGGTATTGTTGCCATGATGGTTGATTAAGTGACTATTCCAATTTATATGATAACTCACAGGTAGATGACTTGACACAATGAAAGCTACAAAGAGAATAGAACAAAAAAAATAGAAAAGAAGATTAATCAGACGATATAATGAAAACACCACGATAAAAGATACTACAAGTTTCTCTATTTTTCTTCAACGGTAAAGAGCAGAAAATTAATAGAACATCATTCACAGTTAAATCAAAGGAATAAAGAAACTTACTCTCACTCAATAGGAGTGGTTAGCTGAAAGGTTAATTATGACAATTAATAGAGAACAATCAAAGAAAATCAAATTAATAATTTGAAGAAATTAAAATTAAACGAGACAATGGTTAACATTATGAGGTGGATTCTAATCCAAGACCGGTAATCGAGTCCTAAAAATCTAGATACAGATAAAAAAGAAAGTGAAACGGATCCTCTTTCGTTCAAATTCTCTAAAGTGGTGCCATCTCTTAGCGAAAAAACCAACTTGAATCACGTAGCAAAAAAAACGACGAAATAATTAATCAGTTGGAAATGATTATCTCACAATTTACACCGAAACTTGAAACAAATAATTATTAACTCTGAAAGAATTAACAATAATGATGAACATTAATGAATAATCCAATGAACGAAGGAGAAAAAAATTCCAAACTAAATGTCAATAACTTTTCTTAACTAACGAAAAACCATTTAAATGATTAACAATTCAAACAAAGAAAAAAATCTTTTCTCAAAACTAATTAACCGTTATGATTGAAAATTGTATTGATTAATCGACCAGCCATTGATAAATTAAATCAACTTTCTTCCAATTAAATAACGATACAAATTGAATAAATCGTCAGTCAAGACGATAAAAAGAAGATCGATTAACTTATTTACTTTCGAATAAAAAAAAGTTCAATCTAAGTTTTTAAACAGAGAATAACTAATTGTGTTCAAATCAATTTTCCACAAATCACAAGAACTAATTAAAATGAATTCGATTTTATTTTCAATTGTGAAATAAAAACGATAAAAAAAATCGAACTAAATAAAAGAGTAACATTAAATTCCATGAGATGGCGTAACGAGAAAGAGAAAAGAAGGAAAATTGTTTCTCTTTCTCTCTCTTTTATTGAGAAGAAGAAAAAAAAATTAATCTTGTTGATAGAATTGTTTCCAATTGTTTTCATTGATTAACGACTGATTTTAATTCTTAATCATGATAATTAGTGTCCAAAAGCCAACGGAGATTTTCCCAAAAGAATTTGGATCCATCAAAATCAATGGTGAGTACAATTTTCTCCTCTATTATTAGGTAATAATTCATTTATTCTAAACAAAAAATTCTAACCTTCCCTTTTCTATTTCTTTTTTCTTTCTTCTCTTTCTCCTTTTTTTCTGCTTCTTCTTACACATTAAATAGTAAAAATATTGTTGTGTTGACTCCATTGACTGCATTCATATATTTGTGTGTCTGCCTGTTTGCTTGGTAATAGTATCGATAGTAATAGTAATAGTAGAAAAAAAATAGTGTTAATGCTTTTTTTGTCCTGGAAAAAAAGCTCCACTTCATTTGTTTCTTTTTTCTCTGACAATTTATCTTTCATTCTATTTTCTCTCCAACGATATTCTTTTCTATTTAAAATTCTCTCTCTATCTACTGTTTTTTCTCATTTTATATCTCAGGTTTTTTCTTCTTCTTCCCAATTTCATTATCGATGTTGCTGATGTTTTCTTTTTTTTTATTCTACTTGTTTCTCTCACTTTCATCTTTTTTATGTGTTTTCATTTAATTGGTTATTTTAGTCTCTCTCTCTCTCTCGCTCTCTCTTCTTTTTCTCTTTCTCCTCATCATTCATGTTTATAAATGAGTGAATGTATGTCATTTCGTTCATTCTGGCTTTTGATATGTTTTTATTGATCATATGGTAATTTGATGATGATGATGAGTGGAGGGAAAGAAATGAGAGTAAAATAGTAACAGTAATTGTTTATGCCTTCATAATAATTGATAGTTTTTTATTTAATTCATTTTCCTTTCAAACTCTACCCGTTATACTACTATTACTGTTGGTAATCAGATAGTTATTACATCCATGATGATAACTGATTAATATTTACCCTTATCTCTCTTAGTGTGAGACTTGTTTGTTTCTTTTTTAAATGCTTTCATCTTATCTAATGTATGTATCAGTATGTTAATTAATATTTATTTTAACCATTGATCTAATTTAGAAAACTTTCTCTGAGAATGGCCACAAGTGAGGTTCTTCAACACAACTTTGATACCACCACAACACGAGCTGAACCCAAAAAAGTGCCAAAAAAACGTAAATTTCAACTTGAGAGCTTAGAGGACAATAACAATGTTTCTTGGTCAACACCGATATCTACACCAACCTCTTCAATTGAAGTTAATCATTTATCGAGAGAAATAGTTAGCGCTGAATCAAGTCATTGTATTACTACAAATACCATTGTGAGTTGTAATGATGTAGCAACAAATATTGCTGATGATGATAACAACAACACCGTTATCAACAAGAGTAACAACAACTTGTATTGTGACAAAGATAATATTAGTTGTAGTAACACTGAAACACACGAGGCCTTAAAACATCAACAACAAACATCATTGGAACATGTTATCAATAGAAGCTTTAAAAATGATGAAGATGATGTTGATGTTGATGATGACAATTGTATTGACAGTAGTAAAGAATTGACATTAGATCTAACTGATTGGTGTGGTTATCGTGTTATCGCTCGTTTGGGTAACTATTATCAACGAGGTGAAATCAATTGTTATTTAAAACGAGAATGTAAAGTTGGTGTTAAAGTAAGTAGAATTATTTTCATTTCATTTATTCTATTTTTTTTATTCTATTCTATTTTATTTTATTTGATTGTATTCTAAATTGTGTTCTCTTCTATTAATTAACATGTTCTTTGTGAATGAGATAAGTAAAATTTAATCTTTTCTTTTGCCTACATTTTCACAGTTTGATGATAAAGATGAAACAATTGCAGATAAATTTGTCTACTTCAACCCACTTGATTGCAGTAGTATTATCAACGATAGTTGCCCATCTCCTAATCAAATCACCATTGGTCTTGATGTTGTCTCCCGGTGTCCAGAGTCAGAGAATCTATTTCGTAAAGGAATCGTAGCTGATATTTTATCCACTGAGCCAAACTCTTTATCCAGTGCCAGATATGTGGTTAAATTCAATGAATGTGAATTCATTAAAGTATCACGAGCTAATATACGTCTTCTTAAACCTCCTTGGTGGGAAGAGATTGACAATTGCTTTAATACAGATCCAACCACATCATCATTTGTAACAATATCCCAAACTTCATCAAATTTTCCCTCTTCGATTTCACCATCATGTCCATCAACAGTAACATCTCCATTACCACCCACTCCAGCCAAGAAAACGTCGCCATTACCATTTGAAAACTGTGTTCAAGATGTTATTTCATCAAGTAGTCATGAGAAAATGAAACGCCCTGATATCATAATTTACTCGGTACGTTCATGAAAAAAAAATCTTCATACATTATTGCTCAATGTTGTCTAAATGCCTTACTAATTATCTGTATATATTTTCATTGATTATTGTAGCAAGCCCAACAACAAATAGAGCAAAGACATTTCCAGCCACAATGTAATCAATCTCAATCTTCATCTCCAAGATTTGTCAAATCTCCAACTGATCATAGCTACTCAGGTGATGATCTTGACGATGATGACAACGTCAAGTACACAGATTCAGCGCCAACAACTCCAACGACTCCTCTTCTTCGATCAGGAGGCTTCATTAATCATTTGATGGATTCAGGTAATTATCTAGTCTAACTTAATCATCTGTATAATTATCTTTTTCGCTAATTGACAATTCTCGTTTATAATTATAGCTCCTAACTCTCCACTAGAACTTACTACAAATTCTATGAGCTTATCTGGGGGAGAGACTGCGTCTGCATCCGATCATAACATTGCACTCGTTTATCTTAATAAATATAGAAAAGGTGATATCGTATCATCGGCAAGTGGAATTCGTAAAAAGTTCAATGGAAAACAATGGAGGCGATTATGTTCAAAAGAAGATTGTACTAAAGAATCGCAAAGGCGCGGCTTCTGCTCGAGACATTTAAGCATGAAATCGACTTCTTCATCTTCTTCAACCGTTAATAATCTTAGTGCCAATGTTAATCCCTCTCCCGGATGTTCTAGTATTGGTTGGACTCAATGTACAATTGGATTAACACCAAGTATTGTTGCTACTTCTGTAAACTCACCTGTTTCATCAAAAGTTACTAATGGTATCAAAGGATTAAAATTGATATCAAGTCCATCGCCAATCACTCCAACTGATAAATCTCCTCTTCAAAATAATTTTCCTCGTACAAATCAAGGATTTGGTGAGAATAGTTTAACAACTTTGCATTCAAACGAATCTCAAAAAATTGTAAATTTAACTGTTGCTTCAGCTGTTACTGTTTCTGTTGCACCATCAATCTCCGCCACCACCTCTGCCTCTGTTTCAACTGTACCCATATTATTATCATCATCATCTCCATGTTCAACAACATCACCTACTTCATCATGTTACTCATCATCATTTGATACAACTGAAGCTGCCAATATGTTGATCTCACTTCGTACATCGCCTAAAGCGGGAAGCCAAACAGTTATTGTTAAACCTAATGATTTGAGCTTAGTTGCTGGAACAAGATCTGGTCTAATGGCAGCTAGACTTATGGCTAATAATGAAACCTCATATTTTCATCCCCTTCACCCCAATCAACATATTTCTGGCCAGCCCAATTTAGTACCATCATCACCTCATACTGTACAAAGTACAACATTACCTGTTAGCCCATCTTTAAAGCCATCATCTCAAGTGTCATCATCAACCACATCAGCTGTAACTTTACAACCGAAAACTCATTTTGTATCTCCTTCGCACGTTGGTGCAAATAACATGACAATTAATTCAATTAATCGTTTTGAGGAAGAAATGAGAAAACGTTCACCTGAATGTGTTGACATGGATTCAAGTGCTAATATAACATGTAACAAAAGTTTCGTTCATAACAATATCAATACAAATTTGAACAGAGAGGATAAGACATTACTTAGTCATGGTCATCTTGTTAAAGATTGGCTATTACCTAACAATATAAGCGCTTCATGTAAGTGATTTTTTATTTTAATAAGATTAATTGGATTAATTAAAAGAAAATTAATATAATTTTGTTCTATTATCACATGTGTTAAATAGGTTCATCTCCATCTTCGATATCATCTTCTAATACAGAAATGCCTTTATTTCCTTGGTATTCCACCAATTCCTTACCAATTCATCGTAATATATCACCGAATGGACCACATTCTCCTCCTCGAAGTGCTCCACCTCAATTCTCTGATTCTGAGAATGAATTAGACGAAGATGAAGACATTGAAATAGATGTTAGTGGTGGTGTAGGAGGAGAAGAAGATGACGATGAAGTATTTTCATTGTCAACGAATAAAAATGATGATAATAACAGTACTAATATTAACAGCAATGTAATGATGGATAGCGAAAGTTATAGTGACAATGTAACAATAGATGATTCAATTGATAAATCATCTTCTTCCAGTGTAATATCAGCTTCACGACGACGATCAAAATCTTGCAGTGCTTTACAAGATGAATCGAAAGAGTTGAGCAAAAAAGTAGAGATGTGCAATACTGTTAATAATAAAAATCCCAATGATGATGATGAAAATGATAATGATAATGAGGGTGATGAGCATAATAATGGTAACAGTAACAACAAAAACAACAACAACAATAGTAGTAATAATAGTGGAAAGAAAAACAAATCATCATCTAAACAACACATTCGTCGACCCATGAATGCTTTTATGATTTTCTCGAAAAGACATCGAGCTTTAGTTCACCAACGTCATCCAAACAGCGATAATCGAACTGTTAGCAAGGTAATTTGAATCAGCTATTTTAAACCATGTTAACGAATGCATCTAAATTTAGCTCATCGCTTTGTCAGACTAACTTTTCATTCATGTTTTCAAAGATGTTTATGAATAAATTTACAACCTCGTTCTTATTCGAAAATGTTTTTTTCTTTCTAGATTCTTGGCGAATGGTGGTACAGTTTGCAGAAAGAAGAGAAAGAGAAATACAACGATCTTGCATTTAAAGTAAAAGAAGCTCATTTCAAGAAACATCCAAATTGGAAATGGTGTTCAAAAGGAGGAACTGGATCAGTCTCTGGGTTAGAAACTGGAGAAACTCTTTCGCCTTCAATGGAAAATACAACCACAACAATTACCACCAACACCAACACCAACATCAATGCTACCACAACCTCTTCAACTCTTTCGTCTTCTTCATCATCTTCATCGTCTTTAACTGTAACTTCAAAAGGCTATTCGAATGTGGCCTCGTCTAAGAAGAAAGTATCAGTTAAATCATTGAAAAGAAAATCTAAATCTGATGATGGACCAGATGAAGAGAATATGGATTGTGCTGTGAATGATTCTAGTGGACACAATTCTCAACCTTATTCACTGAAATTGATCAATGAAGATGTCGCAAGCACAAGTTATATGGAAACTGAAAGTTGTGATCAATTAGAGATTCGTAATCGACACTCAGTTAGATTTAGTTCACCTGTTGATCTTCGCACTCCAACTTCAGCTCCATTTAACAAGAGAATATTTTCTCCGTTGAATACACCGGCCACACCAATTACACCGATAACACCAACACAATCATCGTCTCTTGATTTAAGTCTTCATGGTGTAACAATTACATCTCCATTACCATCAATCTCTCAGAAGCATAACTTTATGTTGCACTCATCAGGTGAACAACAATCGCCTCTGGAACTAAGCGGTCGAATGACGAGTGCAAACGAAATGATAATTCATTCAGCACCTCCGATTTTCTCTCATTCTCGATTCTCTTTACCAAGTGAAACTGGAGGTGGAATTGGAATTGGAAGTGGAAGTGGAAGTGGAATATCTCACACACCAAGTTTTTCTTCCACTGTCTCGAATTTTATTCTAAACAATGATAACAATTCATCTGCCTCTCCACTTTTGCCACCATCATCAGTAACATCACAATCATCATCACAATCTCCATCATCATTGTCATTATCATCGTCAACAACAACATCTTATCAAGTTAGCCAAAGGTCTCCGGTAATTGTGGCCCATTCAGGTCATAATAATACTAATAAACAAAACCGATTACCAACAATAACCTCAATTACACCTTACTCACTGAGTCCAAGTCCAATATGTTCATCACCTCACCAACCACCGCCAGTAATGCAATTACATAAAAAGTTTAATCATGATTTGATTTCAACTTCGCAATCAAAGCAACAACAAAATATTTTAGCTAATGTACGTAATAGTTATTCAACAAACCAACACCCACACCATCAATATCCACATCCACATGCACACCAATCTTTACATAATAATCCTCATCGTCCATCGCCTCCTCTGCCTCCCTCTGCAATATTATCATCATCAAACATTGAGAGTGGTCCAAACTCAAACTCACCAAGCACAACATCAACATCAACATCAACAAATGAGCCTAAATTTGTTTTAGCTCCAACTCCTGCTCAATTGGGTAAAATCCGAAACAAGAAACTTTCGGGAACCAACAACAACAACAACAATACAAATGATCTTAATTTAAGTGCCAAATGTAATGATGATACAAACAAACTTGACAACAATGAAAATGAAGAGCAATCAGTGTCTAAAAAAAGTACAAATGACCAAGAAGATTTCCCCTACAAACAATTCCAAGAGCCACAATTTATTCTAGTAACTAATCAACAACATCAAGATTATAAAACGCATGGTAATAAAAATGATGATGACCAGAAAAAAGATGAAGACAATGATAAGATGACCAATAGGAATTTCGATAATGTTTCTCATCCATTTACTACTATTGGTGATTCTATTGATGATAAAAAGGAAGATGATAAAGATGAAAACAAAGATAACCAAGATAATCAAGATAATAAAGATAATAATGGTAAAGATAAAGCTAAAGACACAATGGATAAGGTATTGGACGAAGTTAATTTTGACCAACAATTTGCTCAATTACCTGAATTCAAACCAGAAGACAAAAGTGTCGCTACATCAGCACCAAGTACACCTTTACCATTCTCACCAACGGCATTTGTTCAATCGTATAGAAAGAAACAAAGAAGCTCAATATCTTTGGTTTCAACACCAACTCTCTCATCATGTAAAAATAATAATATCGTTAGTATGACAACACCAACGATTCCCGTTATACCAACAACTATTGTGACATCATCGTCATCATTGTCATCATCAATCTCATTAGCAGCAACACCAACAGCAACCACAACGGCATCAATATCAATACCAACACCGGTACCTTCTACATCTTCATCAGCAGGATTATTTTCTTCGTTAACATCATCATCGTCATCATCTTCTTCTTCATCATCTTCTTCTTCCTCAACAATCCCCAAAAATCCAATGACTAATATCACTAGTGTCCAACATAACACTTTGAGTTCAGGAGAAAAATTTTTCGGGCCAAATTTCAATTTAGGTGAAGCAATTGCATCAGTTACTCACGACCCTAATTCTGGTAACGGTAACAATTCTGATTATTCAAAAAACAAGAATGTAAACACACCGTTAACACCAAAATCACCTAAAACTCCTGGAGGTAAGATTTTACACCTCAATTAATTAAATTGATTCTCGTAATCATCATCAGATATTTATCACTTGTTATCAATTAACAATCTACAATTCAGTCATAATTTTGTGTCATTTTTTTTATATTCATTCATCTGTTAATCAACGATATTAATGATAGTTATTGTTTTTCTCTCTCTCTCTCTCTCTCTCTCTCAGGTGACATTGACAAATCATCTAACCGACGAGTCCTTGATCAAAGAAGACAACTTGTAATGCAATTTTTCAACGAGTGCGGCTTTTGGCCTACAGGTAATTATAAAGAATCCATAATTAAATGAAAGATGTGATATAAGAGTAAATAAATGATCAGTATCACGAAGAAAAAAATTTGTCAACAATCAAATGATCAACAAAAAAAAACAGTAGTTAAAGTAAATCATACATGTATAATGTTTACATTTGTAAATGTTTGATTCTTCACGCAATCACAATGACTGATTTTGCATTTTTGAAAGACTAGTCACAATTTAATGAGTCATTGAAAATCAAACAGGTATATTACTCTATCGATAATATTACTTTCTTCAGTTGATAATCCAAAGAGATTCATCATATCATTACTCTTTTACATGGTGTTTATAATGCCAACGAGTAAATAAAATACATTCCATTGGATTTGGATGTTTGATTAAAGTTAACATGGAAATCAATGTCTCTTATACCACCACATATTCAGGAAATGAGTGAATCAATTAAATCAATAAATCTCTCACTAAGTAAAGTTTAATTAGATGACAGGAAAAGTGATGAACTCAGTTGATAATAATAATAATAATAATGCTGAATCCATAACCAAAACAAAGATACGAATAAATGAAATCAAATATCAATGAACATAAGTGTAAAGCGAAACGATCAAGTAAACATATGACCAGTAACTTTCCGTTGTAATTAGATGAAACAATAAGTTTCAAATTGTCCATAACTATTAATTGGTAGAAAATGATATGATGATAATTTTCCAGTTAAATTGATATTTTACTGAAATCAGTTGACCGAAGAGATTAACTCTAAAGGGGATTAGTCACAATGGATTAACGAGAGAAACTTGCAAGACCTTTTTGACCCGAGTAGCAATCAAATCGTAACTTTAGTCATGATCAATCATTTGGTGTGTCTCATGTTAATGTTGTGACTTTTTCTCACGTTGATGTATCTTTTTTTTTCTCAACCTTGTTGACTAATTAATTATTTTCTTTTCTCTTCTCTTCTCACTTTAACCTGCTAATCTATTGATTTACCAGCTCAAGAAACCGCATCATTTCAACAGCGTTTCAGTAACGTCTTCCCTCATAAACATACCTTACAATTGAAGATACGAGAGGTTAGACAAAAACTCATGGCAACAACACCAATGACCCCGAATTCTGGTAAGTTGTCAATTGGAAACAATCAACGATTCTAATCACTTATTGTCCAAAGAAAACCTCAACTCGATTTATTAATCAACTGATTTGTTTTGTTTTATCCTTTTTCTTTTAGCTTTGAAAGAGCATAACGAGAATGGAAAGATGAATGAGACAAGTAATTCTTCATCATCTCATCTTGGTGGTAAAATGATAAATTGTACTACCACTGATTCTACGAGCATGAATACTACAAATTGTATTAATAAGGTTGTAATTGCTGGTGATTCATCTAATTGTAATATTGGTTCCGTTGAAAAAGTAGATCTCGAAAAGCAACAATATTTTTATGGACAACAACAACCAATGGATACATCAACCTGTAATAATAGTACAGTTACTGATGAAGATAACTCATCAAAGAATCGTAATATTGGACAACATGATACAAGATGAGAAAACAATGCATATCGACTGGAACAATTAAATTAATTAACCAACCGCGAACATAAATGAAAGAATTAAAAAAAAAAGATTTATTTCCTATTAATAATTTCTTCTAATCAAATTCAATCTCTTTCATAATGATGATCTCTTGAATTGCCATATAATTAATAATCACTAATCATCATCAATATGAGATTAAAGCATTTCCTTTGCAATTAATTAATTTCTGCTAAAAAAACACACCCTTACAAAGGCAACAATATATTAATTTGTCGACATCTAATTATCAAGAGATGATTAAATTTATCCTATTGTTACATCAAAGATATTAACTAATCATGCAAATCCTCGGATATCACAAATACAATAATGACAATCAATTAATTCAATTAACTTTAAAAGATTAGAAATGAGATAATTACATGATTAAGAAAAAGAAAATTTCATCGAAAGTTAATTGAAACAGTTAATCGTTATAAAAAGATTTGCACAACAACAGTTACGAGATTTAATTTCTCACAATTAACTAATTGCAATCAGAGAAATGTAGAGACCACACATTTACATTTTTTACAAATGTCAAAACAATTGGAACAATTAGTTAATCACAATTGTGATTAGAAATGAAAAAAAAACAAATAAGTGTTAACTGTTAATCATTTGAAAGACAAAATGATTACAACAATTACCAAGGGAAAGAAAGATAATTGTTCCACTAGAACAACAATTAAAATGAGTAATTTGCAGCAATTTTGCAATCAGAGTCACAATTAACATGATGATGACCACCAATCAGTGAATATACAAACAATTTATCAACAAATTGCAACAATTTAGAGGAAAAAAAGGTAAATCAAAAGCCAACGAATAAGAAATCAATTTAATCATCGCTGAGGTCTAGTGACTTTCTATCAATCAAACTAACAAGCCCAAGGAATTTACAAACAATCAATTAACAGTTTATTTCAGTTAACACAACAATGCGAGAGAGAGAGAGAGAGAGATTACATTAAACAAAAGAAGACAGAGAAGGTGCGAAAGATGCGAAAGAGAAAAAGAAAAACAAATAACAACAGGTAAAGAAAGAGAAAAGAAAGAGAAAAATGGATGAGGTGGACCAAAAGCTCCAACACACAAACTGAATCACGAAGGCGAAGATGAAGATAATTGTTCTAAAACTAAACTAAGACATTTTTCTTGCAAACAATGATGAAGATAAGAAAGAAGAAGAAAGAAAGAAAAAGAAAGACAAATAAATTTGCAAGAGAATAAGAAAAAAAAAGAAAATAAATGAAGACAATTCTCTTTACCTGTGGTAAGAATTGTCAATGTAGATGGCGAAAAGTGATTCAGCTGTGTGTACATTGGAAATCGTTGTAAGAGAAAAGATGAAGATGAAAAGAGAGAGAAGAGAATCACAAATACCTGGGATAGTTTACATAGCTTAAGGCCTCAACTACCTGTTCTCCATCATCATCTCTTTGTCTCCTCTTTTATTCCTCGTCTCCTAGACTCTTTCTCTCTCTCTCTCTCTCTCTCTCTCTCTCTGTTTCTCTCTCAAAAAGAAACACTTTCAACCTTCTCATCTTCATCTTCTTCTTACCTTGTTTTTTACTCTCACTCCTCTAATTCTGTTGCCTCTTTTTCTTTCTTTTTCTTTTATCATCATCATCATCCCCAACATCCTCTTCTTCATCATCTTCTCTCTTCCAATGTTTTCTTTCTTTTCTCTCTCATCTTCTTTCTCTTCGTTTCTCTTTGGTTTTTTTCTCTCTTTTTTTTCAATTTCTATTCGTCACAAGTAGATGTCACTTCTCACTTGATTTCTTTTTCTTTGGTTTCTCTCTCTTTCTATTCCAATGCATTGGTTACTCTTCACTCTTACAAATAACTTCAATTTCTCTCTTTTTTTTTAATTTCATTTATACTTTTTTTGCATAATGTTTTCTTTTTTTTTCTAATTTAATTTAATTTCTTCTTCTTTTCTCTCTCTTTTTTTGTTCTCTTTTGTTTTCTCTTCTCCTTGCTTTGTTTTCTACTCATTGGCAACTTCTCTTCTTCTCTTTGTGGTGTCTCTCTCTCTTTCTCTGACAGTGTTTTTCTCTTAGTTGTTTTTGCCCACCGAGTCAAGGAAAGGAAAAGAGAAAGAGAGAGAGAGAGAGAGAAAAGAAAGAAAAAAAAAGGAATATAAACAGTTAGATTTATAAATTCTCTTATTGTTTATCATCAACTATGGCCACAAGTGAGGTGCTTCAACACAACTTCGATACCACCACAACCACAACCACAACAACAACACGAGGTGAACCCAAAAAAGTGCCAAAAAAACGTAAATTTCAACTTGAGAGCTTAGAGGATAATAAAAATGTTCCTTGGTCATCAACAACTTCAACCTCTTCAATTGAAGTTAATGATAGAGAAATAGTTAATACTAACCCAAGCCATGGTGTTACTACAAATACTATTTTAAATTGTGTCGATGTATCAACAAATATCGCTGCTGATGATAACAACAACACCGTTATCAATAAGAGTAACAACAACTTGTATTGTGACAAAGATAATATTAGTTGTAGTAACACTGAAACACACGAGGCCTTAAAACATCAACAACAAACATCATTGGAACATGTTATCAATAGAAGCTTTAAAAATGATGAAGATGATGTTGATGTTGATGATGACAATTGTATTGACAGTAGTAAAGAATTGACATTAGATCTAACTGATTGGTGTGGTTATCGTGTTATCGCTCGTTTGGGTAACTATTATCAACGAGGTGAAATCAATTGTTATTTAAAACGAGAATGTAAAGTTGGTGTTAAAGTAAGTAGAATTATTTTCATTTCATTTTATTCTATTTTTTTTATTCTATTCTATTTTATTTTATTTGATTGTATTCTAAATTATGTTCTCTTCTATTAATTAACATGTTCTTTGTGAATGAGATAAGTAAAATTTAATCTTTTCTTTTGCCTACATTTTCACAGTTTGATGATAAAGATGAAACAATTGCAGATAAATTTGTCTACTTCAATCCACTTGATTGCAGTAGTATTATCAACGATAGTTGCCCATCTCCTAATCAAATCACCATTGGTCTTGATGTTGTCTCCCGGTGTCCAGAGTCAGAGAATCTATTTCGTAAAGGAATCGTAGCTGATATTTTATCCACTGAGCCAAACTCTTTATCCAGTGCCAGATATGTGGTTAAATTCAATGAATGTGAATTCATTAAAGTATCACGAGCTAATATACGTCTTCTTAAACCTCCTTGGTGGGAAGAAGTTGATAATTTGTCAATGGAAAAATCAACATCATCTCACACTTCATCACCATCTCCAACTTTATCTTCTTCCAATATTATTTCACCATCATGTCCATCAACAGTAACATCTCCATTACCACCCACTCCAACCAAGAAAACATCGCCATTAGAAAACTGTGTTCAAGATGTTAATTCACCGAGTAATCATGAGAAAATGAAACGCCCTGATATCATAATTTACTCGGTACGTTCATGAAAACTACAAATACCAACAAAAAATGTTCTTCATTCATGAATTTCTATTCTTAAATAAGCCACAAGACAATTTTCGTTTCTCTCTCTCTCTCTTTGCTATTTCAATCTCATCAAGTAATTAACTTTTCTCTCTCTCTCCTCGTTCTCCATTTTTCTTTTCACTTCTCTATTTAGCAACAGCAACAATTTGAACGACAGCTTCAATTACAATACTTTAACCAATCTCAATCTCCCAGATTGATTAAATCACCTGCTGATCATAGTTACTCAGGAGATGAGCTCGATGATGATGATAACGCCAAGTATAATACAGACTCAACCGTGGATTCAGCACCTTCAACCCCAACAACACCTCTTTACAGATCTGTGGGCTTTGCAAATCATTTACTCGATTCAGGTAATTATTAAATTTCTTTAAATATTCTTTAAGTCATCTTTAAGCTTCTCTCTCACTCTCCCTCATTCTCTCTCAATTCAACTCTTCTTGACACGGTATTATTGTAATTTCTCTCCCACTACTATTTTTTATTCATTTCTGTCTATATTTGTTCAAAAAATTTCCTCCTACTCACAATTTAGAAATGAAATGGATTGAAATCACTTTTAATCATTCGTTTGTACTTTTTTACTTACTCTCTCTCTTTTCATTTTACTCACACGCACACACAGGGTCGTCTTCCACTCATCATTTGAATTCCATTTCATCTTATGGTGGTAATGAAATTGGTGGAAATTCATCGTCAACTGATCAAGGAATTGTTAACCCAAACAAGTATAAAAAAGGTGATATCGTATCATCGGCAAGTGGAATTCGTAAAAAGTTCAATGGAAAACAATGGAGGCGATTATGTTCAAAAGAAGATTGTACTAAAGAATCGCAAAGGCGCGGCTTCTGCTCGAGACATTTAAGCATGAAATCGATTAACAATTCACCGGGAAGTGGATCAGCTTGTAGTAATAACGGCGTTTGGTCATCCAATATGCTCATAGGAGCGGCTACTTTAACAACAACTTGCACAACAACCTCATTGACGATAGCAAATGAAATGAAAGGAGTCTCAAAAACACCCAGTCCATTGCCCAATGTAATCCATAATTCAGTAAATAAATCGCCTCATGATGATGATCATCATAATAATGATCCTGGATTTGGAGAGAATGGTTTATCAACATTGCATTCATCCGAATCTCAGAAAAATTTAAATGCCTCTGTTACTCCTTCATTCTCAGTCTCTTCTTCTGCAACCTCAGCAGCATCACTATTTTCATCTTCTGCCTCATCAACAACATCTTCCACTTCTGTTTCTTCATCATCCTCATCCTCATCACTATGTTATCCTTCATCATCATTTGATACAACAAAAGCTGCCAATATGTTGATCTCACTTCGTACCTCACCTAAATCAGAAAGCCAAGCAGTTATCAAACCCAATGATATGAGCTTAGTTGCTGGAACAAGATCTGGTCTAATGGCAGCTAGACTTATATCTAATAATAATAATGATAAACCATATTACCATCATCATCACCAACATCATCCTCATCATCATCACCCTGGACAGGCAAATTCAATACCATTATCACCTCATACCTCACAAAATGCAACTTTATTTCCATCACAAGTCACATCAACTTTACCCTCTTCATTTGCACCCTCAATACCACCAGTTGCTCACTTTATTCCAACCTTATATCTTGGTGGTAATAATCTGGTTAATCAATCTATCAATCAGAGATGGGAAGATAAATCAAGATCACCTGAGAGTATTAATAGAAATGGACATCACCACAATAGTGGCAATAATCATAAACTACTTAGTCAAAATGTACCAATGGTCAAGGATTGGTTGTTACCTCCAAGTATTTATGGTTCGTGTAAGTTTTAATTTTCTTGCAACTTTCTATTGAATTGGAAAATTAGCTTGAAACTAATCATTTCTAATTCCAATCGATTATCAAACAGGTTCGTCTCCATCGGCTCTAACGACAAATACTGAGATGCCTCTATTCCCTTGGCATTCAATTGACTCGTTACGACTCCATAGCAATTTTCATCACAATAATGTTAATATTTCAAACATTAGCCGAAGTGGTGACAAAAACAATCCAATGCCACATAGTCATGGTCATCTTGTTAAAGATTGGCTATTACCTAACAATATAAGCGCTTCATGTAAGTGATTTTGTCTTTACAATCAGATTAATCGGATTAGTTTTATCATAAGAAAATTAATAAAACTTTGTTTCGTTATCTTATCGAAATAGGTTCATCTCCATCTTCGATATCATCTTCTAATACAGAAATGCCTTTATTTCCTTGGTATTCCACCAATTCCTTACCAATTCATCGTAATATATCACCGAATGGACCACATTCACCTCCTCGAAGTGCTCCACCTCAATTCTCTGATTCTGAGAATGAATTAGACGAAGATGATGACATTGAAATAGATGTTAGTGGTGGTGTAGGAGGAGAAGATGATGACGATGAAGTATTTTCATCATCAGCCAATAAAAATGATAATAACAACAACAGTACCAATAGTAACAGAAATAGTAACAGAAATGTAATGATGGATGGCGAAAGTTATGGTGACAAAGTAACAATAGATGATTCAATTGATAAATCATCATCTTCGAGTGTAATATCAGCCTCAAGGGGACGATCAAAATCTTGTAGTGCCTTACAAGATGGCTCAAAAGAGTCGAGCAAAAAAGGAGAGATGTGCAATAATAATCCCATTGATGATGATGAAAATGATAATGATAATGAAGGTGATGAGCCTAATAATCCCAACAACAGCAACAGCAACAACAATGGTAATAATAACAGTGGAAAGAAAAACAAATCATCATCTAAACAACACATTCGTCGACCCATGAATGCCTTTATGATTTTCTCGAAAAGACATCGAGCTTTAGTTCATCAACGTCATCCAAACAGCGATAATCGAACTGTTAGCAAGGTAATTATTGTAATTTAATAATTGATGCACATTGAGATTCTCATTGTTGATTCTGTTGATTGTCTTTCACTTGTACTTAAAACTATTTTCCAATCAGCTGTGTAAGTGCAATCATATTTTTGGCATCACATTTACTTACGTTCTTATATTTACTGTCAATATTTATTCCATCAAGTGTATTACAGTTACGATTATTAACTAATTGTTCCAGTGTAAATGACTTTCTCCATCGTAATCGTTTGTTAAGATTCTCTATTTACAAAATTTTCATTATCTTGTTTCACTTTGATTATCTTTCTCATCTTTTCTGACGACCTTGAATAGTCTTAGACTTTGTGTAAACAGTTTTTACTCTTATGAAAATTGACTCATTTTCATTCTCAATTTTTGGCATCAAGCAACTTCTTACATACACAATTAGTATTTTCTCTTTGAGCTCAATGATTTCATCTCAACACTTATTGAATTTCTAAGTGTTTCTTTTTTGTTACATTCTAAATTTTCTAACACTATGATTATCTCTTTATTTCTCTCCTTTGGCAACAGATTTTAGGTGAATGGTGGTACAGTTTGAAGAAAGAAGAGAAAGAGAAATACAACGATCTTGCATTTAAAGTAAAAGAAGCTCATTTCAAGAAACATCCAAATTGGAAATGGTGTTCAAAAGGAGGAACTGGATCAGTCTCTGGGTTAGAAACTGGAGAAACTCTTTCGCCTTCAATGGAAAATACAACCACAACAATTACCACCAACACCAACACCAACATCAATGCTACTACAACCTCTTCAACTCTTTCGTCTTCTTCATCATCTTCATCATCTTTAACTGTAACTTCAAAAGGCTATTCGAATGTGGCCTCGTCTAAGAAGAAAGTATCAGTTAAATCATTGAAAAGAAAATCTAAATCTGATGATGGACCAGATGAAGAGAATATGGATTGTGCTGTGAATGATTCTAGTGGACACAATTCTCAACCTTATTCACTGAAATTGATCAATGAAGATGTCGCAAGCACAAGTTATATGGAAACTGAAAGTTGTGATCAATTAGAGATTCGTAATCGACACTCAGTTAGATTTAGTTCACCTGTTGATCTTCGCACTCCAACTTCAGCTCCATTTAACAAGAGAATATTTTCTCCGTTGAATACACCGGCCACACCAATTACACCGATAACTCCAACACAATCATCTTCTCTTGATTTAAGTCTTCATGGTGTAACAATTACATCTCCATTACCATCAATCTCTCAGAAGCATAACTTTATGTTGCACTCATCAGGTGAACAACAATCGCCTCTGGAACTAAGCGGTCGAATGACGAGTGCAAACGAAATGATAATTCATTCAGCACCTCCGATTTTCTCTCATTCTCGATTCTCTTTACCAAGTGAAACTGGAGGTGGAATTGGAATTGGAAGTGGAAGTGGAATATCTCAAACACCAAGTTTTTCTTCCACTGTCTCGAATTTTATTCTAAACAATGATAACAATTCATCTGCCTCTCCACTTTTGCCACCATCATCAGTAACATCACAATCATCATCACAATCTCCATCATCATTGTCATTATCATCGTCAACAACAACATCTTATCAAGTTAGCCAAAGGTCTCCGGTAATTGTGGCCCATTCAGGTCATAATAATACTAATAAACAAAACCGATTACCAACAATAACCTCAATTACACCTTACTCACTGAGTCCAAGTCCAATATGTTCATCACCTCACCAACCACCGCCAGTAATGCAATTACATAAAAAGTTTAATCATGATTTGATTTCAACTTCGCAATCAAAGCAACAACAAAATATTTTAGCTAATGTACGTAATAGTTATTCAACAAACCAACACCTCAACCAACACCCACACCATCAATATCCACATGCACATGCACACCAATCTTTACATAATAATCCTCATCGTCCATCGCCTCCTCTGCCTCCCTCTGCAATATTATCATCATCAAACATTGAGAGTGGTCCAAACTCAAACTCACCAAGCACAACATCAACATCAACATCAACAAATGAGCCTAAATTTGTTTTAGCTCCAACTCCTGCTCAATTGGGTAAAATCCGAAACAAGAAACTTTCGGGAACCAACAACAACAACAACAATACAAATGATCTTAATTTAAGTGCCAAATGTAATGATGATACAAACAAATCAATTAACTTCAATGAATTTGCCGATGAACAAAAAGTGTCAAAAATGAGTACAAATGACCAAGTAAATCAGGTTTACATGCAACTCAAACAATTCAGTAAACCACAATTTGATAAAACGAATGGTAATAAAAATGATGATGACCAGAAAAAGATGAAGACAATGATAAGACGACCAATAGGAATGTCGATAATGTTTCTCATCCATTTACTACTATTGGTGATTCTATTGATGATAAAAAGGAAGATGTTAAAGATGAAAACAAAGATAACCAAGATAATCAAGATAATAATGGTAAAGATAAAGCTAAAGACACAATGGATAAGGTATTGGACGAAGTTAATTTTGACCAACAATTTGCTCAATTACCTGAATTCAAACCAGAAGACAAAAGTGTCGCTACATCAGCACCAAGTACACCTTTACCATTCTCACCAACGGCATTTGTTCAATCGTACAGAAAGAAACAAAGAAGCTCAATATCTTTGGTTTCAACACCAACTCTCTCATCATGTAAAAATAATAATATCGTTAGTATGACAACACCAACGATTCCCGTTATACCAACAACTATTGTGACATCATCGTCATCATTGTCATCATCAATCTCATCACCAACAACATCTTTGTCCGTAGTAACAGCATCATCATCATTACCCACCCCAACTCCAACTCCAACACCAGTGCCATCAACGTCTTCATCGTCATCATCAATATCAGCTGGATTACCTTCTTCATCAATCATGACAATTCCCAAAAATCCCATGAATAATAGTCGCAATATCCAACCTGGCTCGCTGAGTTCAGGAGAAAAGTTTTTCGGGCCGAATTTCAATTTAGGTGAAGCGATTGCATCAGTTACTTATTCAAAGATGACAAGTAACTGTAACAATCCCGATTACTCAAAAAACAAGAATATAAACACACCGTTAACACCAAAATCACCTAAAACTCCTGGAGGTAAGATTTTACACCTCAATTAATTAAATTGATTCTCGTAATCATCATCAGATATTTATCACTTGTTATCAATTAACAATCTACAATTCAGTCATAATTTTGTGTCATTTTTTTTTATATTCATTCATCTGTTAATCAACGATATTAATGATAGTTATTGTTTTTTCCTCTCTCTCTCTCTCAGGTGACATTGACAAATCATCTAACCGACGAGTCCTTGATCAAAGAAGACAACTTGTAATGCAATTTTTCAACGAGTGCGGCTTTTGGCCTACAGGTAATTATAAAACATCCATAATTAAATGAAAGATGTGATATAAGAGCAATTGAAAATTGAGTATTATTCATCAATCAATGAATAAAAAAGCAAAACGATTAAGTAAACATGTGACCAGTAATTTTCCGTTGTAATTAGATGAAACAATAAGTTTCAAATTATACTTAACTGTTAGCAATTGCTAGAAATGTACATGTTATGATTTGATTTAATTGGCATTTAAATTGATATGTGACTCAAACCAGTTGAACGAAAGATTAACTTTTAAGTGGATTCGTCATAACGGATTAGCGAGTAACAACTTTTGAGACCTTTTTGACCCGAGTAGCAATCAAATCGTAACTTTAGTCATGATCAATCATTTGATGTCTCATGTTAACGTTGTGACTTTTTCTCACGTTGATGTATCTTTTTTTTTCTCAACCTTGTTGACTAATTAATTATTTTCTTTTCTCTTCTCTTCTCACTTTAACCTGCTAATCTATTGATTTACCAGCTCAAGAAACCGCATCATTTCAACAGCGTTTCAGTAACGTCTTCCCTCATAAACATACCTTACAATTGAAGATACGAGAGGTTAGACAAAAACTCATGGCAACAACACCAATGACCCCGAATTCTGGTAAGTTGTCAATTGGAAACAATCAACGATTCTAATCACTTATTGTCCAAAGAAAACCTCAACTCGATTTATTAATCAACTGATTTGTTTTGTTTTATCCTTTTTCTTTTAGCTTTGAAAGAGCATAACGAGAATGGAAAGATGAATGAGACAAGTAATTCTTCATCATCTCATCTTGGTGGTAAAATGATAAATTGTACTACCACTGATTCTACGAGCATGAATACTACAAATTGTATTAATAAGGTTGTAATTGCTGGTGATTCATCTAATTGTAATATTGGTTCCGTTGAAAAAGTAGATCTCGAAAAGCAACAATATTTTTATGGACAACAACCAATGGATACATCAACCTGTAATAATAGTACAGTTACTGATGAAGATAACTCATCAAAGAATCGTAATACTGGACAACAACAACAACAACAACAAGAACCCATGATAACTTCCGAGAACGAAAAATAATCAATTGTATTAACCCCATTGCCTCCAAAAATTCAACGTTAATATCGTTGATAAACAAAACCCAAATTCTCATATATACAACAAGAAAAACAATCTATTCTTTATCTCGATATTTCCTTAACGAAAATGTGACAAAAATTCACTTTAAAAATGATATTTATTTTTTCCCTTCTTTTTTCCAGTGCCTATGTGTTTGTGTGTTTCCATGACCTTAAAAGTGACCTTAACCCGATAAGTTCCAATATTGTAATTGAGTTAAATATGAAAACAAAAACCTACTCCATGTGTTTAATTAACTGTGATCACTAAGTGTTGTTAAAATCATATTGAATCACTTGAAAGACAAAACAATTTAAAACAAAACTACAAAACCCTCCTGATAACAAATCACAATCAATGTATTACATCATACAATTAATAATTATCTATTTGCTGTATAAATCATCAATTCACTCATTAAATTAATTGATTCAATCATGAGTTATATATATTTAAATTACTCTCGATATGTAAATTATATGCTTTTTAATTTACAATGTTTCAAATTAACCAATTCAATCAGACTAATGATGTAACCATAATCTTTTACTATGATCGTATTACAATCAATGGTGAAACAATTAGTTAATTAGATTGAAATTACACCCGTAAAGATAAATTAAGTAACCAGTTAATGTATATACATAATTGTGTTAATTAATACGTGACAATTAAGGGATTGGAATAAGGCAAAAAAAAGCATTGGAAATTAAAGAAACGGATTCTAAAAGTAATTAACACAATTACAATTATCAATTACTAAGTCACAATTGTCTTAATTGTGTAACTGTTTGTTGTTTCTAATATGGTTAATTGTTAATTCTCATCTATGGAATCAGTTAATTCATCGATATATGGAAATCACTTCCTGATCGGCTGGAAATGGAACGAGACTGGAACTTACCTTTCATTTTCAATTCTCCTTTTAATTACGACAATTATCAAGATAATTTATTTCAAGAATCGAAAAGTACTCAACAATATACCCGAATCATGGTAATTAAATTCAGTTCTATTAGTTGATTCTTGTTGAAAGAACGAAACAATTAACCAAACTGTTTGAAAGAAAAAGTGAAAAAAAAGATGAAGATGGAGATGAAAATTCAATAGAAAATCAAAATAAACTCAATTTAGATTCTTTCTCATTTTTTCTTCTTATTCTTTTTCAATGTTCATCATCTTCATGATATATTCTTTCCCCATGAAAAGTGCTCTCATCCTTCTTGGAATCTTGGTTGGCTTATTGATTGTGTAAGGGAAAAGTTGATTTTGTTGTTTTCTTTTTTCTCATCATATTAATTTAATGTTGTCATTTTTTTCTCTCTTCTCTTTTTCTTCCTCGTCATCTTCCTCATGTATCTTTCTCCATACATGGTGGTCATCATCATACTCAGCATAATGGATTCCAAGTCAAATAATCTACCAGAATTCACTCCAAGTCTTTTCAATTTCATTTTACTCCCTCCGTAAGTTTTATCATCAACATGAGATAAGTTTTCATTTGAATTTCATATTATTGATGAGAAAAAAGTTACAACCGGAACTTATATAATTCCGGCTCATAAATTTCATAAATTGTTACCTAATCAATAACGATCAACAATAGTTAACTGTAAAAATTTAAATTCTCTTGCCATTTAATATAACAAATAACAAATAACATAATCATCAATCTTAACTTTGACAATAAAACCAAGAAAATTATATCATGTCAAGGTTTCCCATTGAACATTATCTAAGAGACAATTTAAATTGTTACTTTAATCCATTTGTTGATGAACCATCATGACTAACAATAATGATTACAAACAATCAACAATATAATACAACCATTAACCTGTAGGTGATTAATCAGTTTTCCTTACCTTTCATCGCAATAAACAAACTGTTGTTATCCAATTAACTTAATTACACTTTCATCATATTCTGATAATAATACTAATCAAGAATCGTCCTGGATTCATCTTATGAACTTTATCACCAATCATTTTTTGGTAACATTGGAACCATAATAATGTTTGCAGTCGTTGTAAGTATCAAAGTTAATTATCTCTAATCAACTAATCAACTAACCACCACCACCAACAACAACAACAATTACAAGAACACGATTAGTTAATTGTATTACAATCACTTAGAAATGTGAAAACCTTTACCTTAACCATTAACCCTTTTTGTACCTTAATCTAATCAATTACAACCATCATGATAATAATGATTATCATCATCATCTTAATTCACTTCACATTTTACCAATAACAATGTTAATGATTTGGACGAGAAAAAAAACTAATAGTAAAACCATCAAGCTAAATAACAAGATACACACAATTTAAATTGATTATCATTTGTAATTTGATATTAATTCAATTCTAATAATAATATGATTGTAATCAACCCAGGGAACGATAATGAATGTCATCCTGGTTGCTTATTTAATTTACTTTAGTCAAATGATATCACTATTTGGTAAACAATTTATTCCCACTGTTGAAATATTTATTTTCTCGGTAATTGTTTCAGCAGTTGATCCAGTTGCTGTAAGTTTAAATAATCATCATCATGTTAATCATTGATTAAATCATCATGATATTATATTAATTGAGAATTCAATTTTTTACTTATTATCCTTATATTTGTTTTGATTATATATTCATAACCATAATTTTAGTAATAACAAATGATAATGATAATATCAACATCCAATAGTTTTTATATATATATTTAATATAAATATCTAAAAATAGTTAAACAATTTGATAAATTGTTGTTGATTGTTGTTTTTGCTGTAAACAACAATCAAATAAAAATAGATATTCATTCAATCATTGAGTATACATCTTAATGAATATCAGTAGGTTAGGTTATTAATAATTGAAGCCAAACAATTAATTGTATTGATCATTTTAAAACAACCTTATTGTTATTATCAACTTTTAATTGTTTCATTGTCTGTTATTGCTATTATATTGTTATGAGTACTTTTCATATTACACCTTAATTGTGATTATCTTCACCTACTTTCACCATCAACAATTAAGGTGCTGTCGGTGTTTCAAGAGGTTAATGTTAATAAAGCCTTGTATTTCCTGGTATTTGGTGAATCTTTACTCAATGGTAAGTTTATCTTGATTACTAACAATTGTACTCTAATTGACAATTTAATTTCAACAATTTAGATGCTGTTGTGATCACTTTGTACGACAATATAAGATCAATTCCAACCTCGAACTATCCCAAGTCAAAGCTCATTGGATTCATTTTTTTATCGTTTCTTGTATCTACTTTTGGTGGTATTTGTGTTGGTATATTTTGGGGAATTCTAACTTGCCTATTAACACAATTAACCACTGATAGAAAATTAAAAGGTAACTTATTAACATTCTGACAACAATTTACTGATTAACTCAGTCTTTTTTTATACACTGATACTTTTTTAGTGTCAAAATTGTTATTCATCGTTAATGTCAAGTGAAGTTACAAAGGTTGTAAGGTTATGATTACCAATTAAGTTATGATTGAAATGATTAAGGGTGAGAAACGATTTAATCAGATTATGCAAATGTTGAATATTATCCTGATATCATCATGATTAACGTGTGTAAAAGTTAATTGTTTGGTTTTCGAGAGACAAACTCAAAGAGACAATCCCTTGTAACTAGATTACTCTGTGTTGAGATAATGAAGACAATGATCATTATTATTATTTGGTAAATGTTAGTTTGATGATAATTGTTATCAGGATCATGATTCGAGATTCGATGAGTTAGAACTTTTCAGTATAAAGAACAGAGAAAGAGAAAAAAAAAAGTTCGGATTCATTATATTTTCTTTACGATTTCAGCTACCTTTGACTCTGAAAAAGCCTCAGGGGTTTATAGCTATACAAACATGTGATGAAAAAAAATACGTAAATTCAGTAATTGATTTCACATTTTCGCACTGTAATTAAGCTATGATAATACTTGATCATGGTGATGATCAGATACTAATTCAGTGAGATAATGTTGATTGGATTTGCTGGGAGGTGGAGGAGGAAGAGGAAGAAATGAAAAAAATAAACCTCGATTCTGAAAATGCTGGAAGGCTTTTAATTGATTGATCAATTACTGATTACAATTAACGAGATGATCATTATTTTATTCACTTCCGCTTTCACAATAGCCATCATTATGATCACAATTAAAAAGCATCAATCAAACAATCGTTCAATTGATTAGTTTTAACAATTTTTTTTTTCAATTCCATTCTAATATTTATGTTATTCTGTTGATGGTTAAGCCGTTGAACCTTTAATTGTGATCGTTTTAGCTTATTTGGCTTATCTAACTGGATATTTATTGAATTTCTCGGCGATTATTAGCTTAATGACCTGTGGACTTTTCCAAGCGGAATATGCGAATCATAATATCAGTCGAAAATCAAAAACAACCGTTAAGTACTTGACTAAATTGTCCTCGTCGGTTACGGAGACAATTATTTTCCTATTCTTGGGCCTTGTACTGGTCAATACTAAATACGTTTGGAACACATCGTTTGTTATATTCTCGACATTTTATTGTATAATCGCGAGATTTGTGAGTAAGTTCAATGGTCGATCTTCGGAACAATTTCATCGTAGCATTTGAATATTTTCTCATATTAACGGTACTTTTTGTGTCCAATTTTTTGTAGCCATTTTCGCGTTAACTTATTTTGTGAATGTTTATTTTCAACGGATTCGAATTGTAAATCTTGAAGAACAAGTTCTTATGGCCTATGGTGGTCTTCGAGGGGCGATAACATTTTCACTGTCCGATGCTCTTCTCCATCAAACTGCCGATACAGAATCGATAAAGTTAACCCGTCGTCTAATAACAACAACAAATTTGTTCATCATTTTGTTTACTATTTTTGTTCTGGTAATAATTTAACCTACTGACCATTAGTTTTTATTGAGAAAACTGACCAAAGTTATTGATTGTTATTTTCTAGGGATCAACAACTAAACCACTTGTTAAAATGTTACGAGTTCAGCTTCAAACGAAAGGTGAAAGTGAATACCTGTATGAGGTAAATAACAGGGTGACTCGGTTGTTGATGCAAGGAATTGAGATAATTGCTGCTCAGCAAAGTCCACTCCATTGGTTGGTAAGTAGAGTGATTAAAATTTAAATAACAATTAATTCCTACTTGTATTTATATTATGTGATACAACTACAATGATTAATTTAAATCATCATTATGATAATTTGTGTTACAATTGTGAAACATTTAAATTAAATATAAGACAGACAGAGAGATGAGGATATGAAGAAATAGGAATTGAAATTAATTGTGGTGACATTTTTAAGGATACGAAAAGCTAAATACTGATCATGATTAAATGATGATTGTTAATATCAAATATCATCATTAACTTTAATGAACATTGAAATTCATCAACAATTCATTAACAGTAACATGGGAACCCGACGATTAGCATTTCAAATTTATCATAATCATCGATCTTGTCTCATTCAATGTGGAAATTAATTCAACATGAATTACATGGTATTTCAAAGTACATCAATTCTCAGAGTTAGTTGATTTTTAATTGTGATGAAATATTGGAAAACCCAAAAAAGTGATTGACCTTTTCTTTAGACAATTGTTTCTAACTGATTCCAAATAGACTTTATCATGAGCATCATGATGAACTTTTCATCTGAGTGAAAGTTATTGAAAAGAAATAGATGAAGAAAAAATTGTTCACCAATCATCAATCAGAAAATGATGATGATGATTCCAATAGTTTTCATGGGAACATCTCGTATCCAACGAATCGATAGTTTCAAGATTTAATTCACTTCTCAAACAATAACAATAATCAACAATTTAGATCTAATTTAAACGTATATGTATTCAAATGTTCAATAGAAACTAATAGACAGTTGAAATTGAAGACAAATTCTTGATAATATTCATGAGGGAATCAGAGACAGAGAGGAAAATTGCTCATTTTCATCATGATGAACTTTGAATTTATCATTCTAATTGTTATAATGTTAACAATAAATCATTTCTTTCATGATAATAACAATACTAATAACTTTTTATGCTCTCATCTAATTTTCACTGTTTGTATCATGATGATAATGATGATCTCTGGATTGGTTTGTCTTTGCAAATGAAACACATGAAACTGAATCTTTCAACTGAACACTTGGTGAATTGGTTAACCTGATTTTCATTCATTTGGACAGAAAAAAATTGCCTCCATCATGAATGAAAAGTTCTTGAAAAAGTTTCTTCTTCGAAAATTTAATCAAGAAAATAAAATCTTATCCAAACAGGTAAATATGATAATAACCATGTTATCCCCTGACTCCTTCATCTCCCACCTCATCATCTTATTACAATTATTATTTTCATCATGATGATGAACTCATTGTTATCATTATCAACTTTGTTTCCATAATGAAAAGCCTTCAGCTATTATTATTATTATACATCTTTCTGATTCTTAATGAGTTATCATCCTCATCATGAACATGATGAATTTTGTCCTTATCATGATAATGATGGGAAAATCTGAAACCTACACAAAGGATTTTTTTATATATAAATCAATGAGAAAACTGTTGATAAAGAAGAGGAATAAAAAAATTCACCTCAAAGTTATTGACATTTAACCTGAACTTTATCGTTATTTTTTGATGGTTTTACCTTAAGTTTTGTATTTATATGAATCAGGGTAGATAGAAATTCATTGTGTTCAATATTTATTCAGAATTTTGAGAAATTTACTGATGAGGAAGTAAAGAAGAAGAAGAAGAAAAAATTGTTATTAAAGTAAAATTTCAAATTCTTTTTTCTAACTTTAGGATTCATCTAGTGTTTCCTCGGCTCAGCGATCTTATCGTTATGATGTTCAAAATTTAGAAACTCCCGAGAAGGACGTTTATCCAGATCTAAATAAACCAATTCGACAATTTGAAGCTTTCGACGACAAAGGTACTTTATTATTCCCGAAGTTGGACCAGAACCCGGTGTCAATTGCACCTACTGAAGTTTTCCTTGAAGTCTGTGATATAAGCAGAGTATTTACCATTCCCAAGGAAGCTTGTTCACTAATTAACTCTTGGATTAGTTTACCCAACAATCAGCAAACTAAATTAACTCCTCAAAAGACAATTAAACCAACGAAAAGTGAAAACAATCAAACTAAATTAAACAAATCAAAAGCAACAATCAAACTATCAACACCCAAATTTTCAGGTAAACACCAATAATATAAAAGTATCATAACAATTAAAGAAATTTAAAATCAAATCCAAGCAACAATTAATGTAATCACCAAAGCAAATTGAAAGTTTTCATGGTTAATCAGCAACAAGGAGTTAATATTATTAGATAAAGTTTCCATAACAATTAAAAAAGAGACTATGAAATAATTGTTATAATTTAGATTTAATTTATACTGAGTAACTTTTATACTTTCACCCAACAATCAGTTTGATGGTTAACAATTAACTTGATTATTTAATTCATTGATTAAACTCATGTTAATGATGATTATGTTTGATATTATCTGACTCTTGCTTTTTTTAAATAAACTTATCACTATTACCCAATGATTATCATGATATTATCATGAATCCTCACCGGGAATTGGTAACACAAAAAATATCTATTACTTTTTTTGCTTCTTTCCTTGTCTTTTTGACTCAACATTGTGAATATTAATGATTCCTATGGTGAAATATCATTACAAGACCGGGAAACAATTGATTACCTGTGGTAATAATACCTTAGTATTGAATTAATATCAAAACCATTAACTTGAATATCATCAAATTATCAGAAATTGAATGTAAATGATAAACTTTTTTAACCAGAGTTCCGGTTGGAAAAAATTTCTTTCCACTTCCATGGGAATAACTTTTTTCCTTCATATTATTATTAACTTTCAGGCAAGAAATTAATAAATTGTCTGATAACTGTTGATTAATTCAAATTGTTGCTCGTCTAGTGGAAACGTTTAATTCATAATCATTACAATTTACAATCACCTCTTTAATCAAGATCATCATGTTAATTGTTTTCACATTATCAATACTCTAAATTTCAAACTGATTCTTACATTTATAAAATAAGATTTTAATTGTTCTCATTAATTGATTATCATGATAAAAGTAATTATGTTTTCTTTATGACTATTAAAATATTCATCATCAATATCTTAATATATGATAATTTCTGGGTTTCTCTGGGCTTACAGTTGATATTATTATTAACTTGATTAACGTGATTTCTTGCTGAACAATTTAATCATTTGATTTGAAAAAATGATCATCAACATCAAGTTCATAACTGATTAACTTTTTTTCATCATCATCTTAATCATAATAATAAATCAATCAGTAAATAATATTAGTTATTTATGATAAGAACTTTTTTTCCTTCATCTTTTTGGATTCATGACTTTCCAAGGCTCATGTTGGTTACAAATTTATATAATCCTGATAAATAATTACCTGTAAATGAATTTATCATGAGTTAATTGTGATTTAAATAAATCGTAGTGACAAGGTAACATTTTCAACGTGCTTAACTTTGGTATATTTATTATCTGAATCAATGATTTGTACGGTTGAAAGTTCAATAAAATTTTAATACATTTGATTGTCAAAGTTAATCAATGACAATTTATCATCTTATCTTTTAATCATTACCATTAATTAATGGTTAACTCCCTTCATTTCACTTTAATTTACTTGATTATTGTCAAAATTAGACAATCAACTCTTAATTGTTACCAGTTTGTTGACACTTCAAACAAGTAATCAATTGAATTTATAAATTCACAACTCACACACCCAAGATCAGAAAACTTTCATTTTCATTGAAAACAATCAACAATTTACCAACCACGATCACGATGATTAACAATCAAGGACTATCAAGAATAACATGCTGAGAATAATATTTTTTTAATAGTAAACAATTTAAACTGGATTAACTTTAATCAGAATAAAGTTAATATCGAGATAGACTCGTTTGAATATAATAAAAAAAACCGAAAATTTTTTTTGGACTTGAAAAAGTTTTCAGATTTTAAAAGTTGAGTGAAAATTTTCATGAGTTATTTTCAATCTAATTCTGTTTATATTATCAACAGAAATGTGAACCTTATTCAGATAATATTATCTTCATTGAATGAAAGGAAAAGATGAAAATATTCATGGTAAATATTATATAAGAGTATCTTAGATAATATTAATAATAACATGGATTCTGAATTCATGGGGATATCAGTGAATTTCCCATGAATTGAGTAAGTTTCATATCCTCGTCAGAGACTGATAGGATTGTCCAATATCAGAATCATCATGATAATAATAATAATAAAATGATGATCAGTATCTCGGAGCCTTAAAGATCTTCAATGAATAATATTCTTTTTCCATCTTCTTCTTAATAATTTATCATCTTATCAACGTCAAAGTGTTTTTTTATCACAGATACAAACACACATAGGTGAAAGGATGATAAGGAAGATAAAGAGAAAGAGAAAGTGAAAGTGAGAGAGAAAAGAAAAGGAGATAAACAGTTGAGAAAAGGGTGGGAGTGGGTATTCAAAAGGTATTCAGACTCAGAACTCCAAGTGAATCATGTATTCATGATGAACTTGAATAAGTGAAGGTACATGAAACTTGAAACATTCTCAGCGCATTCTCACCATTTCAAGATTTTTTCCTTTCTTTTATTTCAATGGTCTCTCTCTCTCTCCCTCTTTCTCCCTTTCTCTGTATCTTTATCATCATTATCATCTATATCATCATTCTTATCATCATCACTTTCTCTCTCTCTCTCCCAATTTATGCTCCATGGACCAAATATACTCACAAAAGTTTTCGAGCTGAAAGTGTCCAAACGATTCTATCAATAGTTTCCCTTATTTCTTATTTCTTTCCGTCTCTTTCTCTCTTTATCATCCTAATCATCATCATCTCTGATTGTCTCACCTTTGGAAGAACTTTTTTTTTCTATTAACCATCATCTTCATCCTCATCTCCATCCACAACCTCCTTAGTTTCATGTGTTCAAAGACATTAAAAGTAAAAACAAAAACCTAATTACCTCCTAACTGTTGATTCCAATCGCCACTAGTTAATAATAATTGCAATCAAATTAAGATCATTAAAATTATCACCATAATCATAATCATAATCACCATCAACATAATTGATTGGAAATCTAATATCTGTTGAGTTTCCCTTCACCTTAATTGTTGGCATCATCATCATCATCAACAACAACATCCATCACTATTAAACAAAACAATCAACATTAAATTTTGCCAAATTGTTACACAATTAGAACAAAAAATTAATCGTAACAATTAACAATCAACCAATCGTCAGATCATGTGTTCATCAATATTAACCCGGAAAACAATTAATCGACCATTAAATTGGTCAACTTTAATCATCTATTGGATTACCCTTTCTGTCCTTTTCACTGGTAATTATAATCTAAAAATTAATTAATCCTTTAAACTCCAACTCATTAAAAGTAAATATAAATCTAGATCATCATTAAATCATAGATAATATTACAACTCTATCATGATGATAATAATAGTATCATCTTAAAAGTGCCTATTATTTTTCATCAAGTTTATCATGTTAACATGAGGAAAAGATTTGAAACAAAAGTCAAAGTTATCACAGTTTCTCATGAAATCATTATAATGATAAAGCTCATTAAAAGATATGAAATCTTATACTTACCATGAAAGTACAGAAAGTTATCAATATCTTATTATCACTAAGAATTTAAATGTTATTAAATATTTAAAGGTCAAATTATTTGAAATCTCTTACATATTTAATAACAAGAATCCAACAAGTTCGAGAATAAAAAAAATCAAATTCGTCAAGTCAACCAACTCCCACTCTTGACCATTCGTTGACCAGCACAATATTATTATCACATTCTAATGATAACTTGACCATTACATGGTAATTTTATTTCAATAGAAACTTTTTTTCGTTTCCATTTTGAATATTATCATTTTCTAACTTTAATATTTTCATTTCTTATTCACCTTCATCATAAGACTGATCTTATTATCATCGTTTTTAAAAGGTATTAATGATAACTCATAACTCTTAATAATATATTTAAATATAAGATTAATATCAAGTTCAGTTTTTAGAATCTTGATTTCATGAACTTTCAGAATTGTGAGATTTTATCGTTGATTAATATTTGATTGAAAGTTTTGATTCAAAATTGTCGATGCTACAATAGAGATGCTAATCTGTTTCAACCTTTAGTTTTTTGTTATTTTAATTTTGAAAACTCGTTCAGATAATAACATAATCATGAAGTTTACTTTCATTAATAAATTATCATGATAAAATCATCGCCAATAATAATAATATTTTAACTTATTCACTTTTGAGAATGAGAAGAAAAAAAAACAAACTTTTTCTTGTTCTTTTCCATTACAAATTGAATATATTAAACTTAATTCAGTTCATTTACTCAGTCTATTAGTTATTGTTAATATTTTCTCATCATTCAATTTGATTATCATCAATAATAATTGTAAGGATTACGAGTTTGATATTAACATGACCTCATTAAAATCGAGACGATATTTGAATCCATACAAATGTATATGTTACTAAATGAATGAGAAAATAATGTATCATGTTTCATGATGATGAACTTTTATCAAGAAAAATATGAACAATGAAAGATGAGGAAAAGAAGACAGAATTGAGATAATTTTTACTCCATCTCAGTTATAAGAGAAAAGGGAAAAAAGTTTCAACCGTTTTACTGATTTTCTTGTTTACAATCAATTTGATTGTTGTAATTAACTTTGATTCTCAAATAAAATGCAGAGTTTAACTTCCTGTTCATTAAGAAATTGATATAATTACTACTCTTTGATAATATAAGTTGATCAAGATTATCAATACTACTAATCAATTGATCCTCTCACTCTCTTGATGTGATTGTCATCTCAGGACAAGGACTAACAATCAGCCCATAATGTTTGACAATTAAGTAAATATTTACTAATGTTAAGAGTTAATTGTTCTGAGAGAGTCAATGAAAATTTGTAATCAAATCAAATTATCACCTAATTTTATCCCAATCAACAACATTAACTAAATTATCAAAGTTAAGCTGATCTAGCTGAAAGTTTCACCATCCTCATTATCATGTTTTATTGTTATCATTTAATTATAACCATT